AATGGCTACATATGTAATTTAAGTTTTTCCAGTAGCCACATTAAAAAAGTAAGAGAAACAGGTAAGATTAATTTTGGTGACATTTTTATTTGACCCAACATATCTAATATATCAGGCTAACAGCAACAACAACCGTTTTGGTACTGAGTCTGAACTCTGACAAGCAGTTTGCCCTTACAGCACATCTCCCTGGGCACTGGCCACATCTCTGGGCTCAGTACTCGCATGCAGTTGGTCATTATTGTATTGAACAATGCAAGTCTTGACTTTCCCTAATTGCTTCAAGCCTGTCCACCTCAGTCTTGGGAAGACCTCAAGACTCATTTCCCAGAAAGATTTCAGTAGATCTACTTCAAGTCACTTCAAGCCTCTTTAAATTGTTTCCTTTCCGCCTCAACACTTCTCCAGACATCTCTCTCTTTACACCCATCCCTTCCACCCTCTCCCTTATTTGAAAAGAAAAAGCTAAGCCTATTCCCATCCTTTCCCCATCTTCTGTAAGCCTTTGCTTAGTCAAGTATCTCCTCTTTCCAGAATCCTCACCTCTTTTTTCTACCAACATTCCCAAATTTTGCTCAACCTGAAGTTTTGCCAGTTGCTGATACTCCCCAAACTACCTTTCTATTTACCATCTTCTTTATTACTTTGAACTTCCCACCATTTACCCAACCTTCATAATGCATGGCTTCCTTCCCCACTGCTGGGAACACCACTAGCTGCCAGGTGATGAGTGACCTGCCAGTCTCCTAATCCAACTGTCCTTTCTCTCTTCTCATTTACCTGTCATGTCTACAGTCTCCACACTGTTATCCTACTGCTTCCCTCCTTGACTGTCTCCGACTACTCCAGTGTATACACTGAGTCAAATGCTCAGACAGGACTATTTTTATCGCTCCACTCACTCCTTTGAATCTCAGACTATGTTTCCATCCTCAATTGCATCCTGTAGTGTCTCCTCACATGGAGGCTTCCTCTGCTCTCAAGCCTATAAAAGCCTATAAAAACAAATCATTTCATCACCAAGATTTTAAGCAGCATGCATTATGTATATTTGTCAGCTTCATCTCATCCATGATCCCTAATCCATCTGCCCCAGGCTGTGTCAAATGCCCTACTTCTGCGTCATCACTTCAGAACCTGCAGGTTTAAAAACAAGTGCCAGCTTTTCCACAAGCCAGCTCACCCTCAAATGTTCTATTTTTTGTTACTGATTCTTATCACTCAGTCATCCAGCTTTGAAATGGTGCTTTTACCCTTAGTGCTTCCTCCCTCTCCCACAGCTAATTAATTAGTCACCAATGTTGTCGACTAATCCCTCATAATATTTCCCTTTATCCACTGCATCTCCTTAACAATTTTTCACCACATTCACAAACCATCCCAAGTCCTCTTCCTTCCTATCCCTTCCTTGAATTTGACTTTTGCAGCTTCTGGCAACACAAGACATACTGGCATTGAGACAGCATTTTTTTAAAACAATGTCTAAGATCTTGAAATCATAAAATTTTGTTCCCGCTTTAAGAAACTTTTCATTCCTGTGCTCACTAGATAAACAGATGAACAATAACTGTTTACCATGGATAAAAACTCCTTTTCACTTAAAGAAAAAAATGCACACTTTCTATACTTAACCCCAAAAGCAAATATAAGTATAATCAAGACTAATCCCAAATTAGTCTTCATGCATTGGAGGCTCATCTAACATATAATCACATGATGTGAGAGAGGTGACTATTTTGTTTTAGAAAAAACTTCAAATTTAGGGATTGATCTTGCTCCTCCAATTAACTAGTCATTGTACAATTTCCTCACCTTTTACCCTCCTTGTCTGTTATGTGCCAATGTAATGGAGTTCCCATGAGATTTAAATGAAGTAATATCTGAAAGTACTTTCAGAATCTTTGTAACTAGGCAATCATGCCACAAAGTACCCAGAATCAGCATCCTGTTGCTTTAGGACAAATCTTTCATTACCTTCCTAATTAGAAGTCTCCTGTGGTGTGATGATTGAACATCAAACTAGGTACTTAGTTGCCAGTTGACACTCTGCCCACAGTTTTTTCAAGTGAAACCCAGACCTGGCTACATAGGTGCCCAAGGATGCAGAAGGCTTCTCTAAGGGCACATCATATTTAACGGGTGTTAAGCCATTCATTAAGTGGGGAGTCACTTGAAAAGAATGAATTTTATCTCCTCTTTACCTTTTCAGGTAAAGTACCTTTCACCTACTTGTGGGGTATGTTGTGCCCCTTTGAGTCTCAGAGGTGGGTAACCTACCTTCCTCCACTGAACACCCCTTTTGCACAAATATTGCTCACTTTTAATGTATTTCTGAGTCTCTGGGTGTCATAAAATAGAAGACTATGACTATTTAAGTAGGTTTTCCTTTTTATAGCAATTTATTTTTATATCTCTGCAACCTAGCACAAAACCTGGCATGTAGTTCTTACTCAGTAAGTACTGAATAAATGGAAGAGGTAATAACTTTTAGTTAATAGAGATGTTTTACTCTCCTCCCAATTCCCCTCCCTTCTCCCCCCCTCCCCAGCCATGAATCAATAAATCCTAAGAGATTCCAGGTCCCAGGGACCTTTAGCTCCACTGGTCTAGACTAAAGCTTACTCCTCAATGTGTTTCCAGTTCCACTCAACCCCGGGATGAGCTTCTATGGATTTCCCTTCTTCCCCCACTTCTATCTTCAATCCTCAGAGATCCTCTGATTTTTTAAGGGTCATGTCTTCTGAAAGATCCCTCTTCTCTGCCCCAAAAGGATTATTGATTTAGTGGTATGTTCTCAGCAAACTCTTCCAAGAGGAAAATTATTTGGTGGTCTTATTTTATATTGTTGTTAATAACAAGCTAATCTTTAATACATTATCCCTTTCTGGGATTAGTGTGTTAAAAATAGCAAATACTTTGAAAATAAAATGAATTAGTCCAAAGGAATGAATTTCTAGTAGTGGAATGTCACTCAGTATGACTGGTGATTGGAGTTGGATGAAAAAAGAGATTTGAGTAGCAATGCTAGTCTTGTATGCCCAGAAACCTACTTGTAGAACTATCCATACTCAAAAAAAGAGGAAAAATTATTTGTTGTACCTGAAGGCATGCTTGTGATATAAACATGACATTGGTGAACCAGGTAGTGGTGGTGGGTGGGGAGTAGGTGAGGGTGAATGATAAATCAGCTTGAAGGTAAATTTTGTCTCCAATTTCAGATTTGCTGGCGTACCTTAAGCCTGTAATAAAAGAACCTCTTCACCTTTAAATCCCTAATTTACTCTCCAGCCAGCCCTCAAGAGGTCTGCTAGCCAGGGTTAAAACTTTGCTCTGCAGCACTCCTTATGTCCCCTCTCTAGTGTTAGGTCACCAACCTCCATGATCTTTCCCACTGTATGTTCAGCTACTTATGTGCCTATGTGATGAGAATAGCTTTCTGCTCTCTTCAACCTGGTCATCTCCATTTTCTTTGAACAAATGACTGGTATCTTAAAGATTAGCTTGTGTCACCACCTGCAGTGCACGTGAAGTTGGCAGTGTAAACAACTGCCACTTTCACTTGGATGTAAAATGGGAATTCTGTGTCTTATTTTCTCTTTCTGAAAATTGATTGACGTAACATTCTTTAAAAAACCATTTGTTGCAATAACTTGGATGGACCTTCAAGGCATTATGCTAAGTGAGACAAACCAGACAGAAAAAGACAAATACTGGATGATGTCAAAAACCAAACTTGCAGAAACAGAGAGTAGAATAAGTGATCACCAGGAGGTGGAGGAATTAGTTACAAATTTGCAACTAGAGATGACTAAATTCTAGAACTAATCTACAGTATAGCAATTATGTCAGCAATACTGTATTAAATATGCATCAAAGTTGGTGAGAGACTGGATTTTAAATGTTCTCACTCACTTTGATAGATGTACTAGCTGACTCTGATGGTCATCATATTCCAGTAGCAACACTTTGTACACCTAAACTTACATAATATTCTCGGTCAATTATATCTCAATAAAAAAATCCATCACTTGCCTAATTAAAGAATGAATTGCATATATTCCTAAGTAAGCCTTTGCTTTTTCATTATCTGGTGAGTGAAATATTAGAAATATGGGGTTGTTGGGAAAAGTATTTTTTTCTATGTTTTTCAAGCAAAAATGCATCATGACTTTTCTGACAACCCAATATTTCCATTTTATATCCCCTTTGAAATACCACAAATTATTCTTTTGAATTTAATATCTTGTTTCTAAGTTAAAAGAAGGTAATAACAATGCTAGCTAGACATGATCTAGATTTTAAAGTCGTATTCTGCATTTTTAAGTCATCAAATTTAAGTGAACCAATCATGGTGTACAGATGGCTAATCCAAGTGTCTGCTCCATGCATTTCTTTAAAGTCACTAACGCTTCCGTTTTGCTGGTTTGGAGGCAGGCTGTCTGCTCACTCAGAAGCCTCTGCATTAGCTCTGGTCTCCCAGACCTGTGGCCTCACTCACTTCTCCAGAACCTGTACTTTCCTTGTTGCTGCCTCTTCTCAGCACCAGGAACGTGTGTATGACTGACGTACACGTGGCCAGGCCATGCAGAGACATAAACTTGGCAGCAGGGCAGCAGGTGCACGCTTAAACGCTGCCATCCAGAAGAGCGCAGGTACTTGCCAGTGTCCGCTGAAGCTTTCCGTTTTGATGCGGTCACTCAGGCGCCGGCCATTGAGCAGACGGCGTGGCCTGGTGAGGTACCCACGAAGGGATAAGGTCACTGGAGATTCAGCGGCCTTTTCTTATCTCTGAATTTATGAACGAACTTCAGGGATGGAAAATAGGCTTCTGAAGCGAAACAAATGGACGGGAAGTGCCCAAGGCACTGCCCACGCCTGCTCGATTGTGTGTAGGAAGCTGGACAGCAGCTGCCAGGCCTTCGCGGAACGAGCCGCCCGTTCCCCGCCCAGGGCGCGCTGGGTGCTAAGTGGTGTGTGTGCTTTGTGTCTCCTCCCCACAGCTATTGACCTGCTGTACTGGCGGGACATCAAGCAGACCGGCATAGTGTTTGGGAGCTGCCTGCTGCTGCTCTTCTCCCTGACTCAGTTCAGCGTGGTGAGCGTCGTGGCCTACCTGGCCCTGGCCGCGCTCTCGGCCACCATCAGCTTCCGCATCTACAAGTCTGTGTTACAAGCCGTGCAGAAAACCGACGAGGGCCACCCTTTCAAGTGAGTGCCCCGCCGGACCGGCCCTCGCCCAGCCTCTTACACGGGGTCCCTCCATCTGCATCCTTTCAGCTCCCAGGCCCATTTGGTGTCGTGTTTCTCTGAGACCTAGTGGGCCTCCTATCTCCTTCAGCAACCAGTCTTTGAACAGCTAATATTTCTGGTCGATTTCTAAAACAAATTCAATTATAACCCTATCCTAACACATTGCTGTGTTAGCTCTGGTACTAATTACTTTATATTATACTTATATATAATTTATAATATAAATTTATAGAATAAACGTGTATATTTAATATTTTATTTTTTTAAGATTTATTTATTTATTTATACAAGCACTGGGTACAGTCAGAAGCGCGGGAGGGTGAGAGAATTCACCAGAGCCAGAGCGGGGAGCAGAGCAGGCAGAAGGACCGAAGTACACTGCTGAGGGGAGCAGCGGGCGGCAGGAGAGGTCTGCGCGCCATGTGGGATCCTCCTCCGGTGGCCGGGGAGCAGCCGGGGATCGAACCGGCGCTGCAGAGGCTGCGGGCAGCTTCGCAACCCAGCGCTCAACCGCTGCGCCACTGGGCTGGCCCCATATTTAATATTTTATAATTGACTATTACTAATAGTAATCATAATCCATTTTATGTGTACAGTGTTTTATTTTTTTTTAAATAAAACACATATGCAAGGCTTTAGTCATTTATAAACTCCAAATTGTTAGCAAAGGTTTTAAAGTACTACAGCTTGTCTTAGAAGGCTTCCCCATCATTAAAATTTCTTGTAGCCGAGCCTCCCTGGTGGCGCAGAGGTTGAGCGCTGGGTTGCGAAGCTGCCCGCAGCCTCTGCAGCACCGGTTCGATTTCCGGCTGCTCCCCGGCCACTGGAGGAGGGTCCCACATGGCACGCAGACCGCTCCTGCCGCCCGCTGCTCCCCTCAGCAGTGTACTTCAGTCTGCCTCTTCTGTTCTCCCCTCTGGCTCTGGTGAATTCCCTCACCCTCCTGCACTTCTGACTGTAACCAGTGCTTGTATAAATAAATAAAAATAAATCTTTAAAAGAAAAAAAAAAGAAAAAAGAAAAAAAATTTCTTGTAGCCACTTTCGGGGATCCTAATGACTACAGTGTCTTTAAGGTTCGTGACATGGCTGTGCCATTGCTAATTTTTTCTAAAATTTCAGCAAACACATCCAGGTAAGCAGATTCACCGACTGGCTTTACAGTGTTTTATAATTTAAAGGGGGTTTCAACAATTAATCCTCCCAACTCTATGAAGAAGGCAGAGCATTAAAATTATAATCCCTATTTGTGGGTGAAACACCTTAGGCTGAAAAGTGATTTGTACGAGGCCAGTAGCTACCATGAGGCCAGTAGGTATCTGGTTTTTATTCCTATACTTACTCTGAAAGCTTAATAGCGTAGCGCCAAGCTTCTAAGAAGTGCACAGTTTTATAGTGTGCCCCCCTCTGCATTTCTATAGCAATACTGGGGAAATCTGATTAGAAAGAACATTGAAAAGTAGGAAAAACATTTTTAAGGCCATATATTAAAAGGATATATGAAATGTGACAAAACTGCCAGCTTCACGCCACCCACTTCCACCCTGACTTATGTCCCTGTTCTAGACTGTGAGCCCAGGCACCTGGACCACTGATGTCAGTGGCTCTGCCCCTGGCACTGGCCCCAGGTGCAGACCCCTCGGCAGGTGTCCTCACCTCTGTAACCAAGGACAATCCTGGTTGAGGCATGTAGGTGCTGCTGCTGAATGGCTTCTCACTCACCAGGGATGCCTCTGGCTCCTCCCTGGCTCATCTTCACAGTCAGCTCAATCAAAAACTGAGGAAAAGTACCGGAGTCATAAGGGCTTATTGACAAAAGGTCTAATGCATCAGATCTCCTTTCCCAGCCTCTGAATACGGCCTCAGTATCAGTTATACATGGAGTGTGTTTGTCTTTAGGATGTGTTTGACCTTCCAATAGAGTAAATGCATCTTCTTAGCTATAACACAGGGCTACACAAGTTCCATCCCAAAGGTGGGAAGAGCGAAGAAATGGGGTGTCACTTAACCAGGGCATGTACAATGCCCATTTCAGTGACACCAGCCTGAGACCTTAAGAGTTCTGTGCCCCTATGTCTGCTCTCAGCCATCCAGGGAAGGCTTATTTCTGCCACTTTCTTGGCCCCTAAGGCTGTCAAGTTACAGGGGAACTTGCTGTCATTGACTTATTTCTACCAATACTCACTTTTAGGACCAAGAATCTGACTACGGTTAGCTCCTCTACTTTATCTTCCTTAAGGAGACACATTTATAAGGTAAACCTTTTCTCTGGCTGAGTTGTTTTTATCAGTTAAAGGACTATCTGACTCAGAGTAAGTTGGAATCAAAACAAATGATTTAGATAAATTAGGTTTTTTCCCCACTTTTTTCCTAAAGAGGAGAAAGGTATAACATTTCAATATAAACTCCCTAAAACATAAATAAAGTGTTGCTTTACACTATTAATCTCAACTCCTGGAGTTAGGAAGCACTTTGAGAGCTCCAGGAATAGCCTTTAGGTAGACAACACGGTGCTAGCTCAAAATAGGAGAGGGAGTGGAGGATGTGACTCTGGGCCTTTCTGGAGGAGCATGACCAAACAGCAGGGGGAACTGATTGATATATATGTGTGAAGAGCCTGGTTTACCTACCCAAGTGTTAAGTTTAACTATTTGAACAAATGAAAAGTGCAGTTACAAAAAATAACACTATTAATAGAACAGGTGAGTGCTTTCATATGACCCAGGTCACTTGCGTTTTCGTGGCTCTCTAGATAAAAACTGGATTCCTTTCTGGAATTTAAACATGAAGTTTTAGAGTTTGATGAACAATAATTGGCAGTTAGGAGTTTTAGCTATCTCTATTTTTCAAAACAATTTTTCAAAAAAAATTCACCTCTGCATAGCCAAGAAGAAATAAAGACTCACGATCACCTGCTGGGCAGGGGTGAATGGAGGATTCAGCAGAGATGGCACTGACTTTCCGCGGAGCCCAGTCAGTGGCTCTGAATTATCATTTGTGAGAGACACAAATAGTCACAGCACCTCACGAAGAGCCATGATTCCCAAGTCCCCCAGTGCATGGAACATGGGTGTGTATCAGGTCCTGCAGCCCACTTGCTGGATTACCACCCCCGAGAAACTCAGCTGTGATCCTCAGCACCAGAGAGAAGGCAAACGTAGCTGTTTCAGGATTCCCTCTGATAGAGTTCTCTGTGGGATGGTTTGTTGACAGGACCTACTTGGAGCTTGAGATCACCCTCTCCCAGGAGCAGATTCAGAAGTACACAGACTGCCTGCAGTTCTACGTCAACAACACACTTAAAGAACTGAGGAGGCTCTTCCTCGTCCAGGACCTGGTGGATTCCTTAAAAGTATGACTTTTTAAGCATTCGCTTGAGAGTCTTGAGGGATTTTTGCCCCTATTATAAACCACTACATGATGGAGATAAAAGCAAGTTACTTATATTCCAGAGTCAGAAAACTCCAGCTGTATGGTACCATGGGGCTCATCCAGTCTAACCCCCTCACTGTACAGACACCAGAACTGTAGTTCAAAGAGGTTAAGACACTTACCTGGGGCTGCACAGATAGTTACTGGCAGAGCTGAAATTTAATCCAGGTCGCCCAGCTTCTAGTTCCGTACTTTGCAATGTGCTAAGTTGTTTCTCCTGACCATATCCAGTCCCTCAGCCAATGTCCTACAATTAATTTTAAAATAAAAATATAGTGCATGGAATGTGAAAACACATGCTTTTCCACTGGCATCTGCTAATCGTAAGACGTCCAGGTGACCCCCCACACACACAGTGTGACTGTGAGGTCGAGCCCCTGAAGGGCAGACGTGTGACTCCTGGGGTCCTCATGGGATTCACTGAGTGCCTATGAACAAGCCGTCAGTCAGTCATGATTGGGGGATGTTGTCATGACTTCCCTGTGCTCCCCGAGCACTTATATGGCCCCAGCAGGGGTCTGCCCCATAACTGTGGGAAGAAGGGGAGAAGGACGATGAGTGATGTGGCCTGGACCCTCAGGGGACTTCCTGGCATCACATCCTACCAAGTAATGGCTAAAGAGAGATACCAAGGAGACTCTAGTTACTTGCCATAGGGTTTTTAAGATGATGTTTGTATTTGTACTCTGAAAACTGTGGGCTAGAGCAGAGGGGGCACACCTTATCAATAACGGGCCGCCTGGTAGGTATTTTAGACTTTGCAGGACACATGGTGTCTGCGGTGGCTGCTGGACCTTCCTCATTGCGGGGAAAGCAGTCAGAGACAGCCCATAGGTGAATGGTGGTGGCCACTTTATTTATAGATACTGAACACTGAATTTCATAGCATTTTCATGATATATTATTGGATATAATTATATAATATTTCATGGCATATTATTTGTTTGGATTTTATTTGACCATTAAAAAGGTAAAATCAATTTGAGCTTATGGGTTCTTACAAAAACAGGGCAAGGGCCACTGCTGCTGACCCCTGCCCTAGAGTTTCATTCCATTGAGTCTCTCAAATCTTATAAGGAAGCGCTCCGAAGGGCTCCTGGAGAGTAAAGGACATATCCTCTTCCAGTGTTTCCGTAATGAGTTTTGTATGCACTCACATTTCCTGCTGAAACCTCCATGCATGTTGCCTCATATTCTACTCTTAAAAAAAAGTCAGTGAGATGAGACTTTATCTGTCACAAATGGTTTGAGAAGCTGTGATCATTGTTTCATCCCCCAGTTTGCAGTCCTGATGTGGCTCCTGACCTACGTTGGCGCTCTCTTCAATGGCCTGACCCTGCTGCTCATGGGTAAGGATAGCCCAGGGTTAGGACTCACCCTCCTCGAACAGCTGCCTAGGCTGCAAGCTGTTGGCTCATTTAGAGAGATTCCCAGGAATAAATACCCGATGTCCCAATGTAGACCATCTCCTTGGCCAGCACAATTCAAGGAAGAGTATAATTTTACATGTGGAGAATAATTTGTGATTTTTTTTCCCTAACAGAACTGGTTTTATTTTACTTCTGATGGAGAATCTGTTTATAGTGGCAGTTATGAACACAAATTAATTTTCATCTTGGGAGGGCACAGTCACCCTCATTCTGGAAATAATTATTTAAAATCTATATGGGGCTCAGCATCTCTTTGTTTTCCTTATGAATTGTCTGTCTTATCTAGAAAGCTGGCTATTATAAATAATGCTATAATAGCACCTATCTATATAGAAATGTATCTATATACTTATACTTACTGATGGCTCAGAATTTTAATACTGTATTTGTTTTTTTATCCCAGCTGTGGTTTCAATGTTTACTCTACCTGTAGTGTATGTTAAGCACCAGGTAAGTTCTGTGTGATGTCAAACATTCATGTTGAATTTATACCTCATGACTTTTGGATGTACTCATGATTTCTTTCTCTTTGTAGGCACAGATTGACCAATATCTGGGACTTGTGAGGACTCACATAAACGCTATTGTGGCAAAGTAAGTTATATAGTACAGTTTGTTAAAAGGAGAGACTGTCTTAGTCACATTTGAGTGGATTAGGTAAGGGGCAGTATATAGGTAGTAAGACAGTATGTTAATTTATGATCATTCATTCACTTATCTGAGTCATATATCCATGTCTCTCCTAATTAGATTGTTTCAGGAAATAATTATAAACTTTTAAAGTCCCAGTTAGAGAAAACTTTCAGTGGTTCATTTCAGATATCACGATGAATGAGTTTTAATAAATTAATGATATTAAATTCTATCTGGGGACTGGCCTCATATTCAAAAACAAATGGGTTGGAGGAAAGCAAGAAGCTTGAATCAGAAAAGTAAACTTAATTATAGTAGATTAATTTAAATGAAAACAAGTCAAAAAACAATTTCAATCTTTTAAACAAATATTACTAATTTTTTTAAATCACTGAAATTATTTTCAGAACTTCAAAATTTTAAAAGATCTTTAAAACATTTATTACACTTTAAGTTATACCCCATCTTAACAAGCGTGCATGTTTGTTTGCTTATTTATTTCATACCATTGCTTTTTAAACCCGAGTCTTTAAATAGATTCTACTTTATGGCTACTTTGTATATTTAGGAGAAAAAGACTCCAGTTCGAAGTATCCACAGCTTAACATGGCCATTAAACTTAGTCATTTTTCTTCATTTTTAAACTAGTGATTTTAGACACATCTCCATCTAAAATCATGATTTTTATATTGCATTATTATTCAAGATTTTGTTTTAATCAAAGGCTGATCTAGATTTCAACAACAAATACATGTCAAGAAGAACTAGACCTTGTCTACATGATCCCCCTCTAGCAATCTTAGAGTCATGTGGCTGGACTAGGTGATGAGCAGAGCTAAAGCAATGGATTTGAGATAGTCAGAATGTCTGAGATAAAACAAGCAAATAAGCTCTTCAAAAGAAACTGTTTTGCCCAGCACTAAATTTTGAAGGAAATTTCTTGGTGGGGTCTTACTTCGTGGGGTCAACTTCAATCTCTGAAATTTTGCTTCCATATTAGAATAATTCCAGCAACAGAACTCACCATTTTTATCCACTTGTTTATTTCTGGCTCCCCAATGCTGATGAGAATGAGAGGTCCGTGAGAGCAAGGCACCTTCTCCCTTTTGTTGGGAGGATGTCTGGCACAGAACAGTCTCAATCAAAAGCTGCTTGATTTAGTGCATAAAGCTTTGATTTTAGAAAACAGAAAGTTTCTAGCATAACTTACTTTAAAAATAATGCTGCCATACTGTGAAAATCACAGAATTTTCAGGGTGCTGGAGATATCTAGTCTATACCACATAAAAAGATGCACATTCTAGGAACAGGAAAGCTCATTGACTGGCCTGTATCACACAGCTAATTAGTAACAAAACGGGAACGAGGACCCAGTTTCTTCATTCCAGTTGTGAGCAGTTTAGCTCTGCCAAGTGTGCTAAGTTCCTTTACCTAGAACCATCCCTGTTCATATGTGTCCATGAAATAGTAATTGCAACCCCTTTCTCTTTCAGAAGTGTCCCAGATTGGGTGACAGTCACCCTAACTATATCGTAGTTTCCATAATCCTGAAATAAATTGACACCTTTGACTACTTAAAAAGTTATCACTTAACTATAAAGGAAGACTGTAGGTGCCCTGGTGGTGGGGTTGGTGTGGAGCATACACTTGAGGGGTGGGGAGTCCTGTGTGCCTCTGCTTTGTAAACCGGTGTTGTCTCAATTAAAAAATAAGTTATTTAATATTGTTTTAAAATGAAAAATGATGTAAAAAATAAAAATGAGAGATTCAAAAAAAAAAAGTTATTTCAGGAATGCGACTTTCTTGTGTCATTCAATTCATCATCTAATTTATACTTTCTTAAGGCTGCAGAGAAATGTTCTTAGAAGACAATCACACATCATGTCTTCTGGAATTTTCAACTACTTGGTCACTTAGCTAGTTACAGCAACAACACATTATAAACTCACAAAACGCTTAAGTTCATAACACTTGTGACTTACTACCCTTTGATATTGCCTTTTTAGGATCCAGGCTAAAATCCCAGGCGCTAAGAGACACGCCGAGTAAGCTGACATCCCACCGGGGACTGGACACAAACAGGAATGTCTGCCGTAGTAACAGCTCTGTTCTTACATGTTACTGCAAATTGATTGTTTCTCTCTCTCCCCCCACCCCCCATACCATAATCTTAGAGACAAACTTTAAAACAGCTGTTTTTAGGCTGTTCCTGTACTCTTAGGATATTTGAGTCATTTGTGTCAAGCACTAAAATATAGAGAAAAGTGTATTAGATGTGGTTTTTAATTTTGTGTTGCTAAAAAAAAAAAAAAGTGCATGATGGTGAGAGCCCACGGCCCTTCCCTCCCCCACAGTGTTCTCCTCCTCTGCGATGCTCTGTAGCTTCTCTTGTTCCTGTGGCTACGCCTTCCCCGCCAAGTGCACCGATGCAGTAGTGGAAGTCGCTTCTATGTCCTCGGGTTGCTGGTCGGATTAACCTTTACTAACAACATATAGAATCGTAGACTGATGTTTTAGTGTTTTTCCAACACACACACACACACACACACACACACACAACGTAAAAATAAAAAGTCGACTGTACTTATGGTAATCAGTTTTGTATAACTTAAATCAATGAATAAACCCCAAACAAACATGCAGTACTTTTGTTGTGTGGGACCGATGGACTGATTTACATGTATGGTAACTAAAAAGTACCAGCATGTCAACTTTATTACAATTTGTATTACTTCCTCTGTAGTTCCTAATGGACTTAATTATGGACTCTGGATATTTGCACTTATGTACTTGATACTGAATGCATAAATAAATGTTACTAAATGTAGATGCTCCTCCTTTTCTTCTTGTGCTTTTAACAGAAAAGTGAAAGCTCTAGGGGACGACAAGTGAGGAGGCTGAGACCAAGGGCTCACTCTCCTCCCGTCTCTAGGACGGCAAGGTTCAGCCCCAGCCTGGCACAAGGCTCCTGTCGGACAGCAATAGAAGTCCCTGAAGACTCGTGAGACTGGGAAACGTGCTTCTGTGGGGTTGATGCAGATATTTTTAGTTTTTAAAAAATGTGAAAGTGATATCAATTCTTCCACAAACATCTAATATGCACCCCAAGTGCTGGCACAAAACATAATTGCTATGAACTCACTTTTAGTAATTATTTATTGAGCATTTATTTATTATTACCCTGTGCCAAGCACTGCATATAGGGCTGTGAATAAGAGAGGACAATTCCTGTCCTCACCAAACTCAGTCTTCTAACAGGGGCTTGCACTTTGTGCAAAAGCCAATTGCATGTGTTATTTCACTGTTTTAGTCCAAACTTAAAGAGGACAAGGTAGACGTAGATAAAGGTGGTAACAGTAGGAGAAATGGAAGTATTAGGAGAAAAAAGAAACTGTCGTTGATAAGAAGCTACCGTTGAGCAGTTTAGCACTTGGGATCACTAAGCTCATACAGCGTCACCCCGCTGTTCAGTGTGGTGTGGCAACCCCCAGGCAACTGGACACAGTGCCAGCAGCCCAGATGCAGGGAGGGGGGAGGCGAAGGTGTGGCAGTGCCAACTAAATAAAAGGCAGCATGACATTAAAGGCTGCAATACAAGACTTGAGCAACAGACAGGTATTTCAGGGGAGGCAAACTTTGAGGCTGGGTCCTAACCTGGCTTTTTCTAGACAAAGAAACTTCATCCCAGTGTGAAGAAAGAACATATGATGCTAAGACATTGAACTACCCAACCCATGCAGAGAATGGTGAGCACATTGGGGTGGTGAGCACATTGGGATGGTCAGGTAAGGTTGGAGGGTGGGTGGAGGCCACATGGGAAGAAATCTGAATACTAAAGAGTCTGGGCTTATTCCTTAGATCCCAGTGAATCGTATTAACACACTGAGTCTGCTTGACTGGCAATTCGGAGTCTATAGGAGGTCATAGTTGCATAAGTAACAGCAAACAGGTGACAAAGGACTAGGCCTGCACTAAAGCAGTGAAGAAAGGAGAGACTCACCTGGGGCTGATGTTTGGTTTTTTTTTTTGGTTTTTTTTTTTTTTAAGATTTATTTATTTATTTATTTATACAAGCACTGGGTACAGTCAGAAGCGCAGGAGGGCGAGGGAATTCACCAGAGCCAGAGTGGGGAACAGAACAGGCAGACTGACGAAATACATCGCTGAGGGGAGCAGCGGGCGGCAGGAGAGGTCTGCGCACCATGTGAGACCCTTGCCTGTGGCCAGGGATTACACTGGCGCTGTGGACAGCTTCGCAGCCCAGTGCTCAACCGCTGCACCACCAGGGGAGGCCTGGGATGATGCTTGTTATCAACCCCTGAGGCCAAGTGCTCAGAGCAGCAGCAGCAGGTGATGTGGATGGTAGTGGGGCCAGTGCTGGTGATTGATGAGGGGTTTCAGCACCAAGGTCAACCTTGAAGGTGAGTGCACCCTTATATTTTGCACCCCAGGCCACTCTTCTCTTACCCTAGCCCCAGGTCTAGGACAAGTTGCTCAAGAGGGTGCAGTACCATTTTTCAGGTTAGAAAGCCCAGAAGAGCTGGATTGTCAAGGAAGATGATAAGCTTAGTTTGGTGCCTGTGGATTTTTCTGGCTACTAGATACAGAAGAGGCTTTCTTTTTCGGTCTCCAACCTTCGCCAAAGTTTTTCTAAATGACCTCATTATGTAGAATTAACCTTAAACATCTGCTTTGGCAGCATCTTCCTCCTTCCTGTCGGCTTAGAATTCCTCTCTAAGCAGCTGCTCCTTAGAGGAGGTACAGTGAGGAATTCCACTTGCTGGCAGTGGGAAAGGAAGTTTCCTGAGGAGCCTCCAGCCACCCAGATGACAGGTGTGGAACATGAAGGCCTTGGTGTCCTCCATCGGCAAGATCAGTCGGGTGCTGTGGAAATAGTGTGAGGACCCAGTGAACAGGTAAGAAGAGGACCAAGATCAGCACCCCCTGGGGAACCCAGAGTGAGTGAGTTACTCTAAAAGCTGCAAAAGTGAAACATTCTTAAACCTGAAGATGAGTTCAGTAGGCAAAGGAATGGGCAGATGACACAGCTGCCATCCGCTTTACCTGTCATTTCAGGAATAAAGGAAGTACATCCTCTGCTCTCTCTCCACCTGTACTAGTTTTCTGGGGTTGCCCTAACAAAGTGCCAAAAACTGATGCCTTAAAACAACAGAAATGTGTTCTCTCACAGTAGTGAAGGCTGGAGGTCTAAAGCCGAGGCGTTGTGTGGGCCCCACTCCCTCTGGACTCTCTGGGGGAGGATCTTCCTGGGCTCTTCTGGCTGCCACTTGTTCCATCATCCAGGTTTGTAGATGCATCAGCCCAGCACTTCCCATCGTCTCCCTTCACTTTTTACTTGTCTGCCTCTTAAAAGAGCTTATTCCAGGGCCTCCCGGTGGCGCAGCGGTTGAGCACTGGGTTGCCAAGCTGCCCGCAGCCTCTGCAGCGCCAATTCGATCCCCAGCTGCTCCCCGGCCACCGGAGGAGGGTCCCACAAGGAGGGTCCCATGTGGCGCGCAGACCTCTCCTGCCACCCGCTGCTCCCCTCAGCAGTGTATTTCATCGGTCTGTCTGTTCTGTTCCCTGCTCTGGCTCTGGTGAATTCTCTCACCCTCCTGCGCTTCTGACTATACCCAGTGCTTGTATAAATAAATAAATCTTTTAAAAATATATTGTTTTTAAAAAAAAGAGCTTATTCCAAATAAGGTCACATTTTGAGGAGTGGGGATTTGGGACTTAAACATGTTTTTTTTGGGGGGACACAATTCAATCTATGACAAACCATGACACCTCAGACTGGCCCTGATGCTCCTGTGCAGTCTACGGCTGTTACTCCACCTGTTTTCCATTGTAAACAGTCACTACTGAGAAGTGGGGGGACAGCGCCCTCCTTCCCCGAATGCACTTGAGGGAGGCTGGGTGCTGGCCTTGCTACGCTGCTATGGGGCTTCAGTATCTACCACACTGTGCTTAGATAGAGCAGCTCCAAGTACCCAAACTTCTGAGAAACCGGTGGGGAGACATACAGGAACCAGCGCGGGTGTTTTGGCTTTAGCCAGCGTGGCTGTGGTTTAAGGAATGAATGAGCTCTGCTGAGCCGAGCAAAAGTGCCGTTCTCATCTTCAGTCTGAGTTCTTTTTCTTTTTTTTTTTTTAGTTTGATGTTTATAATATTAAATTCAATATTACAAAATCAGTCTGGCTGGCCACAATTTCTTTGATGAATAAATTGAAATGAATTCTTTTGTGTCCTGGGTCACAGTTGCCTTTTAGGGGATGCTGCTGGAAGGAATCTGATTGCTCCTTAATCTGCTAGAGCGCCCCCGTGAATTGGCACTTTATAGTTGCCGGCTTGCCTCACACACACAAGTGTTCTAGTTTATGCCTTCTTGAAAGGAAGTTGTTTTACGGGTTGTTTTTCTTTATAAGACCAAGGAAATCATTACTAAATTAGAACATGAGTCAAAGTCATAAGTGAATAATAGCAGACTATGTAAAAATAATACTCTTTCAAGAGTTCATAGTAAAGGCCATTTTTATAAACCTTTGTTCTTTTCCAATCATCTCTAAAGGAAATGACGTAACCATGTATAATAGGTGAGACATTCTTTTTTTAATTCAAATAAAGTAATTAGCATTGTCTATATTACTATAGAATTAGATCTTCCCTCCAAATGTTTTTCTTTGTGAACTTTACATAAGAATTAAAATTCTTAAGACTGATGGACTTTTTCATTTTTCTACTTCGTTATTAAATTAAATTTAGCTGTATGTTTAATGTGGTGTTAACATATCCCAGGTAGTTCAAGTACTCATCAGTAATATGGCAGAAATGCTTGTTTGGCTTAAATAATGGTAAAACTTCCTTTGTCAAAGTCAAGTAGTGAATAGGTCACTAAACTTTATTTCCTTCCCACTTACACCTGGACCAGATAGGGGGAAAAGAGGGTGAAAGAGGCAAAGAGGAAACGCTGCCTGCATGAACTGGGAGGAGAAGCTAGATGGAGACCATAAATGCACGCTCTGCCTTTCCTGAGAGCCTCATCATTTCAACGTATCTTCTCCGGTGTGGGGGTCCTCTGCGTGCCTCCCCCGCAGAATCAGCCCACAGGCCTACATTTCCCTAAAATGTGTTCCTGTATTGCTTTCTCGCATCTCAGTGGTTCAAGGGTTACACGCAACCCCTGGAAGCCCAGGGTGCTTCCTGAGCCTGATTCCCCCTCTTCAGGGGAGCCTGCGCGGGCATACAGGGGGAATGTGCGCCACCTGCTGGGGAAGGTGCTTCTGCAAACCGTCTCTTTCAGAAGTTAAAAAGACTTTGTTTTCTTTTTCATGATGCATTTGTATTTATCTTAATTTTAAAATTCTTCACCATATTTCTGCTTTATATTAACCCATGGGGAAATGTTTCTCTTTTGATGCCAAGTAGTCCAATTTGAGTTGAGTGGTCTTCAATACATGCTAGATACCATGAGGAAAATTTTGAATGGGAGGTAAAATAGATTCGAACCTTGAAGGGTGGCTGTGCCCCGGCATATCTAGACCATGCAGGACCTTAGCCGCACTTAGCCTTCATCCTCACGGAAACCCTGCTCTTTCTGTCCTCCAGTAGAGCAGCTATGACTTTTACCTCCAATTAGTTAACAATAAGGAAGGATTTTGTTTTTAAATACTCACAAGACCAGATATATTCCCAGAAATGCATGCACAATAGTTTTACAATAGCAACTGCTGAAAACAACTAAAAAACATCAAATATTAAGCAGTTGAATACGTAAAATATATTGACATGGAAAATTTCATAATAGGGCACTGAGTAAAAAAATGTACGCCACAAGAGTATGAAATGCAGAATATCAATTAGCAATAATTAGAAAGTCAGTGTTATCTGATATTTTCTCAGTTTAAGGCAGATTTTGAAATCAAATGGTGAGCTTAACTACTCCAGAGATCTTTACTAAATCATCTTCAGGTGAATCATCTCATGCAACCTACTTTTGAACAATAAGAATTAAATAAAAATAAGAAAAAAATAGATCACTATTGCTACATAAGTCATGGAAATGTCTATTAAAAAATAAACGAGCCTTAACAATTATCACTGTTAAAGTCACAATAAAATAAGACATTCTTGCTAAATATGGCATTGGCTGTTTCAGGCTCAATTTAACTCCTGATTACTCTGCAGATGCTCACTTGGAAAAAAAATCATAATGCCTGTAATTGATAATGATATTCTATCCTACCATGAAATGTTACCTCAGGCAGAAATAAACTGAATTCCAAGCAGCGGCCAGCAGGAAGCTATTTAATCTGTTCTCCACTGATATTGTCACAGCAGCATTGCCTACAACATAAAATCTAAACTACTTAATTTGGAATCAAAGGTCTTTTACAGTGAGATCACAAGCCAGACTTCTGCTGGGCTCCTGCTTTTCCTCTCCATGCACCCTGTGCTTATCAGCGACACTTCTGTGGCTTTGCTGATGTCCTTAACAGTCAGGAGCACCCCTCGTGCTGCCCTCCCTCTCCCCCACCCCTGGACTGGTCACATGGCCACAGGCAGCAGTGGCACAGGGGAGAATGCCCCACACCTGGAGTCAGAAGGCCTGAACTCCTATTGTCCATCTCTAAGGATTCGGCCTGAGGTCATCCTCAAGGTTGTGGAAACACTCCTCGGGTTATTTCCTGAAAAAAGAGGATAATCATAATAATTAGGTAGGAGAGTTAGCATAAAGACGAAATCATTTCATAGGCGCAAAATGCACATTTTGTAAAGCTGCAAAATGCTTTGCAGGTGCGGGTCATAATTACTATACCACTTCACTGTACCAGGAACTTCACCTGCTTGTGATTGTGCTTCAAAACCTTACCTTCTTTCCCCACCTTCAAGGCCATTTTCTTGAAACAAGGTTTAAATCTCACCCGTGTGCTTAGTCAAAGCAATTATTGTTTGGGATGTAATAAAGCTGCCTGGATTGATCAAACTATGTGAACTTTTAGGGAAAGCAAAACTGCCCAGAACGGGGAGGGCTTTCGGGAAGGGAAAGAGCTCTTGTGTGCTTGGCTGACATCTCCAGCTACCTACCTCTTCCTTCGCCCCTTCCTCTTCTCTCTGCTTTCCCCTCTCTGCCTGGTCTTTTTCTGATCTCTTTTTTTCCGTTCACTAAGAGAATAACAAGAGAAGGCTGACTGCTCACTGCTCACGTCTCTTCCCTGGCGCCACCTAGCGGTATCTTTTGTAAATACTCAGTGCCCAGCAGCTCACATTAAACACTCCACCATCGCCAAGTCCGGGGCTGACCCATAGGGATATGCTTTGCCCTTGCCTGCGTTCCCAGGCTTAAGCTGAGCAGCTGGAGGCTGTTGGAACCCCCTACTTACAGAGCCACCAGGATGGCTGAGACTCACCATCAACTGTGGCAGTCAGAGACCACCACTCCCAGAGACACAGATAGTGGTTTCTTGGCCAGCAGTCGCCCACAGGTGGAATATACCTGGAGACAGGCTGGCGAGGGTGTTTGGGTTCCAGGATCCTTGCCCCTGCCTGAAGAGGAGAGCACAGAAGGCGGGGGCAGATCTGAATACCAAGACTAGGTCAATTCTGGCATACGAGGGGACTCAGCACTCAGAAGAGTGTGCAAGGCCAGGAAGGAGGCTCTGATTCTAGAATGAGTTCTGCCATTCATATGAAGTTTCCTCTTTAGGGCAGGAAATCACAGTGGCTCTGGCACAGGTTCAGTGTACCCTCATTTGCAAAAACACCTGTCTCAAAGGGTTATTATGGGCTTTACAAGGGTTACTGGAGGGGAAGCATTGGGGTCAGTTCCTGGAACCCAGTAAGCCTCCTACAAACGGGAGCTATCATCATGGTTGCTAGCATTCTGACTTTATTTTTGTCAGCTGTAAAGGAAGGGTAACAAAGGGAGGTTGAAATCATCTGTGCTTCTTTCTAACCAGCCAGAAAAGAGGGGAAGGCAAAGTTACACTCCATCTGAGCCTGAAGCTGAACTGGGTTTTGGAGTGCAGAGAAAAATAATACTCCTGCGATCAGACAACTTACAGTTTGCTGGAAAGACAGAGGGAAACTACTGATTCAAGGCAACACGTGTTCAGTGATGGAACAGACACAGGGAAAGTTCTAAAGGAGAACAGACATGGGTTTGTAGCATAGTGAAAAGATGTACGCGGACCCTGTCTTAAACCCCAAATTTTCCTCTTGTGACCCTGGGCCGTTCTCTTCGTCATCTGTGCCTCAGCTTTCTTGTCTGTACAACTGGAAATAATGAGAGCCTGTTTCACAAAGTCCTCGTGAAAATGAGGCCAACAACTGTACATAACGCCGCTCCTGCTGTACTGGAGAGACTTTCAAGTGAATGTGACAGGGCTTCCGCGAGAATGGTTCAAGGCCCGGGCTAAAGAAATGGGCACGGAAAGGGCGATGGAAGAGGGCCTCGTCCTTCCAGGGTCCCTTCATTCTTGTGGATAAAGTCAAGAGAACCAGGGAGGTGGCTGGCTACTCCAGATTCTGGTCTGGCGCAGGCGCCCTGGGTCCTCTGCGTCCTCGTTGCCCGTGGCAACCGGCAGCCGGACGCTCTGGCCGAGTATAGGCGCCGAGGCGGTAAGATGGCTCTGAGCTCCCGGTCGCCAGAGTCGGGGTTCGGCGGCGGAGAGAAGATGCGCCAGGGGGCCCTTGTCTCCACCGGCCCCTCCCTGGAGTTATGCACGATCCCTTCCACCCTGGGCTCCTCGGTCGCGGCCGACGCGCTGGAGCAGCTCTTTGTTGTGGGTAAGAGACCGGGGCTCGGCAGGCCCCCTCCCTGGGAGCTGGCGTCCCTCGGGAGCCCGCCGTGGGGACCCCTGGCGTCCCTGGCTGGGGCGAGCCTTCTCCATCCTAGGAGGCAGGGATTCAGAGAGGAGTGGGGGGGACTCGGTGCTCAACTCTCCGGCCCCAGCGCCAGTGGAGGGACCCAGGGCTGGTCAGCTGGTGTCTGGAGACAAATGCTGGACGCCGTTGCCGTTTGCCTGCGCTCGAGTGCCCACCTGCTTTTAGACTATGCCCTCGATGTCAGCTAGTCCTTTCCTGGCGTTTCTTTGCAAGTTAATTTCCTCCAACATCTTGTCCTAAAGAACTGGAGAATTTACCAGGCAAATAAAAAAATAAAAAGGAAGGGAGGCTTAAGAAGTTAAAAAGTTTACTTGCCTTTTAGTAACAAGAAACAGAGAAAGACCTTGGATGTGACTGAGTTAAAATACTTTTTCAGTAAAAAAACTGAACACTTAAGTTGAAGGTAAGATATAGTCCAAGAAAGTGCATGTAACCATCTAGGTTACAAAGCAAAAGTATCCCCTTGCTTCACTAGATCACCTCATAGCTTCAAATTAATTGTTTGATCTCTACTGTAATGTTACTGTTTGGAACATGTTCCTTTTTCCTTCTGAAATGAACTAATTTGACTTCATAATTCTTGTGCGATTGGCTTGGACAAGTATTATAAAGAAGATTAACCACCGATGAGACATAAACAATTTCACCTGTGCCCAAGGTCGTACTTAGGGTCTCAAACTCTCCTTGTATTTCATCTCCAGATGAGCATGTTCGTCCACCCCTGTACTTAGATACTTTTTTTTTTTCTGCTAATAATTTCTGGGCCCTCAGTCTTTTGTAGAAAAAACTTCATCGAGCCTTCTTGTTCTCAGTATGAGTTCTAAAATATGTAGCTCTCCAGTCCGTTTGCAAGAGGGAACATGCTGTGTTCATTCATTTCATGGTAGAATGGAAAGGAGTTAACAGGCCAAGCCTGTGTCGCCTGAACACACACCTGTTTGCAAACTCATAACTGATTTTTCACTTGGTTTGGGAGGTTAGTCATTAAGAGATTCCAAGTTCCATGACACTGAGGGCAGACATTTCTATGTACTCCTCTGAGAGTTGATGATGGTCATTAAGGGCATTACGCTGGAGTCACCTGACTTGCATCAGAATCCAGACTCTACCACTGATGGGCTCTGAGACCTTGAACGTATACATGGCCTCAAAGTCACCTGTGTAAGGTTGTAAGAATCAACTAAGATGATCCGTGTAAAACATTAATCACATCAAATATCTCACACATGGGCGTGCAAGCCTGGAACCCAGAGACAAAGTTCCTAAATTGCAATGATGACAAAGGTGGGGTAAGTAGAGCTTCCTGTTTTTTTCTTCCCTTTACCCTTTCTTTTCTCTTTATTCTTCCCAACCCACCTGTAACTTGTCATTAATGTCTTTGCCAACATTTCCTAAGCCTCTCGTGTGAGAAGGAAGGGGGCATCTGAAGGTATGTCAATGAATGAGAACAGCAGACTTTGTCTACCTCACACCTACCAGTTTTACAAAGAAGTTTTACAAAGAAGCAGTTACATGTGCTTTTTGGGAAAAATATTATGTTTAGGGTAGATGTATACAAATACATAAAACTATATACATATATATGAAAACATTCCTAAATCTGCTTTATGGGCGTGTTATAATTAGCCCTCTCATAAATATTTATTGAATTTATTTATTATTTATACAGATTCCTTCCTTGAACCATGAGATACAAAGATGGAATATAAAAAGAGGAGTTTGTCCTCAAGACACTTAAAATATATACACACATTAGAATACTATGAAATAGGAAATAAACTATAAAAGAGAGTCATATAAAGTACTGTAGAAATTCAGATATAGAAGTTGTAATTTCTAAGTGAGTTAACATTTGAACTAGTTCTTCAAGGTTTAAGTAGAATTTGAACAATAAGAGACCTTAATCTTCTGATTTCTTTTTTTTAGAAAAAGCGCTGCAAAGTGACTATTTTAAATGCAACGAGGAAGCTAAGACCTTTCTTAAGGACATTGCTATAGCTGTTAAGAAATTGGTATTGTATTATCTACAAATTTTTTTAAGTCTTTCTCTTATTTCTTCATCAAACTTTAATTTAGCATCAACTCTGTTCAAGATATTTCAATAGATCAATAGACAAAAAAAATTTAACCTGAATTAAAATTTTTTTTCTCAATTTGCTAGATGTTTGCTCCACCTTTAAACTGATTGAAAATGGATGTAAGAAAGACATTTACATAGTGAAAGATGGTTTCTGCACTGAAGGAAAAAGTCAACAGAAATTAAAATTACAATACCTTAAAAAAATCAATGATAGCATATTTTTCAAATTTGCTATACCAAGTTAAAACAGGCAGATGTTTAATGAAAATCAAATTTTAGCCCCTGAGACAGATGTAGACTATTATTTAGAAAATCAATCTTATTATCTAAGTGCCTTAACTTGGTAAATATGTCATTTAAATTTTCAGGAAGAAATGAGAAAAACCACCATAGATCTTCTGGAAATTGAAAGCATGGAACTCAGTAGACTATATTTTCTACTGGAAACTCTTCCCACTAACATTAACAGCGAACTGGAAGGTAACTTTGTGGTTATCACTGTAAAAATTTAGTTTTTCTAATAAGAAAAGAGAGCCAAGAACTTATAACAAGATGAGTTTAATGTGAAAAACATAGCTAGAAAGAGTACACAAGCACAATGAGATCCATAATATTTTTTCCTTAAATTTTAAGTGAAAATAATATATATAAAGGTTGAATTTTAAAAATTTAGTTTTTAAATGGACTAAATATATGTGGATCAGCCCATTCCTAGTTGATGTTTATATAATTAAATTAGGCAGCTTGGCTGACCTGAACAACCATTCCACTGTCTATGAGTTTGGCTACTATAGGGATCTTATATAGTGGAATCATACAATATTTGTCCTTTTGTGACTGGCTTATTTCACTTGGCTTGTCTTTGAAGTTTACCCATGTTATAGTATGTGTCGCAATTTCTTTTTAAAGGCTGAACAATAGTCCAGTGTGTGTGTGTATGTCATGTTTTATTTATCCATTCTTTCATGGACCCTTGGATTTGTCTCCGCCTTTTGGATATTGTGAATAATGCATTTATGAACAAAGGTGTGCAAATATCTATTGGAGTCCTTGCTTCCAATTTTTGGGGGTATTCTATATTGAAATGAAATTACTAGATTATATAGGATATATTTATATCCTTTTACATTTAACTTCTTGAGAAACTGCCATACTGCTTTCCACAGCGGTGTATGTACCCTTTTATATTTCCACTGACAATGCACAGGGTTTCAACCTTTTTAAATTCTCACCAACATTTGTTTCTTTAATGATAGCCATCCTAATACACATGACCTGGCATCTCATTGTGGTTTTGCATTTCTCTAATAATTAGCAATTTAAGCATCTTTTCTAGTATTTAGTGGTCACTGGCATGTTGTTGAAGAAATGTCTGTTCAAGTTCTTTGCCCATCACTTAATCCAGTTGTTTATTTGTTGAATTGTAGAAGATCTTTATATATTATGGATGCTAACTCCTTATCAGGGTAATCACCCCTTATCAGGTGTAATCATATACTGCTTAACACTGGGGATACTGAGAAAAGCATCATTAGTTGATTTTGTCATATGTGTGAACATCATAGAGTGTAACTACACAAACCTAGGTGATATTGCCTGTTGCACACCTGAGCAGAGCCTATTGGGACTGTCTGTTGTTGACTGAAATGTTGTTAACTGACATACAACTATATACAATTTGCAAATATTTTCTCCCATTGCTGTTGATAGTGGCTTTTGATGCACAAAAGCTTTGAATTTTGTTGTCCTGTTTATTTTTTTCTTTTGTTGCCTGTGCTTTGGGTGTTACAACTAAGAAATCATTGCCAAATTCAGTGTCATGAAGTTTTTCCCCCTATGTTTTTTTCCTAAGTAATTTTAACTTCCATTAAGGTCTTTGATCCATTATGAGCTAAGTTTATATTTGGGGTAAGCGCTTGGCATTTTTCCAACTACCAAGAGTGTTGTCTATACATAAGTCCAAGTTTGCTCCACCTTTCCTACATCTGGGTTACACATGCATGGGTATGGGTGTCTGAAGGAGTCCCCTGGAGGAGGTGACAGGGACATCCTAGACAGGAAGTGAGGAGCAGGCAGAACAGTCAGGAATCAGGTGCTGCCCATCTGCACCAGCCTGTAGCTGTTCAGAGCCTGCAGAAGCCTGGTCACAGAGCAGCTGCTGAAATCAGGGAAATCCCCAATGGGTAAGATCAACAGGGTCTAAAGGGATGAGGAAGAGGGGACCAGTACAGGGACACTATTAAAAGAATATTTCAGAGAAAGCTGTCACTTGCCCATGATTTGAAAAGTCAGTATCTATTCTTGTGCTATTTCTCAAATAATTCGGTAACATTTCCACTTACTTTTAAGAATGTGTCAGAGATGCTCGCAAATTAAATCTTTGTGAGAAAAAGAAATTACAAACAAAAGTCACAAACCAGAATAATGAAATACAGCTTCTGGAGGGGACAATAATTGATATGAAAATAAAGAATGAAGAACTGGGGTAGGTATTTTTTTAATTCAGTACTTGAGGGAGTCAGGGTCTGGGGCTGGAGTGGGGAAGTTCTCCTAAGATAGGTTGCCCCCTGGTCTGACTGGCACAGGGCCAGTTAGGAAGTAGAGATCATTTGTAGAGATAACCTGGGCTGCAAGGAGCTGGGCTGCAAGGAGCTGAGAGAGACAGCCAGAAGACCAATAAAGTTTCAGAGGCAGTCCAGCCTCCCAATAGCAAAGACAGTTTGTAAATCACACACTGCCTCATATGCCACCTTTAAAGATGGAGGCACATGGTGACTTTAGTTTCCATTTCTAATACAATTCAGTTTACAAACCTCACCCACCAATGCAAGAACACTTGCTGGGTATTATATTGAAAATAGAGCATTAAGCCAGATATGTTACATCTACTTTAGTTACTTAAAGATATTCAGTCTTATAATCTATTGGAGGGTTGAGAGTAGGACCAGTTGCCAGGTGGGGGTTCAGGATATGATGTTTCATTGATAATATCGCACTGACAAACGGGAGTCGTGGAGCAAGCTGTAGGACGTAGGATGCTGCTGAAGAGCAAGATCCTGGCCTTTTTATTGATAGAAGAATTATACAGCATCAGTTGTGTGGGGAAGGAAGACAAAAAGAAAAGGGAGGGGTGAAATTAGCAAAGGTGCTCTGTCATATATAGTTTCAGGGGTTGTGAGTCTGCCCTCCGGGCACTTCTCAGCTGTTTGATGACTTGGTATTGTAATTGAGATCAAGCTCTAGTTCCCCAGCCATGGTTTCAGTCTTATCAACTAGGCTTTCCAGTGATCAGCTTCTGGGGTCCCTTGTCATATTTCATCCTTGCCCACCTTCCGCCCCTCCTCACACCTCGAGATGCATTGCCTTCCCAGAGTGATCAAGCTTTAAACTCTTGGTTGATTTGAAAGGCATCTTACAAGATTTGGCTCCTATGACTGATTGGGCAGTTCTGACCAAAAAATGGTGGCCAAACAGGCCATTTAAGAGTAGCAGACCCACAGTATGACACCTGTTTATTTCCTTTAATCAGACCAGCAATTCACCCCTATTCGCTTCACTTTCTCTATCTGTAAAATGGGGATCACAAGTCTTGACTTACTCAGCTCATGGAGGAAGAGGTGGATTCTGAAAGAGGGGGGAGAACGCACCCTGAATAATAACTTAGCACTGTGATCAAAACTAGAAAACTAACGTATAGGTAAATGTCAGTTTTTCAGAGTAAGAAATGATCAAAGAGCCCTCAGCATAGTGAAAAAAATCTTCCTCGGAAGCTAAAATAATCACAAAGGTTGCTTGGTGAACAAGATACCCAAGCATTAGAAATTGGGTGGCCTAGGGAGGGAACATTTTCCTGAAGTAGGCCCTCAGGGTTCTTGTTCTGGGAGAGGCTCCATGAAAAAGGAAGTCCCGTGATCACATAGTTTGAGAAATCCTGCATACTGTAACCCCAGGTGGGGATTCACAGCGCAGACCTGTGCAGGGTGCATACTAGCCACAGCTGCCAGAGGATGCAGGTGATCCATTGCTAAGCTCTAGAGGTGGGAGATGATACCCAGACTGGAATCCTCATATCAGTCAGCCAGCCCCATCACACCCCTGCAGACCAGTGATTCTCAAACTTGAGGAGGCATCAGAATCACCTGGAATGATGGTTGAAACACAAATTACTGGGACTCTCCTGTGCCAGAATTTCTGATTTAGTACATCAGGGGGTCGGGGCTAAGAAGTCACATTTTAACAAGTTCCCAGGTGATGCCACTACTGGTGGTCCTGAGAATTTCTTTGCGGAAAGACAAATCAAAAACATAAAGCGGGCTGCTTGATGAGCTAGCATCATCAAGCTACAATCATTGTTGCATCCACTTTTCGAAGAAAAGATACATATCAAGACACCCATGTGCCCTGACAGGTGAGCCCCTCCTGAACAGCCCTCAAAACCTGGGTATGTGTGCAAACCCCTTGGGTGGGTTTTCCTTTGGCCCCACACTGGGTTTCTGAAGGCTTTCTTCTCAACCCATTATAATATTCCTAGTTAGGTTTTGTTTTTTAGAGAAGACTTGTATTTTGCAAATTATTTTTTTTTGGTAGCATTGGTTTATAATGTTATGGCAGTTTCAGGTGAACAGCCTTGTAAATCAACATCTGTATAAGCTGCTGTAGTGGCAGGAAGGCATGGTGCAGGATCTCTATGATCCTATGCAGGCGGGTGAAGGAGGAGTCCTGGAGCCTATGGTGGCTTTCCCAGGCTTTTATTGAGTTTACCAGGCTCATGACAGGCAGGGGAGAGGCCAGGGGGCTGGGAGGCTGGCAGGCCTTCCAGCTCCCAGTGAATCTTCACTCTTTCTGGGCTTGCTGGCGTTGTCTCGTGGTCTTATTCGCTTCCTCTTTCTCTCCACTGCTCTTTCCATTCCTCTGGCGTCCCATGATGCTGCCCTTATAAGCCCAGTCTCAGCCCAGGTGTACCCACCTACATATGCCCACACCCTGCAGCTTACATTGCCCCACAGCTACATTGTGCTGGCCACCGAGAGTCTAGTTTCCATCCACCATCAAGCAACTAACCCCCTTACCCTGGCGTGTCCGCTCTTCTTCCCACTCTCCTCCCAGTAACCACTATTTTGTTCCTAGAGTTTAAGAATCTGTTTTTATTTTGTTTATGTGTTTTGTGTCTAGTTAGGTTTTTTGATTTGACGTGTTATCTTTTTTTTTTTTTTTAAGATTTATTTATTTATACAAGTACTGGGTACAGTCAGAAGCGTGGGAGGGTGAGAGAATTCACCAGAGCAGGGAGCAGAACAGACAGACTGATGAAGTACACTGCTGAGGGGGAGCAGTGAGCGGCAGGAGAGGTCTGCATGCCATGTGGGACCCTCACCCGGCTGCCAGGTATTGAACTGGCGCTGCAGAGGCTGCAGGCAGCTTTGCAACCTAGTGCTCAACTGCTGCACCACCAAGGAGGCCCCTGACGTGTTATCTTTTGCTTGTTGCTTGGTCACTGTGCTGATTCATTCTTAAGAGGCTTCCTCTACTAGACCCATGAAGCCTCCCTTCCTGACCCTTCTGAGCTGGCTTGCTTTTTCTTGCATCTCTGTGGAGGAGTTGCCTTCTGGAAAATAAATGTACCAACAATCTGTTTGCCTTTTCCTGAACCACAACACCCTGGATTAAAGAGTTTAGCCTTGGGAACTAGAAAAAAAGGAAAAGTCCTTTATATTGCAGAAGATTTTAGAAACAGAAAATAAAGAAATGGCACCAACTGTCGCTCCATCAAATCTTTCATTGTTAGTGCCGGGAGAGATGTTTCTCACAATCTTAAGGTCTTTCTCTGCTAGATAGGACCAGCGATGGATATATGAGGTTAATGTCTCCTCTTGCACTCAGATTTGGCTGCAGTTGGGAGAAGATGTGAAGGTTCACAATAGGTTTCAAGCAGCCTCTGAATAGTGAAAGTGCACTTAGCTCCCTCCCCCACTGACTCCCACCCATCTGTGGAAGGCTGGCTTACTCCTGGGCCCTGCCTAGGAGACAGTGGCATCAGAAGGTGGCTAGAAGCATCTTAATCTGTTTTCAGATTCACTATATCTCTCAGGATTATATAATAGATGTGGCAATGTTACACATCAAACCATCATCTAGCCAGATTCCATTCCCTGTTCAGAACTGCTTTTGAATTATTGTATACTTTATCAAAGGGTCCCAGAGTCACTACTTGGTATGTGGGATGGGTGGGGTGAGGCAGGACCACATGACATTTTTTTTTAAAGATTTATATATGCATACAAGTACTGGGGTACAATACAGGTCAGAGGTATCAGGAGTGAGAAGATTCACCAGAGACAGAGTGGGGAACAGAACAGGCGGACTGACTGAAATACACTGCTGAGGGGAGCAGCGGGCGAGTCAGGAGAGGTCTGCTGCGCATGTGGTTAGCTCCCTGGCTGGGGATCAAACTCATGCTGCAGTCGCTGTGGACAGCTTCATAGGTTGTGTCTTAACCCCTTGTAACACCAGGGAGGCCCCACATGGCATTTTTGCAGTGTAAACACTTGCAAAGTTAGCCCTTGTGGATTTCCTTCTGTCTTCATCTTCCCTAAGTGTCTGCAATCACATACAATCCTAAGACAAGTAGCCCCTTTAATTTCCCTCTTTAAGGGGTCTTATCTCACTGAAGAGTCTTTAAATTCCTTTCCTGAGATCCATGCTTCTCAGATGCCATGAACAATTCTTTTCTCCTAGTGAAAAGCAACAGAAGCTGCTGTGCCAGCACGAAAAGTTAGTCCTGTCCCTCAATCACGCAATGGCACAAAAAGCCCTAATCACAGTCTTCATCAATGAGACTTATACCAAAATAAAGATGGAGAAAGAAGAAATAGAAAAGCAAAAAAGATCTGCTCAGGAGGTAGAAGAGCAAATAGAAAGAGAAAAAGTAGAATATTTGCAAAATAAGCAAAAATTGAATGATCAGGTAAGTGGTTTGATTTATTTATTTTTTTAAAGACAGAATTATACAGAACCCCAAGCAGGTAATGGGATTTTTTTTTTTTTTTTTTTTTTTTTTTTTTTGTCCTCGAGACTAGCAAGAGCGCCCTGTGGTGTCTTCTGTGCACACTGGGATGGGGAGAGAGCTGAGGCCCCTCGGGGAAGATGTTTGTGGTCACTAGCAACACAGGAAAAATATGAGTGACAGGATTTGTAAGAGTGGGGTGACTCCTTGATCATGTGCACCCCTAGAAGGACAAGGAATTAGCCCCATGTCATCTGTTGCCTTGACAGTTCTGAGGCCTTGTCTCTACAGACAGGACCAGGAGTTCAGCTCCACTGAACCTGCTGCTCCTGTGGAGTGAGCCTGAGAGCAGCAGCCTGTGGAGGGGCCCATGGGCTCAGGAGAAGAGTATTTTGAAACCAGGAATTCTGTGAGGGTGGGCACAGGGGAGAGTGACTGCATCGTGCTGTCTGCTGGCTCATGATGATCAAAACTCCCCATCAGAGTGGTTTATGGTCAGTTCTTTGTTTCTGGTTCCTTTTCTGTTCCAGTTGTTCCAGAAGAGGCAGAGCTGCCTTCTTAGCTGATCCCAGCAGAGATCTTTTGCCCTCTTTTGCCCTCCCTTTTTCCCTAGCTCGTGTTGACATTGCCAAGCTCCTGATGTTGCCCTCTCTGGGATGGAAGGTGCCATAACCTCAGATTACAGATGCAGGAAATTAGACTCTAACTCACAACCCTGCTGTCTGTCTGTCTGTCTATCAATCAGTCATGTATATATAAATCATCTATCAATCGTCTATCTATCATGTACCTGTCATGTATCTATCAATCTACTATCTATCTTTAAAGAAAGGAGCATTTATCAAATTATTTTCTCGTGTCTGATTTAATATTGAGAGGAAGTCAGTCAGTCAGTGACCAATATTTAGTTCTTATGGTGACTGATTCCATGACTAAACTTGGGCTCTTTAGCACTCTTCATCAATTCCAATCAGGTCTGAGCTTTTTTGTCTTTCAAAGCATCGTGTCTTCCATAAGTTTTACCCTAAAGCCAAGGATTATTTTTTGATATCGCTAGCTCAGCCCTAGCCATCCCTCCTGTACAGGCAGATGGTGGAGTAGCTGGCAAGGTACTCCTTGGGCAGTCTGCAACCTCCCCCAAAAGAACTTGTAAAAGCTAAACTCCCTAGACCTTTTCAGGCATTGAAGCCAGGTTCTTGGCCTGGGCTTATTGGCAGTGCTGGAATCAACTGAAACCCATGTCTCAAAACCAGCAGCAGCTTCCTGGCCCTGGACTAGACCTTTCTTGCATTCATTGTTATAACAGTAAAATGGAAATTCCAGACAAGGACCAAAAGGACTTTTACTGTTTTCATCCCCTAGCCACAATGAGGCTGTGCAGGATTCTTATTACTTTATGTGCCTCCAGAAGGCACAATTTAAGAGGCACTTAAATTACAGGAGCAAATGGTGAGGAGTGTGTATGTGGGCACAGCTCAGTGATGAATTCTACCACAAAGGGGGCCAAGAGAGAGGCGTCCTGTCCCTTTTTTTCCCCTGGGATGAAAACACAGCCAGTGGTGGCGTGGGATATGGAGATTTGCTCAAGCAAGGGAGGCCCCATAGGCACAGGTTTTGTCTGTTTTATTCACTGCGGTGTCCCGGCACTGGTGCTGAGCAGTCCCTGCCAAGCCTCACAGGACGGGCAAGCTATATTACTTAATTGAAGGAATGAGTTTCAAACTTTAAGTCCTAAGTCCTTTATTTTAAATCCTAGGGGGAAGTTTTGTTCCTCCTTTCTATTCGTAATATAAATGTTAAGGTTCAAAAAAGGAAGCCCAGTCAGGCTTCAAATAGGGGATTTGTAAAAATGGCAAGTTCTTCTTCCTTATTACAATGTGAATAGTCTATCTTAAAGGTCCACAAGCGTTATCTGAAAGGGACCAGGTAGTACATGTTTAGAGCTTTGCAGGCTTTCTTATAACTACTCACCTCTGCCATGTTAGCCCCAAAGTAACCATAAACAATACCTAAATGAATGAGAGTGATGACAAAATCAAGTGGTGGTGGGACTTAGCACGCAGGGAATAGTCAGCCAACCCCTGGTTTAATTCCCTGGGAAAAGGCAGGAGTTAAGATGTATTCAGATGCATGTAATAGAAGCCCTCACTCAAATGGGATTAAGCAGTAAGGGCATTTATTCTTCCCAAGGTAGGGCAAACTCCAGGACTAGTTATTTCGGGGGCCCATACCTCTTCTTTCCCATGTTTTATCTTAAGACACATTCCCCTCGTGGTTGCGAGATGGCTGCCAGTAACAACTGGGCTAAATACTTCCCTTACCCAAGTAGAAAGAGAAAATCTTTTCACCATCTGGGAACTATAAGTCTTCTTGCTGTGTCTGATCTGGCCAGGTTAAGACGGCACCCGCTCCTGGAACAATCATGGATCCCTGAGAGTATCACGTGTAGGTTAGGCCAACTGGGTAGACGTTAAGGAGTCAGTCACTAAAGACACAGGAAAGGTTGTGCCTCCCAACAGCCTATTAATTCCCTGTACTTCCTATGAGGAAGGAAAAACTATTACAAGTATCAGACATGTTCACATCCTTAAGATCTCCCCTAATGCAAAACAAATACTTTCAGCTAACAGTATTTCAATCATTGCAAGACCTTGGGAGAAGGTTTAGGCGAAGTTGGAACACAGAATTCCAGTTTTCAACAAAATGTATTAATCACAAATTTTCATTGGGATGCAGAGATGACTGACAATTATCCCATTTACTCAGAGTTGCCACTGGTAAATGGTAACAATAGCAACTGCTCTTATGACTTACTCTCAGTAATCTTAAGCTCTTTCTATTTCAATACTTTGTACAGCTTAGTCCTTGTTCACTATTTTTCCCATGATACTACCAAACAAGTAAACCCAGCTATTTTTTTTAAATTTGTCAATAGGCTTAGATTGAATACAGCATGTGGCCCTAGAGTGAAAATAAATTAGACTGACAGAATAGGGCCTCCCTGGTTGCGCAGTGGTTGAGCGCTGGGTTGCGAAGCTGCCCACAGCCTGTACAGCACTGGTTCGATCCCTGGCCGCCGGGTGAGGGTCCCACATGGCACACAGACCTCTCCTGCCGCCCGCTGCTCCCCTCAGCAGTGTACTTCGTCAGTCTGCCTGTTCTACTCTCCGTTCTGGCTCTGGTGAATCCTCTCACCCTCCCTTGCCTCTGACTGTACCCAGTGCTTGTATAAATAAATAAATAAATCTTAAAAAAAAATTTGACAGAATAAAAAAAAGATTTCCTAAACTTTGCTGTTCCCCCGAAGCTTCTGATTGGTTTATTATTTTTGTCACTATAGATTGAAGAACAAAGAAAACTCTATGACCTTAAGAAAGAGGAGACTTATAAAGTAAAGAAAGAATTGAAAAAATTGAGGAGCAAAGTGACAAATATAAAAGAAACAGTTGCTACCAAGACAGTGGTAAGAAAGAGTAAACTCTGTTTTTCAAGTATGAGGTGGCCTCTGTTCTGGGACAATGTTTTTGAAATGTTAATATTTCCCGGCAATTGTGCTTTCTCTTCAGGAATACAGTAGAAAGAAGGAAATTTGAAATGCCTTAGGTATAAATTGTATTTGATAAGCCAAATACTGTAAAAATTATTTTAAAAATGCACATGGCACTGACCAAATGCACACAAAACTGTATGTCACAAAATGAATAACCAAGGGCTGATTCCTTAATCCTGAATAAATGAAAATAAAATGAAGCTTCTACTGAGTACAGAAGCTTTGACATAAAAGGGGACTTTGTCTATTTGAATTAGGAAATATTCAGAGCCCTGCATTCTATTTAAAAAATTGATAACATCAATTAAAAGTCAGCACTGTAATAAGTATTTTATTTTGTTAAGGATATGAAAACTGAAGCTTGTGGAGGTGACTCTAATTGAAGAAGTTAATGTTAACACTACTTTATCATATTAGTTGAAATAATGAATCTTTAGTGCATTTATTTCTATCTGTGTTGAGAATTACTTGGGAAAGCATATGATGCTACAGTAATAAGAAACATATTACTACTGAACGCTTCATTAATTGCATTCTATTTTTTAATTCTGATCAAAAAAGTTCTGGTCATTGTAATTACCATATATTTATCATGATATCCAATTACAAAACATTAGTAAAATCAAAAAATTTCCCCAAATGGGGCCTCCCTGATGGCACAAGGCGTTAATATGCAGCATTATGAAGCTATCCACAGCCACTGCAGCATGAGTTTGATCCCTGGCCAACTGGCTAGGCCTCTCCTGTCTTGCCCGCTGCTCCCCTCAGTAGCGTATCTCAGTCAGTCTGCCTGTTCTGCTCCCCACTCTGTCTCTGGTGAATCCTCTCACCCCGCCACCTACCTGCCCCACGCCTCTGGACTGCACCCCAGCTCTTGTATGCATAAATAAATAAATCTTTTTTAAAAATTTCACTAAATCTGTGCATTTTTAAAAATCATTATCTGCTTTTAAAATTTCATCATATTAAGGAACGTGAGTTGGGCTAGACCCAAAGCAGAACATACAGATTATATTGATATAAAACAGATTTTATCTGATATCCAAGCTCATATCTCCAATTTTGAGAGATAAATTGCTAAATTTATCTCATAAATTGCTAAGTCAAACACACCACCAACCTAACTTGGGAAAATGAAGTGTATGTTTCTTAACCTGGACTGCAAAAATCTTGAAGGCCAAATCCGATAATGCTTGGAGGTGGCAGGGATAAACTCACCTCCAGGGTCATTCACCACCACCCACAATCCAGCCCACCCCCCTCCTCCCACCGTGATAGTGGAGAATAGTGTTTAAAGCACAAACTTGAGTGTCACAGAAACCTGGGTTCAAATCTTGGCTCTACCAACCCAAAGTTTCCTCCCTGTAAATTGTACGCAAGAATATTACTGTGTAAGGCTTATGTTTGAATACAAGTGAGGTTTATGTTTGAATATATTGTAATTGGTTGTCATAGTTGTCATTGCCTGAAATTAGAAAACAACATTTTGGCTATGGACTGAAGGACAAGAGAGAATTTCATATTAATCTTCATGTGGTACCTTCAGTTTGGAAAAACTCAGCAGCCAGGTCAAGCTGATATGATGTTGGCAGAAAAGAATAATGGTGCATGACTCTTGTGGTGACCTCCATGTCCAGGGCAGGGAGAACAGAGGGCTGGAGGTAACCAGTATCAGACTTGATGGCAATTAGTGTCCTCTAGACATTCTGCTAATTTTGATGGCAGTTTTAGGATTTCAGACCCCTATCATCTTTGGAACCAGTTGTGAACCAGAAGTTTAGTCATATGGGCATCTTATTTGTTTTTTTAAAGATTTATTTATGCGTACAAGAACTGGGGTATAGGCCAGAGGTGGCAAGGTGAGTGGATTCACCACAGACAGAGTGGGGTACAGAACAGGCAGACTGACTGAAAAACACTGCTGAGGGGAGCAGGGTGCGAGACAGGAGAGGTCTGCTGCGCCATGTGGGTTGTTCCCTGGCCAGCTGGGGATGGGCTGAGGATCAAACTCATGCTACAGAGGCTGGGGATAGCTTCACTGGGCTGTGCTTAACCCCTTGTGCCACCAGGGAGGCCCCGTTTGGGTGTTTTAAAGGAAGAAATAGTTTGTTGGAGTCGTAGCACTCCATCACCCCCACATCTCATCTGGCATGAACAAGGGCCTCTGTGCTCTCAGCAGGTGTTTCTCTGACCCTGTCGTGTTGTGGACAGTCTGGTGTTAAAAATAATCTGTGCATGGTGACTCTGCCTGAGAGAAGAGCAAATATTTTCATCAGTCTTTCTTCTAGCTCCCTTCTCTCTTGCAAGCTAAAATGTGAACCCAAGGCTTTGATAAGTTTGGCTTCCCTTTTCTTTTATTCCAAAACTGTACTGTGAAAAAAATGTTTCAGTTTTAATCTTCTGCATGTATATTTTCCTTCCTTTAAATCATGCTAACATTTCTTTATAGTACCTAATTTTTCCATTTCCAAAACACCAATCAAATATTAAGAATGAAAAAATCTTTTTAGCTATCAATTAAGGCAAAAGATCTTTTATTTACCTTTTTAAAATAATACTACTTCTCGATCCTGGGATAATATTCTGACATTCATTATGAAAATATGGGATTTGTTTCATGCTTTTTAAATGGTTGACAAGATGAATTCATGTCTTGAATGTTGTTTTATATTTTTCACACTCTCACTGCTACTTTTGGTTGTTCTCTCCTCCATATTTTGTTTTTATTTGATAATTTCAGGATATTTCTGTCAAACTTTGTTTTACGAAGAAAGAATATAGATTTGTTTTTTAGACAAGGACATCTCCAATATGAAAGTTGAATAGAGTCTATGGCCATACCACCCTGAACGCGCCCGATCTCGTCTGAAAGTTGAATAGATAATGCATGAATATTTATTGAATTGAACTACTGTCATGAATTATCTGGTGATAATTGAATTCCATATTTTTATTGGATTTTCAATAGGTTATTAGCGATCACACTTTAGAAATAAGAGAACTCCAGGAATCAATAAAATATTGGGAAGAAAAGGTGGAAGAGATGAGGAACTCTTTTAAAATCCTGGAGGATAAGATGTAAATATGATACTTTATCTTTCCTTAAGCATTTCTTATATTCTGACTCTACCACTAGAGTATAATCTCCATGAGGATGGAGACTCTGCCTGTGATCTATCTCTAGTACCTAGAACACCTGCAGAAGGTGGGTGTTCAATAATTGCCTCTTAAATGAATGAATGATTGAATGAATGAATGAATCAAGAGTAATATTTTGTTCATTCTAATGAATATATAAATGAATATGTTACATAGGTTGATAGGACTGGAAGTTTCTTTTTTTTTAAAGATTTATTTATTTATACAAGAACTGGTGTACAGTCAGAGGCGTGGGAGGGTGAGAGGATTTTGCTTGGCCAATTCGAACTATGAACACCAGAGACAGAGCAGGGAACAGAACAGGCAGACTGACTGAAGGCACTGCTGAGGGGAGCAGTGGGCGAGGCAAGAGAGGTCTGCCGCACCATGTGGGTTTCTCCCTGGCTGGCCAGGAATTGAACCCATGCTGCAGAGGCTGCAGACAGCTTCACAGCGTGGTGCTCAACCTGCTGCGCTACCGGGAAGGTCTGGGACTGGAAGTTTCTGATGTCATAAGTAAATGTAGCTTTGCTGAAAAACATGTCCTAACTTGAATCTGTTTGGCTTCCTTTGTTCACAGTAATTTTTTTGTGACTAGCAAGGAAAAATTGGAAACTGCATCAAGTATTGGAAAAGAAGAATATTTGCAGAAGATAAAAGAGGTAGGAAAATAGAAATGATGGCTTTTATATTATATTTATTTTCTTTTTAGTTAATATTCTAAATATTTGTGAGAAATGTGAAAATTTTCTGAAAGTATATATATATATATATATATGTATATACATAAACTGATAATAATCAGGGCCATTCACAGTAATGATTTAAAGATTTTATTCTTTCCTAAAGTACTTTAAATATGTGAACAAACAGAAGTTGTGCATGGGAAAATGAACCATGTTTTTAACTTTTCATGTGGATATGGTTATTTTACATTAGGGATATCCATCGCTAATGCCTTTTATCATTTTAATTATTTTATTTTTCTATTTTAAATTTAAATTTTATTTTTATATTCCCCATACAATTACAACCCCCTTATTTTGACCCCAAGCCCTCCTTTCCCCGCCCCCCAAACCCCCATAGTGTGTCTCTTGTTCATAGTTACTTGTTGATTTTGATATTTTCTTTCTTATAGTTATTCTTTTTCCTGGTCCCTTATTTAAGTTTTCTAGATTCCTGCTATGAGTGAGACCATCCGGTATTTTTCTTTTTCTTTCTGGCTTATTTCACTGAGCATGATCCCTTCCAGGGCCATCCATGTTGCTGCAAATTGCATGTGTTGATCTTTTTTGAATGCTGAGTAATATTCCATGGTGTCTATGTACCACATCTTCTTGATCCAGTCATCTATTTTTGGGCATTTGGGTTGTTTCCAAAGCTTAGCTATTGTAAACAGTGCTGCTATAAACATAGGGGTGCGGGTGCTCTTTGGAATTGATGTTTCTGTGTCCTTTGGGTAAATACCTAGGAGTGGAATTGCTGGATCATATGGAAGCTCTATGTTTAGTAGGTCCAGAAATCTCCACACAGCTCTCCACAGTGGTTGGACCAGTTTGCACTCCCACCAACAGTGCAGGAGAGTTCCTTTTTCTCCACATCCTCGCCAACATTTGTTGTTGCTAGTTTTTTTAATATGTGCCCCAAAATATGGAACACTTCATGAATTTGCATGTCATCCTTGCGCAGGGGCCATGCTAATCTCCTCTGTATCGTTCCAATTTTAGTATATGTGCTGCCGAAGCAAACACCATTTTAATTATTTTAAATAATTAGGACTTTGTCCTGCTGTATGTGTGGTCCCTGGGAAGTAGAGCAACCTACATTGCATGTAATGTTGCCAGTGAGATATTTGAATTTTATTTAACTGCCAGGAGACATCATTTAAAAAACTCAGATTAAACACAATATCCTAGCACAAGTTCATACCCATGGGTCTAAAGGAAAATTCATCTACAAGATATTTAGTGCAGTTTTCATTATAATAGTTGAACAATTGGGGGAAAATACAATGAAAGTCCAACAAAACAGCCATGATTAAAAAATATCAATATTATTCATATTATTGAGTAACAAATATAAAACAGGACATATACCATGACCCTGTACACACACACACACACACACACACACACACACACACACACACTCACACACACATGCATCCCAGACATAGCTGAAAATTCCCATTGCCCCTTGCACTGAAGTTGAAATGTTCTTGGGATCCCCTCTCTGCCACTCTCCCCCCACATCAACCCCCTCACACGGACTGTCCCATACATATACCAGGACTTGCAGTGGCAGGTATATATGCCTACCTTCTCTATCTCTGGTTTGTCCCCTAGTGAACCAGGCTTTAAAATTCATCCCTTTCATAGTTCCTAATAGAAATTTATTCACCATAAGCATTTCCTGATCTGTTGTGAATTTTGAGTGGGCACAGGGAAGAATCCCACTGCAGAGTACAAAGCCATCTTGTTCTCCTTCTTTCTCTCCAAGTTCCTCATCCATCCTCTCGGTACACTACCATCCATGTTACAGGCCCTGACCTGCAAAGTTTGGGTCTGTTGCCCTCTAGGGAGAGAAGTCACTAGAGTGCTAGTGTAGTTGAGCCAGGAAAGGCTTTATTGGAGGGAACCAATGCCGGAAAGGAAAACTAGCCTGGCTCCGAAGGGAGTTAGGGGGAGATATTTAAAGGGTAGGTCCAGAAGGTGGGGAGGAGGAGCACAGCAGCGTCATAGCTCATTCTGAGTTGGGCTATGCCCTGGTGTGCAGCGACAGATTAAATTCCAACTGAGCCTGTGGGCTCTTAACCTTCTCCCACTGGGAAACTGTGAGATAATCTTTATTCAGGATCTAATGCTTTGTCTAGCATGGTGCCTAATTGTCAGTGTGGTCGGCCAAATTATTTGTACAGAGCTCACCCGTCCATGATTTGATCCACCTGCTGAAACAGGACTTGGAGTAACTCACCCTACTGGCTCACAGTTTCTTTCGCCTAGACTATGTCACCCATATTCAAATTTTTGTCCCTCTGTAACAAATCATGGCTTCACAACCCTTTCTCAAAAGCCTGTCACCATGTCCCAGGCAGGAACATCAAAGCATTTCTCAGATGAATGAGTTATACCAATTTAATTCTTTCCAATTTTGAGTGAGCAATCAGTGTAAAGATGGCTTGCCCTTCAGGCTGGACCTGTCTGCTGCTTTTGGTTGCAAGGATACTGCGGGACAGAAACGAAACAAGGTTTGTTGGTTGGTTTTTGAAGTTGCCTTTTGTTATTGGGACAAGGGATTTTTTGCTTTTCCCTTTATTTATTGTAGGAGCTGTTGGGCAGGTTTCAGCTCTTCTCACGGCTTCCAGCTCTCAGACTGCCTGAACAGTCCAGGACCCCAAACTAGTGGACTCATTTGGTCAAAGGGTCAAATGCAAAGAGGTTTCCCTTTAATGCATAGCCCTCAGCCAGCCTCCACAAGTGCAAGTGACTACATCAAAGGGAACAGGGTTCTGGGCCTCCCTGGTTGTGCAAGGGATTAAGAAGCAACCTATGAAGCTAACCGCAGGCACTGCAGCACGAGTTTGATCCTGGGTCAGGGAGCTACCCACATGGCACAGCAGACCTCTCCTGACTCTCCCGCTGCTCCCCTCAGCAGTGTGTTTCAGTCAATCTGCCTGTTCTGTTCCCCACTCTGTCTCTGGTGGATCTTCTCACCCCCCACACCTCTGGCTTGTACCCCAGTTCTTGTATGCATAAATAAATAAAAAAAAGAGAACAGGGTTCTAACCCATCTATTATTTCCATTGGGCTAAAAATTGACATTCATTCTTTTTTTTTTTTTTTAAAAGCTCATCTACTTTTTTATTTATTTATTTTTTTTATAGAGGCATGTTTTTACTTATTTATTTATTTATTTGTTTGTTTTGTTTATACATGCACTGGGTACAGTCAGAAGCGCGGGAGGGTGAGAGAATTCACCAGAGCCAGAGCAGGGAGCAGAGCAGGCAGAAGGACCAAAGTACACTGCTGAGGGGAGCAGCGGGCGGCAGGAGAGGTCTGCGCGCCATGTGGGACCCTCCTCTGGTGGCCGGGGAGCAGCCGGGGATCGAACCGGCATCGCAGAGGCCACGGGCAGCTTTGCAACCCAGCGCTCAACCGCTGCGCCACCGGGGAGGCCCGACATTCATTCTTAATATTCATGAGTAATATGAGGCAAGTTGACTGATAACAACATTTTATTGTACTTTAACTTTTTTGTTGCAAACATTGTACATATATGGGATAGTAATATACTGGAAATGTGTAGTCATCATGTACTTATCTATCTTTCCATTAATATAATTTGTTAATTTTAATGAAGTCCAGTATATCAGGCTTTTCCTTTTTGGCCAATGCTTTTTTGCATCTTACATCATCAGGATTGTCTCCTATATGATCTTCTAGAAGCTTTATTGTTTGACCATTCACATTTAGGATTACAAGCCATTTACAATCTCTCTGTATGTGTATTTTTCTATAAGACTGCCCAATTAACTAATGCCAGTTTAAAGAAAAGACAGTGTTTTCCTCCATACTGCGGAGCACTTTTGTTATAAATCAAGTGTGGATTTTAAATGCGTCATAAATATGTGTGTTTATCTGTAGACTATTGTGTTCATTTGGACTATTTGTCTTTCCTCATATTAAAACCATACTGCCTTAATTAGTAGTGTTTTTTTTTTTAAGATTTATTCATTTATGCATACAAGAGCTGGGGTACAGGCCAGAGATTCAGGGGGGTGAGAGGATTCACCAGAGACAGAGTGGGGAACAGAACAGGCAGATCTACCAAGGTACATTGCTGAAGGGAGCAGCGGGGAGACAGGAGAGGTCTGCTGCACCATGTGGGTTGCTCCCTGGCCGGCTAGGGAATGAACTTGTGCTGCAGAGGCTGCAGATTGCTTCGTAGTGTGGTGCTTCATCCCTTGCACCACCAGGAGGCCCCCAAATTAGTATTTTTTAAAAATAATTTCTTATGTTAGTGGGCAGGCTGAGGGTTACCACAGGAACCCCAAACTGGCATGCTCTAAATGGTTTCTGCCCCCTGCCACATAAAGACAAAGCATATGCCTAGTGAGAGCTTTAATAGAATTTTGTGCATAGAGAGGGAAGAAGAGAAAAGATGTAGTTTCCCAATGAAACACCCGAAGTTATCCATCCCCTCGTGGGTAAATGCTCAGCCAAACAGAGTTGGCCCAAAATGGGGCCACTGAGGTCCAGAAGCTTGCCACAAGTCTGAGGCACTCTCTGGCAGGGAACCATGAGAAAGTGGCAAACGGGGCCAGGCAAATCTGAGATGATAGGAACAAAATTAAAGTACAAATCAAGATATCATCTGCCATTGTCATGTGTGTCTCATGTGTGTCTGCCCATGTGTGTCTCACCATGTCTCTCACAAGAGTCTCTACATGTCTAGACTCCATATGTCTTTTTCGTGTCCCCCAAGTCCCTAGTGCAAGTCCAGAGTTGAGAAGGAAGTGCATCCTCCTTCACATGTCTCTCTGCTCCACATTTCTCTCCTCCTGAGTCTCCTCCATCTTCTCTCCAAGTATTCTGTATCTTCATCTGGTTGCTAGCTCCGTAGGGAACCTGGAATGTCCCTTTTTAATGGCAATTCCTTTGTTACATTTCATTCCATTCTCTTTCCTCTCTTTCTGCAACTCCAATTATTTATGTATATATATTATATAACTAGTTGTACTAATACAGGTAGATATTCTCTCTCCATTGTATCCTTTATTCTGTATTTTCTCCTTTTTCTATCCTTTTTCATTCTAAACAGAATGGTCTTATTTGAGTTTCTAATTTTGGTTCTTCTTTTCAATTGGTAATTTTCAAATCTGTGTTATCACTCTTTGCTGCTTTTAATTCCTGGCCATAATTTTTTGAGCTTGTCTAGTATTTCTTCGATTATAGTAAACATAGTCTTTCTATAGTTCAATGTCTAATTCCAATATCTGTTCTTTTTTGTAGGTCTATTTGTGTAATCTGCTGCTTCTGCCTGTTTTTGTTCATGCTCTCTTATTTCCTTATTTTCCTGGTAGCAAAATATACACTGGACATTGTACTTAAAAATCATGTTTGTAGAAATAACTTAAGGTCTAGGATGATGGTGTCTTCCTCAGGAACAGGTTTTCATTAACTTGTCAGGTGCCTGGGGGTGTTACCTGTCTTGAACCACCTTGATCCACCTTTATGTTCCCTGGTGAAAGAAAGCAGCTGGACCATGGTTTGTGAGCTTCCAATCCACCCTTCTCCAGAGGGTGATGTTTTGGGGATTCCAGACTGAAGTGGTGAGAGGTGTATTGGGTTCAACACCTGGATAAACTCTGAGTGTTGGCTTCTGATCCTTTTGTCAAGTAAGGGAACCAAAACTCATTTTCCAAGGGTTCACTCCTTATGGTTAAAAGTTCTATGAGGAAAAGGAGTTTTGTTTGCTAGAATTACCACTGTAGACTCTTGCTTTCTTACAGAATTAAGCCACATAATTCCTCATTATCTTGCTAGTTCTATTTAAGAATTTTTTTAATTCAGCTAAGTTTAGTTGAATTTAATTCACCATTCATAATAAACTTAATTTTCTTGCCTCATTTGAAGCAATTCAATAGACATGTAAGCCCAAAACCTTACTTCATTCAGAACATTGATGGGTATACTATTTTTGTCCTAAAATAGAAATATTTAATGAGAAGCAAGCATAATATTTAGTCAAAGAGGTTTTGAGTGAGAATATCTGTTGATTTTTTCTAGACAGCTGAAAAACTGAAACATGTTCGTATCAATAACAAAGAACTACAGGAGAAATTAAACACTGTAACCAGACAATATAAGATTGTCTTAAAGGATGAGAAAAATGATTTTATGTGGAAACAGAAGTTAGCTGACGAGTATGTTTCTATCCATGAAGCAGCATGCTATAGTTTTGGGGTGATGTCCATGCTCTCAAAATGGTGACTTTCTGCTTAGGCATATCCTTGTTTTAAAATCTACTAACAACTATGTAATCTTTGTCCAACTGTAAGTAAATAACACTTCTAGTTTACCTCTATAATAGTGGGTAATGCTGTCTTCATCTGGGTTAAGACCAAATCCATAAGCATCAAATGCATGTTTTTTCCTTCTAAATCAGATTCTTGTAAGAAAGAAAAAAAACATGATTTTATCCACTGAGACTATGTTGAGAATTACAAGATCTGCATTTATCAGAAACTGACTCTGCACCTATATTCCCAATCTCAGAAAAGGAGCTGGTCATTGGCACAAACCTCTAACCCAGAGACTGGGGAATTAGCCAAGTAAATCCCTGTCTCGCTACCAATGAGACTCCATTTAATCACTACACCTTGTCATTCCACCTCTCAGGTATTCCCCAATATACCCTATCTTCCTCTCCATCTCCATGCTTTTCCAGTCTTCCATCTCCACCCTTTCCAGTCTTCCTTTGGCTTGCCTCTCAGCTCTTCCCACTTTCTGCATAATCACACCTAACTCACCTCTCTTCCACATCTCTAAAGCCTCCCTCTGATGTCATTCCTTCTCATCAGTCACTGCATTGTAATCAACTGAGCACAAATCCCTTGTCCCAGTAGACTATGAATAGGTCAGCACAGTCATCAGTCTTATTCAGGACAGAGGACCTTGTCCATTGCCGAGTATGTAGTAGAGAACATTCACCAATAACTTAATGAGTATGATAGAATAACATTTGCAAATATGAAATTGTGTAAGTAATCATCCATTACTATATTCACAGTTAAATCACATGCAAGTGAAATTACAGTGTCCAGCCCACTTAGGTGAAGCTGAGTTTATGTGAATTGCTGTAGCATTTAGGCTGCAGAGAATTGTTGCAATCATTTCCTCTCATTCAACTGAACAGCCTACTGAGAATGATAGTAGGCTGCATGCAAAAACTTTACTCAGATCAAAGCTGTTATCATTTGAATCATAAAATATGCCAGTGACAAATAATTATATCACTAGGACATTTACTACCATTATTGGCTTTTGTCTGCACCTTGAGCCTGCCAACAAAACACCACAGACTAGATGGTCTAACAAAGTTTATTTTTCACAGTGGAATCTGAGATAGGGATGCTAAGGGCTCTCTTCTTGCTTCTGCCTTCTCGTTTTGTCCTCACATAGGAGAGAAAGGGAGGAAGAGAGAGATGGGGGAAAGAGGAGAGAGAGAGCTTTCTGGAAACTTTCTTATAATCCCATCATGAGGGTGGGACCTCATCTAAATTTAATTCTCTTCCAAAGACCCCATCCCCAAAGGCACATCATTGGGGGTTAAGATTTCAAAGTATAGGGGGACACACTTCAGCTCACAGCGGTTTTGAAGAAGACAAGATAACTTAGATAAAGTACTTTCTCTCACAGTCATTTTCCCTATCAACTCTGGAAACAAACAAAACCTTGCACTTCCCATTTTTCTCTCTGCAAGCTGGAGAGAAAAAATAACCACTTTTTATAAAATGCCTCACGGGTGCCTGACACTGTCTTGATACTTCTTATTTAATCCTTGTCTCTGGGAGAGAGGCGTTGTGACACTCATTTTATGGATGGTGAAAGTAAACCACCTCCACCAGTGAAGTTTCTTTTCAAGGTCACACTGCAGGGAACAGTCATCAAACTCCATGAGACTCCACTTGCCACAGAAGAACTTGATAGAATTGACCAATGCATTAGGAGAAACTCAGCCACACAGAAGGCTGGGGTACTATGAAATTGTTTTTTGTCTTATGGTTACTTTTACAGTTAGGTTCTTCCCATAGCTTGGAAATTTTCCTGTTTAGATTTAGCCACTACCAGCAAAAAGACTTTGTTTTTAATTTTTACTATTTTATTTGGTAAATCATTCATAAACTGAACTTTCCAAACTACTTTTTAAATTCTTGTGTGTGATAGCATATTTTCTCATGCAATTATTTGAATCTCAACATATGATAGTTCTGTTTTTTCATGGTAGAAATAAGAAACAACTGGATTTCATAACTGAGAAAGAAAAATTTCTATTAAAAAGAAAAATGGACATCAAAAATATGGAAGAAGGACTCATCACACTGAAAGACCTTCTTAGGTATGTTTGTTATCTTCAGAATTTTGAATCTTCATTCTTCTCTGCATTCATTGTTTAGTGATAAAATAAATCTAAGCTAATTTCTTTTTTTTTTATAGAGGCATGTTTTTATTTATTTATTTATTTGTTTGTTTGTTTTGTTTATACATGCACTGGGTACAGTCAGAAGCGTGGGAGGGTGAGAGAATTCACCAGAGCCAGAGCGGGAAGCAGAGCAGGCAGAAGGACCGAAGTACACTGCTGAGGGGAGCAGCGGGCAGCAGGAGAGGTCTGCGCGCCATGTGGGACCCTCCTCTGGTGGCCAGGGAGCAGCCGGGGATCGAACCGGCGCCGCAGAGGCCGCGGGCAGCTTCGCAACCCAGCGCTCAACTGCTGCACCACCAGGGAGGCCCAAATCTAAGTTAATTTCTAATGTATTCTAGAAAATGAGTTTTATAATGAACTCTGTCTTGCAGTCTGAAAAAGTCATTATAATTGAATCTTTCATTGAAATCACAGACAAGCGCTAAGTTCTAATATAAAATAGTGGTCACAAAAATTGGTCAGTTAGGGGTAATTGACAAGAATGTTCCTGGATGACATCACAACAGTGACCCATTATGATATTCATTTCTGCCATTCAAATCATTTTCATTTTTCTGATTAACAAAGTAAAGGCTATACCTGGGCCTCCCCGGTGGCGCAGCGGTTGAGCGCTGGGTTGCGAAGCTGCCCGCATCCTCTGCGGCGCCGGTTCGATCCCCGGCTGCTCCCTGGCCACCAGAGGAGGGTCCCACATGGCGCGCAGACCTCTCCTGCCGCCCGCTGCTCCCCTCAGCAGTGTACTTCGGTCCTTCTGCCTGCTCTGCTCCCCGCTCTGGCTCTGGTGAATTCTCTCACCCTCCCGCGCTTCTGACTGTACCCAGGGCATGTATAAACAAAACAAACAAATAAAATAAATAAATAAATAAACATGCCTCTATTAAAAAAAAAAAAAAAAAGTAAAGGCTATACCTGATTTTTAAATTCTGGTATAGAAATGTGTAACTTACAGAGTAAGACTTACTCTAATCGCTCCACAAAGTTATCAATGTTCAGTTTGCTCTTTCTACCTTCAAGTAGATATATACTTATATATGTGTGTGTCCAAAAATTAGACTGTGCTATTCTAGAACCGGATTTTTCACTTAAAATAATATCTGAGTAATTTACACAATGTTATATGTCAATTGTATCCCAATAAAACTGGGAAAATATAGCTTTAGACTCAACAATGAAATGTAATAATTAGTACAGAGCATTCCCATATACTCTTCACCAACTCCTCCAAATATTTCTAGTTTACTATATTTGTCTTTATCATTCTCCCAAATGTAACTTTCCTATCACTTAAATATAGGACAAAGAAGAGGCAAACTTATAAAACTCAAATGGGTAGTGATAAAATTTGGTACAAACTACCAGAAATGTAAACACTGTAGGAAGTGTACATTCTCATTCTCTATGAATGAGCAGGAAAATGGTTTTGAGATTGGTAGTGTTACATTTTCTCCATGAATAATATAAATTTGTAACTAGTTGTATCATCATTACTCTGGTTGCTAGAAAGTTCAGGGCCAAATTTGTGGTCCAGTATTCGTATTCATTTACGATTTTTATATTATTGTAATATTTTATTTTTAAATTAGTTTGACTCCTTTGAGGATAAAATTAAATATGTAAATAATTAAAATTGGTAAGTCTGGGGCAAACTGTGAAGAACCGTATAATTCCAGGGGAGATAATTAGATCTATTTAGATAGGAAATTGAAAGTTTCTGATTTCAAATAAAGGAAGAAGCATGATTACAGTTGTCTTTCTAGTTTATTTAATAATATTAAATATTTGGGCTTATTTATGAATATTTCCATCTTTCAAAAGATGTAAAGTCATATTTTAATGTGACCTTCAATTTTTGTCCATGAAGCCCTTTTTAGGGAAAAAAATGGAGTAAAATTAATGACTTCTAATACCTATATTAGTCTTCATATTTCCATCCATTCTACCACAACAAAGTCTTCCTTTTTCTTTTTTAAACACTTTATTAGTAGAAGACAGAGGCATATTCTTTTTTTTTTTTAAAGATTTATTTATTTATTTATACAAGCACTGGGTACAGTCAGAAGCACGGGAGGGTGAGAGAATTCACCAGAGCCAGAACAGAGAGCAGAACAGGCAGACTGATGAAGTACACTGCTGAGGGGAGCAGCAGGTGCGGCAGGAGAGGTCTGCGCGCCATGTGGGAAGCTTGCCCAGTGTCCGGGGATCAAACTGGCGCTGCAGAGGCTGTGGGCAGCTTCGTAGACCAGCACTCAACCTCTGCGCCACAGGGGAGGCCCGAAAGTCTTCCTTTTTTAATCAGTTCTTTCCCCTCAGTCCAAGAATCTATGTGACTTTCTGAATATACACTGTATCAAATCAGACCTTAATCTGGAGTCCAAAGTTCCTCACCCTTTTGTTGACTTTCACTCAGCCGTGCCATTCCTGTGCACTCCCGCTCATGCCCTCTGCACACAGCGAGTCTGCCTAGGTCACGGGACTCCTGATTAGCTTCCCCTTTTGTCTCTGCCAGTGATGACGCCTTTTCCTGGGTGAGATTGCACCTCCAGTCTAGCAAACCATCTTCCTCCCTCTGTTACACATTAACCTCCTATAACCCTTCTTCAACTACTTTCCCAGAACCTGTTCTTCCCTATCCTTTGGTATTCATCTCAACACTTGAAAATTAATTTTAGTTGCACAAAATTGTAGTTGTTTCCTTTTGGACTGTAACTAATGTTTTTAGTTGGCGTGACAAGACTTATTTTGTCTCCCAATTAGATGGTAGAATTTTATGTATTCTAACAACACCCACAAAGGCAAAATCCAATATCTTTTTCTTGTTTTCAGAGCGACACAGGAACTATATCGAAAGCAAGTAAGAATCCTGAGTGATAACATGCAAAGAGAATATCAGAGATGGTAAGGAAAACAAGTTCATTTGTATTATGAGTAGTATGTGTCATCTTACTGAGCAATGTCCCTAAGTTGGAAGAAAACCAGAGTAGTTGTTGGTTAGTGGAGTGCAAGGAAACAATTTTCCTAAATTAAATTGTGTGAAATCTTCTGGCTCTATCTGTGTTTGTTAGATTTTTTTTTTTTTCTGGCATTGAACAGAACCAGAGTTTCCCATCTCAGTCAAGTGAAATCACCAAGGGTAACATTGCTGAGATTTGTGTAGTGACTCTTGCTCATCCAGACTTCCATGTGGACATGGACTAGTCTGGTCGCTCTGCCTTTTACTAACGCAATGACTAAGGTTTGTTTTTTCACTTACCTTCCATCTCTGTAAGTGGGGAATGAAAGTGGCATCTACTACTTTTTTTTTTTGTAAATACTTTTTTTTTTAATTTTATATTCCCCATACAATTGCAACCCCCTGATTTTGACCCCAATACCTCCTTTCCCCGTCCCCCCCCAAAGTGTGTCTCTGGTTCATAGTTGTTTGTTGATTTTTATTTTTTTCCTTTCTTATAGTTATTCTTTTTCCTGGTTCCTTATTTAGGTTTTCTAGATTCCTGCTATGAGTGAGACCATCCAGTATTTTTCTTTTTCTTTTTGGCTTATTTCACTGAGCATGATCCCTTCCAGCGCCATCCATGTTGCTGCAAATTGCATGTGTTTATCTTTTTTGAATGCTGAGTAATATTCCATGGTGTATATGTACCACATCTTCTTGATCCAGTCATCTATTTTTGGGCATTTGGGTTGTTTCCAAAGCTTAGCTATTGTAAATTGTGCTGTTATAAACATAGGGTGCAGGTGCTCTTTTGAATTAATGTTTCTGTGTCCTTTGGGTAAATACCTAGGAGTGGAATTGCTGGATCATATGGAAGCTCTATCTTTAGTAGGTTGAGGACTCTCCACACAGCTCTCCATAGTGGTTGGACCAGTTTGCACTCCCACCAGCAGTGCAGGAGAGTTCCTTTTTCTCCACAACCTCGCCAACATTTGTTGTTGCTAGTTTTTTTAATATGTGCCATTCTCACTGGTGTAAGATGGTATCTCATTGTAGTTTTGATTTGCATTTCCCTGATTGCAAGTGACGTTGAACATTTTTTCATATGCCTGGTGGCCGTTTGTATTTCCTCTTCAGAAAAGTTTCTTTTTAGCTCTTCTGCCCATTTTTTTACTAGATTATTTTCTTTGTTTTTGTTGAGTCTCATCAGCTCTTTGTAGATTTTTGTGATCAGGGCATCTACTACTTTTAAGGTGAATCATAAATACATAGCATATTTAGATCAATGTCCAGCACTTGTGGAAACTAAGTTGTATTTTATTGTTGGGGCTTTTGTCATTGTTGCTAATATTATTCATGTCACAGATTCCAATTGCACTATTTACTCTTCTCTGATTAAGTAGACTTTTGAATGTTGTGGTGACAGAAAAACTTGACAACCCAGACGTTTGAAATCTCTTATTGGCACTTTGGGTAGTTTAGGTAATTCCATGTGTTTCTGCCTGGGCCTCTTCTTTTTCTTGCCCCTAAGCCATTTCTCCCCTTAACCTAGAGGAGGCGAGTTGCCTAATATGGCTGAGCTTCTGTCCCACTGAGCATACAGACACTGTGTCTTACTCTGAAGCCACTTATAGAGAGTGTTTTGAGGCACTATTTTTCCAATTTTTTTTTTTTTGGTTAATATGCATAGTCAGCATCACCAATAGCACACAAAGTTTTGTATGATCATAGTGGAACACATTTTCTTTAAAATTTCCTCATCTTTTAGGTAAGCCATTACGTCCATTTAATAGTAATCTTTTTGTTTTAATTGCTAGTATTTTGACTCAGTGGAAAATAGCTACTATCCGAAAACGACATGAACGTTGGTTAATAGCCCAACAGAATGCATTACAAGATGTTATAAAAAAAATTCATTTTGCAGAACAAAGACAAGCTGATTTATTACAACAGGTAAGGGAACACAGGGATTTAGTATTCTTTAGATTGCAGATGAGTACTTCTGCAATATAATAAAAGTAATATTTAATTAAAGGTATTTTTCTTTCTACCTACTTCATGTTGGTAGAGGATTTAGAGTGAGTTATTTAATTTTCTTTTTTTTAAGATTTATTTTTATTTATTTATGCCTAAAAGAACTGGAGTGTAGTCCAGAGGTGTGGGAGGTGAGAGGACTCACCAGAGACAGTATGGGGAACAGAACAGGTAGATTGACTGTAGTACATTGCTGAGGGGAGTAGCAGGTGAAACAGGAGAGGTCTGTATGTGGGCTAGCTCCCTGGTGGGAGATCGAATTCATGCAGCAGTGGCTGGCAATAGCTTGATAGCACTGAGACTTTAACCCTTGAACCACCAGAGAGGCCCTATTTAATTTTCATAAGAAATGTATCCATTTGTTGTGTATTAACAACATTACTGTTCCCTTTAGAATATGCTTTCGTAGCATGTAACCTGGAACTTATTTGAGGTCAGTTTTTAAAGAAACTGTACAGACCATTTCTATAACCATACCTATGTGGATAGACCAAATATCACTTATTTTGGGCCTCCCCTGGTAGCGCAGGTGGTTGAGTGCCGCGCTGTGAAGCTGTCTGCAGCCTCTGCAGCACCGGTTTGATCCTGGCCGGCCGGGAGGGTCCCACATGGCACAGCAGACCTCTCCTGTCGCGCCCACTGCTCCCCTCAGCAGTGTATTTCATCAGTCTGACTGTTCTGTTCCCCACTCTGTCTCTGGTGAATCCTTTCAACCCCCACCCCATGCATCTGGCCTATACCCCAGTTCTTGTATAAACAAATAAACCTTTAAAACAAACAAGAAAACAAATATCATTTATTTGGCTTCATTATATATCCTCTGGCTACCCTTCACCCCCACTGTTCCCATTCTTCATTTCATTTGTAAATATTGCTTGAAGAAGAAATTAATCTCTAAGAGAGTTGAAAAAGTCTCATGGGTTATTTAGCAGTAATATAACCTGAAGTCGGAGCTAAGAGGAATTAATTTAGCTGGGTGTTTGAAAATATATGTAAAGCTGACTGCTATAAGAGAAATCACAAATTCTCATTTTGCTCTAATTAGGTCAGTTTTAGAGAAAAACATATCAATGATTTTTTGGCAGAGATTGAAGCCCTTACAGCAAAATTAAAACAAGAGGAGGAGCAATCTGTTTTCAAAGAAAAAGAGTTAATGCGCGAGTTGAGCAAGTATCAGGTAACATCTATTTTACATCTAAGAATAACTTTAGGTGGCTGTATGTGGGAGGGGACATAATACATGCTATTCTAATCAGTTGAATGTGAAATAACAAGGCTACAATTTAATTCTGAACCTTTCTTCTTCTGAAAAAGAAATAGAGCAATTAAGAATTGTCAGTTAAAAAAATCACACAGTCCATGTTGTGTGTAAGTGCTGTCGAAATCCATGGAAATGGGCAGATGGGTGTGAGAAGCGTCAGAGTTATCATGGGAGTGCTAGGGAGGGTAACCCAGTGAGACCAACCCCAGAAAGCCCCCCTTAAAAAGAGAGCGTTACTGACTTGAAAGAGCCAAGAGCAGACTTAGGATGGCACAGGCATGAAGAGTGGGGGAGGTGATGAGAAAAGGCACTGAGTACCCAGGGGGTTCACAGCTGACAAGTCTCTGGAAACACAGTGAAAAACATACCTGTTCAAGGTGATGGTGTTGCTGGAAAGGCACGGGCATGTTCCTTGGAGACCTCTTTGGCAGAGGAGCTGAGAATAAAAGGGTTGTGGTCAAAGTTCCCCTAAACTTGATTCTGTCTAAAGAGGAAAAAGAGGCCCCACTACACCGAAAGGGACTTTTTTCGAAAGCAGTCATCCCTTGCTCTAGCAAGGGAGTAGGAATCTTTACATTTCCAAGTTTAGGGTCTTACCCTGGTCCAAGCCCACTCCCCTTCGACCCCCAACACACACCCTGCCAGCAACGCTCTGCCCATAACTTGGTATCTGTGGCCATAATATCAGGCCAAAAGATAAACAAGCACCTCTCCCACTTGCATCTACATGTTTGTCCTCGCCGCATCTCCTTCCATGTGTCTGCTCCTTCTCCTTCATTCCGCTTCCATTTATACGTTCACCTCACTCCTTCCCACTGCCGTTCAGGAAATCTGTCCCATAACCCGCTGGGTCTAGCGGGGTGGGGAAAATGGCACCCGGTCAATGTTGCCCCCCTTCCCAGAGATGCAGCCGCCACAGGGACAGTAGCTGGAGCAAGCAGAGGTGGGGGGAGGGCAGGAGGTGCTTGGGTCTCATCTTCCGGAAGTAGATGCTGAGATGGCATTAGGTGTGCGGAGGCCTCTGAGGAAGGATTACCTGTGGAAGGAGGGCAGAGGAAGCCTCAGGCTGCCTCTGTAAACTGAAACACTCTCTAGGGACTCTGGAGCAAGAATTGTCCATTAGAAGAGTCACACCTGGGGCAGACAGGGCAACACCCTTGCATGACCTCTTTGCACAGTCTGTGGGCAGAGGGCCGCCCCTTGAAGGACCTGACAGCGGCAAGGGGCCTCTGAGGGAGCCAACCCCTGAAAGCTGTCCAGTAATCACACTCCTTCCCGCAGGTAGCCCACGCCTCCTGGCGGGGACCCACAGGGGCATCCCCAGGTCTGCCACACTTTTGTGGGCCACCGTGAGTGCTTTTCATCTGCTCCCCCTGGACTGGGAAGCCATCCCAGAGGCTAAGCAGAGGGCTGAAATCATCTGATTTGAATAGGATCTGTCAAGCTGCTTTAAGTAGCATGTAGGGACTCAGCAGCGGACACAAGACCAGTAATATCGAATAATTCAAGCAAGAGCAATACGTCAAATAATTCAAGTAGCCTGAACCAAAACAATAAGTGAGGAGGTGGCAAGAACTGGTCACATCACAGATATTTTTTGAGATGGAGCTATCAGAGTTCACCCTCACACCCAGAGGTGAAACCATGAGGACAATTACCTGAGGGGTAAGAATATAATAAGGACAGTACTTAGCATCTATTCAAGATTATACAGTGCAGTTAGCTGTGATAATTAGAAGCATAAGACTGTGCAGATGAAATGATTACTGTGGACACCCTGCCAAAGCCTGCCAGGCTGTGTGCCCCCTGCAGGGGCCCTGTGTGCACCTGTGTCTTATTTGCACAAAGGCATGGCGGATGGCAGCCTCTGACCGGTTGTTATTAAGCAACAATGCCATCCCCCCTATAAGCATCACAGTACCTTCACCCTGCCCTGTAACAACCCCCAGCACAGTGAATTCAATTTCTGCCTTTAGCTCAGTGACATGAGGAATCCCAAACGAAGAGGACACAACCGCAGATTTTGGTTGATGGGATCATTCATTGTTGCACCCGTGGTGGAATCCTTCTTGCAGCCATTAATAGGATCTGTAGACCAACAGAGCCCAACGTCACAGGGAAGAAAGGCAAAATCATTAGGGTTAATAGGAATCCCAGTGCCACTCGGGTCCCTGACCTCTCTGATCTCTCCATGGAAAACAGCCCTGGATCCCTGGTTCAGATGAATTTCCAGGTCTTGAGAGGTGTTGCCGTCAATCAGTTCTGTGTTGTGTAGACCTGGCTCAGATACTGGGGGACTCACCTGAAATTCTCCAGCTGGAGATGCCCCGGGCTTCCACAGCCTACCCAGCTCGGACACGTAGCGCCGCGTGGCGGGCCTCCCCAGCCCTGCTGCAGGCAGGCTGTCAGGAGCAGTGCCTCTAGGAAGCAGGGTTGCTGCTGGAGGATTTGACCTTCTGTTGCGTGAGCTGGTTACGCAGCCCTAACAAGACTGTCAACTTTATATCTGGAGCTGAACCTGGAGGCAGCAGGAAAAGGTTGGAGAAGGAAAGATGAACTGGAAGTGAAGGAAAGCAAAGGCAAACTGGAACTCGCAGAATGAGCTGGAACTCATGGGCCTGGGTCTCTCTTCTGTCCTAGACTCCCAGGAATTGCAGCAGAAGCCAGAGGCTTTATCACTGAGCTTGGTTTGCACAGGGTTGGGGAATGAGACGCTGAGGGGGGATTTGATGGAGCTGGAGAAGCTGTGAGCCTGCCCGGCTGCCCGTTGCAACAAGCTGAGCAGGGAGATACCAACAACTCGCCTGAGCGGCGGCAGAACCTGGCACCCAGCCCCTCTCTCAGAGCATAAACTGAGAGGGTGGTTTCTTATCCAGGAATGAAGGATGCCTCACATCTCCTTGTGCCCCTCTGTCCTGTTTTAGAGAGCTTCGTGTGGATACTGCATAACTGAGTTTCTTAGCACTTCCACTTGGAGAAATTTACTGCTGAGTCTGCACTGTAATATTCTGGAGTTCTTGTGTTCCATGTGTATGGTTTTTTCTATATTTATTCCAAAGGGTTGTAATGGCAATTTGGTGCCTCTCGTGGGGACCTGAAAGGTATGCCTTCCAAACATGGGGCTTCTTGGCCAGATGGGCTATTTCACTGCCCTGTGTGAGTCTTGTTCTCTTGCTCCTGAGCTATGACTTTGGTGGCGTCGAGGCCACTTGGTCCTGCAGTGCTGTGCTGTGAGGGCTCCTCCTGCCGGGAAGCAGGCCTGGTGTTGCCCTGCTGGCGCGTGGAGCTTCTTTCAACTTATGTGCATAGACCGATAAACATGAAACTGTAAATAAAAGTTTTTATGAGTAAACGGGCAGCCCTCTTGAGAGTGTGAGTATCTAGTCTAGAAATCCTCTGATTGCTATGACAACAAGAGGGATACTTATTTCTCTCTCCCTTGTACAGGCCAAAGGGAAGGGGCCCAGATCTGCTGTCCTCAGCTTGGGTCTCTCATCTGTGGGTCCAAATGGGGGCTCCCATGGTCATCCTCTCCGAGTTAGGGAATGAGGGCAGGGCCGAGGGAGCGCATACCTCTTCCTGTCACAGGGGCAAGACCCAGAAGTGGCACACCCCACTTTTGCTGGTAAAGCATTGGCTGCTCCCACCCGCAAGGGAAACTGAGAAATAACTCGACCTGGTGGCCTCATGCTCAGCTGAAACTCCAGAGTCCTGTTATTAAGAGGCAGGAGAATGGACAGAAACTGTCAGCTGGTGGGCTCTTCTGTAGTCATTTTCACAAATATGCTTCTGGACTATGTATAGGGCAGCATTAAAAAGGTCCTAGCAGTAGAGGCCTAGAACTGACAGGCTCTTTGGAGAACCAGTCTGATTTAATCACCTTGCTGTGTAGATTGTGGGAGAGCCTGTAAATCAGCCCCAGAGATTACTAAAGTATCTCATTTGTGCCAGATGCCTTTCCATGTACCTCAGAGAGGGAGGAGGTCAAGACAAACAGAACTGACTCTAGATTTGTACAAATTCTCCAAAACCATATATCACCATTGGTTTCACTCTCTTTAAAGAAAAGAGTTGAGAAGGAAGTACAAAGTACCAAAGTAAAAGAAGAACAACTTGACGAGTGTCTTCCACACCTTCAAGTGGCAGAAGAAAATTTTACAAGCAGAAACAAAGAACTGGAAGAGCTCCGTGTTGTTCTCCCAGGTCCGTATGAAACACTTAGTAGTTAACCTGAAGCCCAGGTAAAGCTCTCACTGTTGTCTTCTAACACCAGGCAAGGCATCAATCACAAGCCAGTGGTGAAATCTCCCAATTTTCTCCGTTACCTTTAACTGTTCTCTAGTGTTGACCCGATCTACTAATTTCTTCTCACCCACACGTTGCGCTTGTCAAATGCTCCCTTTATTCTTTTAAAGGCTGTTTAAAATAAGAATCAGTAGCAACTATACTAGGTGGTTTCTCTTATCTATCAACTATGAAAATAGAATAGAGACATTTTTAGATACATACGACTTCAAAATATCTCATTTACTCTTACATAGGAAGCTAGTACAGAATTCACTATAAATAGAGGGAATAAGTCAAGGAAAATATGAGGTTCGGGAAACCAGAAGCCCAAGGTAAAAGAGATGCAAAGTGCCCAGGCAGCCGGGCAGCTGGACTGAGGGGAGGGGAGGAGTAGAACCGCAAGATTAGCCACTGAGTTTGACCAGGGGCCTAGTAACATTCAGAAGAGCTGTACAGCCCTGCTATAGATTTTTATATGAATTAATGATATATAGATGGAGAGCTAAGCAAATTTTAAAAGTGAGGCATTTTTAATGCTGGGAAAATACAAAAAAAAATTATATAAGAAAGGAAATATAATCATACTACACCACCTATCTCATAAGTGAATAATAGTCATGTTGTTAACAGTAACCTAAATAGCTGGCATTTACTTAAGCAAAAAAACTTAACTCTGGTGGGGAGGTTAGAGGGTGAAAATGTGGAGCTGCAGGTAAGAGTGGAGGATCTGGGGTTGAGAGTAAATTTACTATTAATATATCCTCTACTATATTCGGGAGTAGAAAATGCCTTAAAATGACAACATTAAAAAACAGCATATAAGCATTTTTTAAGAAAGTGAAAAGGAGAAATGGCTAAAATGACTGAAATGATTGATTCTGAGGAGTAAAACACGTGGATGACCACAGCATGGGTGGGGGCACATGTCTTATTTTGCTTAATGTTTTTAAACTAAACTTTGTGCGTACTTATTTTTCTCTTTTTCTCTTTCTCTTTTTTAATAGAACTGATGAGGGAGAAGTGTTTACTGGACATGTCCATTTCTCAGTGCTTAAGGGACTTTTCAGGATACTCGTTCAGTACGGTAAAGAGTCAGTCTTCTTTCTCTTATTAGAATACTGGTGTACACAGACAGTAATACTTAACTGGCACCATTGGAGTTTTCAGGAAGTCCACATTTATTAAACTTACCCTTTGAGTACCAACATTTTGAAATTGGGTCTAGAGAGAAAGGGAAGGAAAATGTGTGAGTGGAGGGAGAGGGCCAAGGAGAGAGAAAGGGAGAAACTCCAAAGACAACTAGCACGTAATTGGGAAAATCATTAGGGGGCTCAGTTTTCTTATTTGTGTGAGAGAATTTGAATTATGCTCCCTAAGTTTCTTTTCAGATCTGTTATCCTGACAACTCCCTATGAAGACACAGATAAGTGGGCAGAGGATGGGGGTAGGGGGTGGGGGAATGGATGAAATGGGAGCAGGTAAAGAGATTATTTACTAGTTCTTTAATAATAATGATAAACATGTGTGGATCTGGTTAGTTAAAAATGGAAACACACTTTTCTTTGAGATGCAGTCATATCAGAACTGACTTTTAAATGTTATGGGCGTAGAAGAAAAGGAAAACTTACAAGTATGTGTATCATATATATACAATTCTATTTTCTTAAGCTCCTGCTAGTGATGATATATAGTGAATGAAGATTATGTGGGGTTTTTTTTTAATATATATATTTTTAAGATTATTTATTTATACAAGAACCGGGGTACAGGCCAAAGGCGCAGGAGGGTGAGAGAATTCACCAGAGCGGGGAACAAAACAGGCAGACTGACGAAATACACTGCTGAGGGGAGCAGCAGGCGAGACAGGAGAGGTCTGCCGCACCATGTGGGACCCTTGCTGGCCGGCCGGGATCAAACCTGTGCTGCAGAGGCTGTGGACAGCTCCACAGCACGGCGCTCAACTGCCTGTGCCACCAGGGGAGGCCCAAGATTATGTGTTTTATAACAGTATAATAACTAAAATCTGAACAGAGAATTCAGTAGAGAAGAGAAGAGAGAATTCTGATAAATCTATGTAGTAGTCGTCTTTCTTTAAGAAATATTAAATCCTCCTTGAAACACCCCACATTTCCCTGCTTTTGCCAGACAATTGTTCATATATCACAATATACTGTATTTTGCAAAGGTACATCAAGGTACATCAACTATTTTATTTATTTGTTTATACAAGCACTGGGTACAGTCAGAAGCGCAGGAGGGTGACAGAATTCATTAGAGCCAGAGCAGGGAACAGAACAGGCAGACCGATGAAATACACTGCTGAGGGGAGCAGCGGGCAGCAGGAGAGGTCTGCGTGCCATGTGGGACCCTCGCCAGCAGCCGGGGATCAAACTGGTGCTACAGAGGCTGCGGGCAGCTTCGCAGCCCAGTGCTCAACCATCTGCGCCACCAGGGGAGGCCCTACATCAACTATTTAACTTGAAGTCCATAGACCTGTTTCCCAGAGCCCATGAATAAATTTCTATGAATCAGCTTCGGACTTCAGTATCAAGTTTTTCTAAGGGAAGGTATCCATTACCTCTGTTGTTGGTCCAGGGATTAGAACCTCTCTCTGAATGTGATGTAAGACATTTGATTCACAGACATTTGATTCCATGCTTGTTGAACTATATGAGATAACTGGGGTTTTATGTTTGCGCAGGATAATGTGAAGGAAGAATTGAAACATTTACGAGAGCAAGAAAGCCGTAAAATCAAAAATCACCTTGAAATACTGAAGGAATTAGAAAATGAAATCTATGTATATGACCTAAAAACTGATGCTTTGCTCCTGGAAAATGAAAGATTAAAAAAAGTAAGTTCAAGAGCATTTCACTTTGCACAGTGGTTTTGGTTGATTGCCTAGACCTGTAAAAGTTGCAAATAAAAAGGAAAGTTTCCCTTAAAACTTTTCAAATGAAGCTTAAAGTAGATGCAGATGAGAACCAAGTCTTAAGTGCATGGCCGGGTCACCAGCACCAGATCAGGAAACAAAGCATTAACACATAATCGCCTATGTCCCTTGTCTCTACCTCCCCACAAGGGTGCCACTATCCTGCCTTCTAACAAACTTGTAAGGACTTTCATCCCTCCAGAAATATTTCACCAGACTGTCTTCATATCAAGATGATGTAGATTATTTGTTAAAAGATTGGGAACTTTCATTGTGATTTTGGCAATGAATGAGCAAATTGAATGACTATGGAAAAGACTGATTCGAAAGCTGTGATTGGGATTCAGTGCCCATCTACTAGTCTCCAGATGATTCCATGCTGTTACCTTGTTCTCTCACCACTCTATTTTGCTGACCACATTCCTTTCCTCACCAAACATTTTAAGCACCTTATGAGTCCCAGGCCTTGGAGAGGTACAGTGGATGTAGAGATGAATCACACACTGCCCCAAGTCTTGAGGAAACCCACAGTCGAGGAAAAGGGCATATAATGAATACATGCGATTCAGTGTTTTGAGGGCAACGATCTGCCCAAGGGGCACAAAGAGTAAACCCAGGCAAGAGCACCTCACCCACCTCATTAGGGGCTCAAAGAGAAGTCTGGTTAGGTGTCATTAGCATCGAGGTAGGAGAGGGGCATGATTCCTCAGGGACAGTGTGTTGCTGAGAAGATTGAGCTGTGAGCAGAGCTCTGGAGAAAGACAACTTTGAAGAATGAACAGTGGAAGAAGAGATCAAAAGGGAAACCAGTCCAGGATAGTCAGAGAACTACGAGAGGCCAGCTGAACCAGGCGAGTCAACAGTGGCGTGGACTTTGCTTCAGGCAGCTTTCACGTTGGCTGACTACAGAAGCTGCCAACAAGCCTTGCTAGCACTGACGCAGATCATACAGGACTCGTAGACACTGTGTGTGCTTTGTAGTAGTCCTTCCGTGTCTACCCCTTCTACGGTACTGGATGGTATTTCTTAGACTTCCATCAGTAGTTTATGGTATTTGGCTATTTCTCTCCAGAAACTGGGCCAGTGCCATATTTATATCCCAAAGCCCATCCTGTCTGAGTTCCCAGGGATATTAGTGTTTGGGGTTGAGAGTTCCTGAGCTTTGGGTGATGACAATAGAAGCCACAACTTTAATACCCATCCACAACCATCATTGCCCATCTGAGTGAAACAGCTGACCTGAGTGAACAACCTTGTGGGGTCTCCTCACCTGAAAAATCACCTCTCACCTTGAACCATCTAGTCAAGCCCGATGGCTGACTTATAACACTCACTGCACAGACATTTTGTGTAAGGACCATTTTGTGTGTGTGCAGACATGATGCATTTAGGCAGAATACCTTTTATTTTCTTTTTGTGGCAAATTATACTCAGATGCCATGTTGATTTGGGTGCTGAAATGCTTGCTAGGAAGCAGAATCCTTCATGTCCCTCACCAGAGTGTGAGCTTGGTAAAGCCTTTGTTCACCACAGTTACCTTTGCACCCAGAACAGTAGGCAGCACAGAGGAGAGACCAGTGTTTGTTGAATGATGCTACAGATAATTAATCTACAGTAATTAAATGGATTAAAGCAATCACTTGCCTTTACTTTCCAGTATATTGCATATATGAAGAAGATCACAGCGCAATACAAAGAAGGAAAAGGAGATCTCCTCCACCGCTCAAGTCACCTGTCTTGGGAACTGATATCTCATCACAGTAAGTAATGTTTTGTGGGTGATCTCACATATGAGAATTAAAGTTTTTCTTTTGTTTAAACTAACTTTACTGGTTTGCATACATTAAAGTGCACACATTTTAAGATCAATGAATTTTGACAAATGCATATACCACCTTAACCACTACCACCACAAGCAAAATAGAGAGTATTTTTATGACTGACAAATTTCCCCTTTTACCTCCAGTTCCTGGAAACCATTGATCTGCTCTCTGTCACTGAGGATTAGATAGATAGAATGTATGCAAATCAACTCTAGGGTATATTTATAACTAGAATTACAGAGTATATGCACTGTATATCCACTGGCTTCCTTCACTCAGAAAGCTGGTTTTTAGGATCCAGCCATGTTACTGATGTCTTTGGCTTGCTCCTTTTTAGAGTTGTCTAATATTCCATCCTAGAATGTACCACATTTTATTTATCCATTTAGATTGTTTCCAGGTTTTGGTTACTATTTGTTTGCAAGCATTTGCATGAATATTTGTTTTCATTTCTCTAGGGTAAATACTAAGGAGTGGAATTACAGGGTTATAGGGTTAGTGTATGATTATAAGAAAGAGTCAATTTCTCAAAGTTATTGTACAAATTTATCAACCCACTATCAATGGGATACTCCACATCCTCACCAATACTTAAAATTGTTAACATTTTAATCGCTATGTAATGGCATTTCACTGTAGTTTTAATTTGCATTTCCCTAACGACTAAATTCGTTGAGTATGGCTTCATGTGTCTTTTGATCACCTGTAAATCATCTTTTGTGAGGGATACTGAACCAATTATCTATGGAGGTAAAAAAAAATTATTAATCATTTACTTTGCCTAAAAATTGGCAGTGTGGTCAGAGCTTGGTGGAGACGGCATATGACTGCTCCACAATCAACTGGGACAGTGTAGTGGTCGGGGGTAATTTAGAAGTTGGAGACTGGAATCATCTGAAGATCCACTCCTTCACGTATCTGGTATTGATGCTGACTGCCAACTGGATTCACAGGAGACCACCAACCAGGACACCTCCATGTGCCCTGCACATGCCCAGCAATGCCATGTTGCCAGTCTGGGGGTTTCACTTGGGCTGGGGTGTCCAGAGTATTATTGAATACCCTATTGTGCCTGTGTGACTGACCTCAACTGACCTCAACTATTCAAGCATCTTGTGAGAAGCTCAGGTGTTGATCCTTTATGTAATCTGTATGGTAAATTGCACTGATTGCTCTTTGAATATCAAACCAGTCTCCCATTCCTGGGATAAAACCCACTTGTTCAAAAGCTATTATTGTTTCAATACATTACCGAATTGATTTTGCTAATCCTTGCACAAATTTTTGTGTGTGCAAAGTTGCCTTGCTCTGCTTGCCCTGTAGTCTGTAAAGTGCTTCCAGCAGAAAGCTGATCATAAGGCTCACCTCATTTGTCTCCCTTTTGTCAGGTATTATATTCCTGTATTGTGTATTCTCCGCCATCTGAAAACTGGATATTACAACTAATATATCTATTTGATATATTTTGTCCCATTAACTGCTTGTTTACAATGGGAAGGCAAATCTGATCCAGTTATTCTGCCACTCGGAAAGTAAAAATTTTTAGATAAAAATAATTTTTGGGGCCTCCCCGGTGGTGCAGCGGTTGAGCGCTGGGTTGCCAAGCTGCCCGCGGCCTCTGCGGCGCCAGTTCGATCCCCGGCTGCTCCCCGGCCACCGGAGGAGGGTCCTGCATGGTGCGCAGACCTCTCCTGCCGCCCGCTGCTCCCCTCAGCAGTGTACTTCCGTCCTTCTGCCTGCTCTGCTTCCCACTCTGGCTCTGGTGAATTCTCTCACCCTCCCGCACTTCTGACTGTACCCAGTGCATGTATAAACAAAACAAACAAACAAATAAATAAATAAATAAAACATGCCTCTATTAAAAAAAATAATTTTTGGTTCAGAGACAAAGTAGAATGGTGATTGCCAGGAGTGAGGGGTGTAGGGTAAGTGAATTAATCAGGCTTTTATGCCACCAGCCTCTGTAGCAATCACCTGCAGCCTTGAGGGTTCTCACCTGCTTCCCAGGCCCGCCCCCAACCCCCTGCCTAGCCAGCCTGCAGTCTTGCCACCACGCTTGGTGTTAGTCGGCAGGATCCGATGCAGACAGCTCTGCAAATGGACTCAAGGACAGCGCGGGAGGCACCATGACAGCACAGGTTGTGGCCAAAGTCCAGGGGCTGTGGGAAGAGCTAAAGACACTACCAGAGCACAGAAGGTGGACAAGGTCTGGGAGCTGCATTACAAGACCTGGTGTGGAGGAGGCCTGTGAGGATCAGCCCACTACCCCTTAGGCAGCAGCCTCATCTGGGAAGAAAGAGGAATTGTGATTCATTATTCAGAGCCTGCCCAGTGGGGACACAAGAATAAAACAGATGGACAAACAATTCCACCAGATGGCAGGACTTTGGGAGGTTGGCTGTTATGACTATGGTACCTGGGGGTGGATGGGATCATTTGCACACCCAGGAGATGGAAAATGAAGGGTTCGCCATTGGGTATCAGTGCCTAAAGCAGCCTGTGCGCTGACCAGCTCTCCCAGGGCCACAGCGGGTGGCCGTGCTCACCAGCCAGGGAGCCACCAAGGGCAGTGACAATGGCTGGGAGTGGCAATGGCCCCTGTGGACAGACAAGTCAGAGCAGAGACAGGGGCGGGTGTGAGAGCAGCCCAAGGCTGGCCAAGGGAGGAAGGCCTCACCAGGTACTCTGCAGCCATGCAGAAGATGTGTTGACTGGATCAAGAAGATGTGGTACATATACACCATGGAATATTACTCAGCATTCAAAAAAGATCAACACATGCAATTTGCAGCAACATGGATGGCGCTGGAAGGGATCATGCTCAGCGAAATAAGGCAAAAAGAAAAAGAAAAATACCAGATGGTCTCACTCATAGCAGGAATCTAGAAAACTTAAATAAGGGACCAGGAAAATGAATAACTATAAGAAAGTGAAAATCAAAATCAACAAACAACTATGAACCAGAGACACTTTTTGGGGGTGGGGGGCGGGAGGGGAGGGATTGGGGTCAGAATGGGGGGGTTGCAATTGTATGGGGAATATAAAAATAAAATTTATTATTTAAAAAAAAATAAAATAAAAAGCCAACTTAGATAAGGCAAAAAGCTGGTGCCAAGATCAGTAAATCCTGAGCGGTTGTTAAGCAGCTCAAAAGATGCTAAAGAAGGCAAGCAAGCCTCTTAAGTGGGTGATGCCCTGTTCACTTCTGAGTAAGAGTGAGGTGCTAAGGAACCCGTCCATGGAGTCTGGGTGGGGAGCATGGCTTGTGGTGGAAACTGCAGCCGGAGTGGGGACCAGGAGAGGCCACGTGTGGAGCTTCCTATCCACATTTCCCCAACCCACGTGCACGTGCAAAAGGTTGGCCTTAGTTCAGGGGTCTGCTTGTTACATTGTTGGCTATCAAGGCCCAGTGTTGGAGTGACAGCAGTGCACATACCCCTGGGGATTGAGTGATTACCCCCAAAGGAGTGTAGTGTGTTTGTATCGCCAATCTCAGAGTACATCCTGGGGGTGGATGGCTTTTGGCTGAGACTGTTACCAGGAGCTGAAACCAAAGACTGTTGCAGTTGGTGCCCCAGGGTGGGTGTTGCTGGTGAGGATGAATAGCCCCAGGCGAAATGCAAACCAAGTGTGGGTGGGAGTGGAGACACTGATAAGAAGTACCAGGGACTGCAGAAGCAGCCCCCAGGATTCAGCACTCAGGATTTCAGTATTTTCGAATCTTCAGTGATTTGGGGTTGACATTTCTGCCCCCACCATGCCAATTTTCCAGAGGCTGTTGCGGGCCTCTGAAGGACATGGAGAGGCTTCCAGCAGCCAATATCAGAGAAGAAAATTTCGGAGGCTTTAGATAGCCGAGAAACTGAAACTGCTCCCAGCTTTGCTGCTATTACAGCCTGGAAGGGAAGGACGTGGGGAGTTGGGCCCCTCTCTGAGCCGTGTGAGTTTGGGTGGTTTGTTGGGTCATTCAGCTGCTGCAGCTGATGTTGTCAGTGTTGACTGGTGCTGTGCTGGGGCATCTCAGCAGCTCTGGGGAACATCTCCTGTTGTCTTCTGGTGTCTTCATGAGTTGGATCCCAGCCTATATACGGGCTGCGACATGCTCCAGGCACTCAATGCCAGGAAGCTGTCGTCTTGGGGACCTCTTTGTTTAGGAATTTAAAACACTGGACACTGCTTTGGGTGAGGTAAACAGCCATTTGTGGCCTCAGTGACTCTGTTTTTCCTTGTTTGTTAAATAAATGCTATTGTTGTTCTCTGAACCTAAGTAGTCTTGCAATTGTGCGTGCAGGTGAAGAACTTATACAGTGACAGGTAAATTATTTGGGCAGTGTCCTTGGCCAGTTTTAGTGCCCCTTGCTGCCCTGTATCAAGACTGCAGCCAGAGAAGGCCAGAAAGCGTGATGGCTCCTGGTGTGTGATGGTAGATGCTGTGAGCGAACAGGGTGGTTCCATAAGAGGGTGGTCCGCAGGGAAAGGGGAGGTTCCAAGTTCCATACCACACCCAAGGGAGGGTGGAGCTGAGCAGGGGAAGAAGAAGCTGATGAGGAAACTGGAGAAAGGAAGAAGCAGGATGGAGAGCCAGAGGAGACCTGGAGGAGGCACATGGAAAAGAGAGACATGAAGAAGCCGCACTTCTCATCATTGGACTGGTTGAACCAGAGGTGGGTGAGAGACCCATGGGGAGGTTAACAATGGTTGCTTTTATCTTGATTTTTATTTTACTCTTTTCCTCCCTGGAAAAAAGGGCTGTTTCTGCCTTTTCCCTTGGATCCCCACCAGAAGGTGCCTTAGCCATGTTGTAGGCTTTTGGGTCTCAGTGGCACTGCTTTGGGCCAACCCTGTTTGGCTGGACATTTACCCACGAGGCGATGGGTAACTTCAGGTGCTTGGTTTGGAAACTATATTCTTCCCCTTTTCTTTGTTGCACACTAATTGTATTTAAAGTTTCTTTCCATTAAAGGTTTTGTATGTTTTGTCTTAATGTGGCAGATGGCAGAACCTATTTAGAGCAGGCAGGTTTGGGGGTTCTGGGTGCCCCTCTCCCTGCCCTGTGACAGAGAAGCTGTCTTCAAGAGCTGTGTTTTCTTATGGACAAGGAATCAGAAACAAACCTCACATAAGCAGTGCCTTCGGTAGTCAACTTGCTAGATCACCTGCTAGTGCCAATTACTTGTCTTTTCGCCCCTCGGTTGGTGCCCTAACGCCTTAGAGGACTGGGCTTAGTTGTATTCTGTTGGCTTCAGTTGCATTCTGTTTGCTTTTGCGGGTCATGGCTACAGTGTTCCACATCGGCCAAGGGAAGCTTGTGGGGAAATGATGGGTAGATTGTAGGCGAAAAACCCCGAGCTGGGGAATGCAGGGTAAGTGAATTAATAGGCTTTTTGAGCCACTGGCCTCCGTGGCGATCACCTGCGGCCTTGATTGTGTTGATGCAGAAGGCGCTTGGGAGCGTGGGCGCGGGGTGCGCAAGCCTGATTGTGGACACCTGGATATGGGTGCACACGCATGCGTAAGTGTGCACACCCGGGCCTAGAGGTGAAGATAAAAGTGGCAGCAGTGAGAGGAAGTGAAACAGCAAGACTATGGAAGAGGCAAGACTGTGAGTTAGAGAGAGAGAGAGAGAAGAGAGAAATGCCAGAGAGAATGAGTGTAAAGATTTGTGAGGGAGCTGGGGGGCCTCAGTTGCCTGCCTGCCTCCCCGTGCTCCCTGCCGGGCCTATTCTGCTTCCTTGCATGCCAGCCTCCCTGCCGGGTGTGCCTAGCTACCTGCTTCCCTGAGAGAATATTAAAGCCTGAAAAATCCACCGAGGGCTCTGCACTCTCCTTTATCCACCTGGCAGAATCCATAGTGAATCTGCCCTGTGGCTGCTGGCACTACAAGTGGAAACAAGGTGCGCTTTTGCAAGATGAAAGACGTGGAGGTAGTGATGGTTACACAATAGTGTGAATGTATTTAATGCAACTATTAAAAATGATAAGACAGTGAATTTTATGTTATGTGTACTTTTTTTAAGATTTGTTTATACATACAAGAGCTGGGGTACAGGTGAAAGGTGTGGGGGGGTGAGAGGATTCACAGGAGTGGGGAACAGAACAGGCAGATTGACTGAAATACAATGCTGGAGGGAGCAGCAGGCAAGGCAGGAAAGGTCTGCTGCTCCATGTGGGTTGCTCCCTGGCCGGCCGGGGATCGAACTTGTGCTGCAGAGGCTGCAGATAGCTACATAGGTTGTCTTAACCCCTTGCGCCATCAGGGAGGCCCTGGTATGTGTATTTTAAAAGAATTTTTAAAAATTAAACTGGGAGACCCTGACGAAGGTTTTTTGAAAAACAAGTAGCAATTACTTTATTTAAATGGTCAAATTGTCTCAGTAACCTTTGCATTTTATCACCCTTTATTTTAGCACAATATATGGGTTTGTGGAATGAATATCACGTCACAGTTAAGGTGAGTTTTCTTTGTATCCTATTTCTAAAAATAGGTACCTACTTAACAAGTGTGTGTGTGCAATGCGCGTGTGTGTGCGTGCACATGAGTAAGGTGTGTATACATGCATGGCATCCTAAACCGTGGCCTTTGTGCCAAATGTCACTATGAAATCTTAATCATTCAGGAGACTGTCTTCCCACTCTAGCTCAGTTAAATTTGGAATGACTTATTTTTTTTCCCAAGCAAAATTGAACACATGTCATGACGGTTGTTAGTCCTGATAGCCCTCTATCCTCCATGTCTTAGCAGCCCAGCAACATCTGCCCCCTTCCCCCCTTTAGAGGCAAGTAAGCTGCAGTTAAATCCTGGCTCTGCCCCCTTTTAAGTACTTGAAGTTTAAGGTGGTTCTTGTTTAAGCTTTAACACAAGAGATGAGGAAATTGTTAGTAATGCCTTTTTCAGATGAAGCTGCTGAGAATCAAAGTATCAGTAACTTGTCCAAGACCATACAGTTAACGCTGAATGGGGAGTCAAATTCAGAACCAGTCAGATCCCAACGTTCTTTCTCCTAAATTTGCACCATGCTGCACTTCCTTTGCAAGTCCCTGCGCTGCTCTGAAGGCACCACGGTGAAGGTGCTGCCACCACCACCATCCTACCCACTTAAAAATTTGAGTCCAGTGAGCTTTTCGTTGAACCTTCTCATTTGCTAATCCATTTCCTTTGAGGTCTTTTATAGAACTTTGTGAATTTGCAATGAACAACCACTTATGTTACATTGACTAACACCAATTTTGCATATGTAGTGTTATCTTGTATATGATTCCATTAGAGTATGTTTTGATTTATTTTGTTGCATTTTGTATTCACACACTGCAAAATACTATTTTTTTTAAGGAGTTGGTCAATGATGGTGATGAGATCTTGAAAGAAGTAAAAACTCTAACAGACAAGCTACATATAAGAGATGAAAAAATTGAGTCTATCAGGATTTGGTTGCAAGGGAATCTTCAAGAGCTGTGTTTTCTTATGGACAAGGAATCAGAAACAAACCTTAGTAAGTACATCTCAAGAGGCTTACGTGGCAAAGATCTTCATGTATTTTACTGTAGCTGGTGACTTTTTAAAAGCAGGAAAAATGCAAACAAAATAACTTGTTATCCCCATTCAACTAGCATGGATTCTCATTTGTGGACTTGAATCAAGTGTTGCAATGTCTAGACATATCTCCCCACCTAAGTAAGTTTTCTAAATAACTGAATCTTAACTTCTTATTACTTTGAAGTCTTATTTTTAATGTTTTCCCAAAAGCCTCTTGAACTTTCATATTTTCTTCGTAAACAGAAGCTGTTGAACATCATTTTATCTTCTATTTTTTAAAAGACTTATTCATTTATGCATACAAGAACTGGGGTACAGGCCAGAGATGCGGGGGGTGAGAGGAGTCACCAGAGACAGAGTGGGGAACAGAACAGGCAGACATTGAAATACACTGCTGAGGGGAGCAGCAGGTGAGACAGGAGAGGTCTGCTGCGCCATGTGGGTTGCTCCCTGGTGAGTCAGGGATCAAACTCATGCTGCAGAGACTGGGAATAGCTTCACAGTGTGGTTCTTAAGCCCTTGTGTCACCAAGGATGCTCCTATCTTTTCTTTCTAAGCTGAGTTTAACATTAAAAATATCAACTAAAGTCTCCTCTGAAAATCTGGTGATGCCTTGGGGCTTCTGATGTTAACATATCCTGTATAACATGACAGCCTCATGAGCAACAGTCCGCCCTTCCAGAGCACTGTCGACTTCATCTCCAGTCACCCCTCTGGTGTCATGTTTGATACGAGTGCCACAGAACTCTATCCAGATTTGGGACATAGTGAGAAATGGAGGAAACTCTTGCACAGTACAGCCCAGAGGTCCTGAGCAAAATCACACAGGAAGGTGGGAGGAGAATATGGGAAGGTGGGAGGAGAAGGTGGAGGGAACTTGGGAGAAGGATGGAGAGTAGAGTGTAGTGGGGAAATGGAGAGGCAAAATAAAAATGTCACCTGGCAAATGTATGGATTTGTTAGAGGCTAGTAAGTTTTAATTTTAAAGAGCATAATCACTAGATAAGCAATTTAAAGGCAGGTTTTTGAAAGTAAAATAGGATAATATAAAAGTAAAATGGAAAGAAAGTGGTAGGAATAAAAATATTCTGATATTTGGGAACAGTGATGTTCTCAAGGCATTACTTGACAGAGAAAGGTCTCATTAACCAATGAAGAATTTCACAGATAAACCTCTTCCTCAGCTAAACAGCCGTCACAGTGGTCCTGCCGGAGCCCACTGATACTGACCATGTGTATGTGCACAATGGGCCTCAGGTGGGTCTTGCTTTGTGTGTTCTTTGCTAGGCCAGGCCATCCCCAGCAACTGCACATCAAAAACAATGCTAAGGCTAAATCGCCTCTAGTCATGTCAGTTGCACTTACCTTCACATGAGGAAGTCTGTTTTTCTCTCAAAGCTGATGGAATCTTTGCGTTGGAGCAAACTTGGACTATATTGAAAAATGAAGCCCACTAAGTAATACATTCCCTTTTTCACTTATTTTAAGGCCTATACATTGACAGTCTATGGAAAGTAGAGAATTGCAGGGTGGAAATAAAGACAGACACCCCACATGAGAACAAGCAGAGACATAGTGCTTGACACAGCAGGGGACTCAGAATTGCCATTATCTGCTTTTGGCAGAGATTCAAAGGTAGCCAGGAGAAGAGGAGACGGATAGTGTGTGGGGGCAAGTTCTGATTTGAGGTTGTTGGCTTGGGGAAATTGATGGTGTTACAGGGCAACCGCAGGGGGAATCAGGGTGACACGGGTATAAGTCTTCACCCTCATGTTTCAGAGCTCCAGACAAGACCAAAAGCTGACAACAGAGAAAAAAATGAAAGGTTTATTTACAAGGGGAATGGGAAGGGGAGTAGACAGAGAGGAAGGGGGGAGAGAGGGGGAGAGAGGGGGAGAAAGGGGGGAGAGGGGGAGAGGGCCAGAGAGAGATGAAGATGGAGGGAGAGAGATGGAGACAGGGAGAAAGAGAGACAGAGTTTGAGAGAGACGGAGATGGAGAGAGGGCGGCAGACAGTGAGAGGGAGAGACAGGCGGTGAGAGAGGGCGACAGACAGAGGGAGAGAGAGAATTAATTGGTCGACATGTCCTACCAGTAATGCCTTCCGAGCTGAGCACAAGTCAAAAGCTAGAAAAGCAAGAGCACATTCTAAGTTATAAGCCAAGTATAGCTGCTTCACTCATCCTTAGTGTCCAGTGACCTCCCGTTCAGGAAGTCAGGACCGTGGTGTGCAGGAAGTTGTAATCTGGGAGCTCCCTTCGGCGTGGAAATGGAGGTGGAGTCTAAAAACATCCCTGGGTGAAGTTCCCTCAGGACATCATTCCTGGGTTCAGAGTTTGCCCCTTCCTACTTCTCTGACAGTGCAGGCTAGCCAGAAGCAGGGCAGCCTGTGTGGCCGGTTGGCTGACCTGAAGCCCACCGTGGCCATAAAACAGCTGTCTCTTGACCACACGGGGCTACTCCCACCCCTTCTCTCCCTACTCCCAGGCTGGTCTGTTGAGATTTGCCTCTGATGGAGACTCTAGATCATAGGTTTTAGATTCTCGAGCAATCTAGGTCCTCCAACTTGAGGCATTATGATCAATCCACACACAGGAAGCTATTTATAGTCAATAGCTTTTTTTTTTAATTGCCTGTTGTCTATTTAATATCGCACATATTAAACTGAGCTTAATATGACTTAATATGCCTCCTGACTTCCTGAACAGGAGGTCACTGGACACTAAGGATGAGTGAAGCAGCTATACTTGGCTTATAACTTATAATGTGCTCTTGCTTTTCTAGCTTTTGACTTGTGCTCAGGTCATATGTGAGATATCATGGCTACAAATAATCGGGGCACATGCTGTAAGTGAAGATCAAAGGAGTTTGGAGACCACCTATCTAGACCTCCCACCATCACCATTTCTACTCAGGCTTTCTTTAATGTAACCACACTGCAGACCCACAAGCAAGTCACAGGCTAAAGAGGACTGTGGGGCCCTTTGAACTCTTTTCCATAGTCTCTGCTGCTGCCTGTTTTCTCAGGTGTCAAGAATGTTGTGGCCATCCCTGGGCAAGTCTGTTGTCTACAACAGAGAACGGTGAACTACAGCCTGGGGGCTGGGCCATTGCCTTTTATTATGTGGAACTAAAAATAGTTTTTTATCATTATAAATCACGGGGTTGGGGGGGAAAGCAAAGGAATATTTCCTGACTTCAGAAAATTACATGTCCCTATTTCTATATCCATAAACCAGGTTTTATTTTTTCCAATTCCAATTCATTTTTTCAATTTTTTTTTTTTTTTTTACATCATTGTTCATTTTTAAACCATAGTTGCTTCTCCCCCTCCCCCACACTCAGCTGTAGTCCCCATAGAATTTCCTTCCCCAATGCACCCGTGCACCATCAACAAAGTCCCCTGTGCTCCTCCCTCCCTCCGATCCCTCCCCCACCTCCTCCCCTGCAGGATGCCTCTGATTTATAATTGTCTGTTTTTGCTTTGTTGTGTTTTGTACTGCTACTGTTTTTTTTACACTGATGTCTTGTTGACCCCTGGCCGTGCTCATTCCTTCTCAAGGCTGCCTGTCTCTAGGGGCAGAGCTGCTGTGACACAGACTGTGAGCTGCCAAGCCTAAAATATTTCAGTACTATCTTTCATTTGCTAAAATATTTACTAGCTTGCCAACCCCTGGACTAGAGCATTAGTACTGACATCTTCTCCTTTTGTTCACCCAGAGTGGGTGAGCTTTGTTGGCAACATGGCAAGGCCAAGCGGTCATGCAGGCTGGGACAAATAAGAGAGTATAAGGGCTGAATCCCTTGCTCAAGGCCACACAGTGGTGGACTAACTCTGACACAGTGACCAATGTGGGAAAAGTAAACATGTTCTTTTGTTACTGAAAATGAAAAGAATAGCACTTGGTTTTATTAAAAACTGTTCTCTCACTGAATATGTATTTTTCGGTCAATAGATGTTGGTTGGGAATTTTTCAGTTAAAAATACCAGTGCTATTTGCAGTTATTGCAGGGTTGCTTGTTGGGCATTGTGACACTGGAAATCGCTCCTATATTTGAGGTTCCTTCCAGATTTCACTATTAGCTCTAAACTAGTACTACTGAATGTCTGCTTTGAACCAAGCTATCGTGGCTCTGGGGTTACAATGGTGATTAAAAAGCTATAACCCCTGCCCAAGTGGAATTGCAGTCTAGTACAGAGATCTGTAAACTTTAGAGGGTCAGATCTATTTTGGCATTGCCAGCCATAAGGTCTTTGTAGCCTCTCAAGTTTGTACCTGCTGGTATAGTGGAGGAGACGTTGTTATGGAAAGAGATGTAAAATCCCCAGTGTCGGGCCTCCCCTATGGCGCAGCGGGTTAAGCGCTGCACTGTGAAGCTGTCTGCAGCCTCTGCAGTGCAGGTTCGATTCCCAGCCAGCCAGGGAGATTCCCACATGGCATGGCAAACCTCTTCTGCCTTCCTTGCCTGCTGCTCCCCTCAGCAGTGTCTTTTATCCGTCTGCCTGTTCTGCTTCCCGCTGTCTCTGGTGAATTCTCTCACCCTTCCGCGCCTCCGACCTGTATAAAATAAGTTCTTGTATAAAAATAAATCTTCTAAAAAAAAAAAAAATCCCCAGTATCATAAGTGCAATGACGGTGGGGCATAGGCCTCTGAGAACCTAAGCAAGCAGTCTTGACCTAGTAAAGGAATCAGGGAGAGGCCTCTGAAGAACTGGAAATGGAGTTGAGACCTGATGGAAAGTTTCTGGCTCCCCTAGTGGCTTCTGGAACACAGACACCCTGTGGACTTTGAGGAAAGGTAGACCCGGGTTCAAATTTCAGCTTTGCTTCTTATTTGTTATTTAACGTCCACTCCTAGTTTCTCTGCTTGTAAAATATAGATGATAACTAGCAGGAGTTTTAAAGCCTCAGGCCATATTAGGCCCTCATCAGGTCCCTGAAATGAATCACCCTCCTGACAATAGTCAATCTTGTCTCCTTGAATTCCTTGATTTTCTCTGTGAAGCTTAGAGTCTTCTGGCTTTGGGATGTTCCCTGCTGAATGACTTCTCTCACAGGTGACCTCCTAACATGCCCTTAATCTCATCCTGCTCAGCAGCCTTCTTTCTGTCCTCTGCAAGTCCTGGCCTTCTCTTTCAGGACCTCTGCACTAGCTTTATTAACATTTTGGGCACCACTGAGCCTGGCACTAGAACAAATAACTAGTACAGTTGAATAAGACTGTGTACCCAAACTGCAAAGTGCACACATTGTGAAAAACAGAGATGATTAGAAAACAGTGGGTTCCATCTAATGAGACTATGGGCCCTTTAAGTTTTTGTGGGAGTTGGGAATATATAGGGTTATCTTATCAGAGGATACGCACTTGAGCTGTCAAGAACTGCAGTAGTGGGCCTTCCTGGTGGCACAAGGGGTTAAGACGCAATCTATGAAGCTGTCTGCAGCCACTGCAGCATGAGTTCGATCCCCAGCCAGGGAGCTACCCACTGGCACAGCAGACCTCTCCTGACTTGCCTGCTGCTGCCCTCAGCAATGTGCTTCAATCAGTCTGCCTGTTCTGTTCCCCACTCTGTCTCTGGTGAATCCTCTCACCCTCCCCAACACCTCTGGACTGTACCCCAGTTCTTGTCTGCATAATTCTTAAAAAAAAAAAAAAACTGCAGTAGCATGGCTAAGTAACCTGCTGGAAATACCAATTGCTGGGAATACCCATTGGCAAGGTGGGGGACAGGCTTGTCAGAACTGAAATGCCAGACTTTGTCCTGAAGACAAATTTACTACTTTTTTTCTTAAAAACAAAAGGTAACCAATTTTTAGTGTATTGCCAAATAACTAAATAACTAAATAACTAATTTTTAGTGTATTGCCAAATAATGGCATCTGAATAGAGGTTATTTTTTAAAAATAAACAGATTTTTGTCTTGAAATTTCCAAAATCCTTTAGTATTATGCTATATACTAGGTTACGTATAAACAATGTACTCGCCAAATATCATAATTTAATGTGTATTCTACAGAAGAAATCAGGCCAAAAGGTATTTCAAAAGTTAAAAAAAATCCTTACCTGTTGAAGTTCTTTTTCATTACTGTGTTGAAAAGGGACTTGATGCAATTATCTTTCTTTTGTTTGTTAACATTAAAAAAAAAAAGCTATTAAAGCAGAATCAATTTCAGTAAGAAGTAATTTAAAAATCATTTGTCCAGAAATTGTCTACAGTTCTCTTGGGGAAAAATAAGGTTGTTCAGAACTAGGAAGAGTGCTTAGAGCATGATTCTCAAACATTGGAATTACTTGGAGGTTTTTAAAACCCCTCTGCTTGGCTTGCACTTCAGACTAATTCACCATGAATCTTTGGAGGTGGGCTCCAGACATGCTTTTGGAAATCTTTCAAGATGGCTCCAATGTGCAGCCTGTTCTTTCAAATCAATGGCTTTAGACAAATATGTAACTACGTAAACTGTTACATTTATCAATAGATCCAAATTAAACAACAAAATATTTTGACTTTTAAATCACCTATCCAGCACTGGTTAGTGAAATAATTACCATACGCTGTAGCAGTTAGTTGTAATGCACTACGAAGACATAAGTCAAAATTTAACAAAGCGAAACTATTATAGGATTTGGGTTGTTTTCTTATACTTTCAATGACCAATTTTTAACAAATTATTTAGTAACATTAGCAACCACAGTTGTGAATTGTTTCAGTCTTAAGGCAAATTTAAAATGCAGATACATATTAAGTATTCATGAAATTCTTTAAGGATTTATAATTACTACATGATTTGTCTTTTTGTATACCCACTTTTTCCTGCAAGAATAGAACATCTGGGAAAGTAATTACTAAAATGGCTCCAAATATAGTCAGAAGATAAAAGTTTGATAATCAAACTCATAACCACCCTACCTCCCACCCCGGGCCCAGTTAGGGCTCCCATTATACAGCTATCCAATGGTAGGTTCTTTGGACAATTTAAGATTTTAATGGGCACTAATAACCACCCAAACCTGTGTGAGATATATAATTTTAATTTTCCTTTTATTCCTATAGAACAGAAGGAAAAGAGCCAGATTAAAAAAACCCACGTTTCAGAGGCTGAATGTACTATGAAAAAGATATCAACAAAGAAAATCTAGTAAGATAACTTCAGGTGAATTCAAAAGGCATAAACAAAATGACAGAAAACGTGAGTGCATTTTCTTATTTTGTGACTGTCAAAGGAAGTCTTAAAAGTTTGAGCTATAACAAACTCATGCAACCCCACCAAAAATCAGAATCAGTAAATAGCCATATAAATGCAAATGGATAAATAGATTAGGAGGTGAAGTGCTAAAAATTTTATTTTGTTCATGGTTGCCACCATGAATCTCTTGAAGCCTTCAAAGAATTAAAATAGGACACCTATCCAAAACCAACCATGGGAAAACTGTTTATATGCTGTATATACCCACTGTACTTTGTTAAATCTGCAATCAATTTTTTTTACATTGCTGTTCATTTTTGTACAGTATTTGATTTCTCCCTTCCGGTGCAGTCCCTGTAAATATCCCACATCACCTGTGAGCCCTCACTATGGTCCCTTGTGCTCTTGCCACCCGTTTTGATCACCTTTCCTTCCCCTTCCCTGCTAAACCTCAGAGCTATAGTTATCTACAAGGTTGGTTTTTAGTGTGTTTTTTTTACCTTTTGTTCAGTTTCCCTATATTCCTCCTGTGATATATCATCTGGTATTTTTCTTTTCCTCCTGACTTATTTTACTGAGCATATGCCCTTCCAGCTCCATCCATATTGCTGAGGATGGCATGAGTTTATCTTTTTTGATTGCTGAGTATTATTCCATTGTGTATATATACATCTTTTTGATCCAACCATCTGTTTTTGAGCATTTAGGTTGTTTCCATATTTTAGTTATTGTAAACAGTGCTAAAATAGATATAGGAGTGTAGGTTTCCTTTTGAATTAATATTTTTGTGCCCTTTGGATAGATTCCTAGAAGTGGAATTGCTGGGTCATGTGGTAGATTCATTTGTAATAATTTGAGCGTCCTCCACATGGCTTTCCATAGTGGTTGGACCAGTTTGCATTCCCACTAGCAATGTAAGAAGATTCCTTTTTTTCTCTACATCTTCACCAGCACTTACTTTTTTTTTTTTTAATGTGGGCCATCTTTATTGGTGTAAGGTGGTATCTCATTGTGGTTTTGATTTGCATTTCCCTGGTTATAAGTACAGTTGAGCATTTTCTCTTTGGAGAAGAGTTTAACTCTTCTGCCCGTTTTTTGACTGAATGGTTTTTGTTGAGTTGTATAAACTTTTTGTATAGGGTGCCAATATTTTCTCCCAACCTGTAGGGTGTCACTTTGTTTTGGTTACTCTGTTTTGCTGTTCGGAAGCTTTTTGGTTTGATGTAGTCTCAGCTGTTTATCTTTTCCCTCAGTTACTTTGCTTTGGGGGATGTCTTCAAGGATGTTTCTGTGATGTATGTCATGTGGTGTTTTGCCTATGTTCAATATATTCTGTGGTTTCAGGTCTTACATTCAGGTCTTTCATCCATTTTGAGTTAGTTTTTGTGTATGATGTGAGATGGTGGTTTAGTTTCATTCTTTTGAATCCAGTGGTCCCGTTTTCCCAGGACAATGTATTGAAGAGATTATATTATCCTTGTTCCAGTGCATATTCTTTATTCCTTGTCATAGATTAACTATATGTTTGACTTTGGATTTTCTATTTGATTCCATTGGTTTGTGTCTGTCCCAGTACCATGCTGTTTAATTATCACGGCTTTTTATTTATTAATTTAATTATTAATTTAAATTAATAATTATTAATTTAATTATTATGGCTTTAAGCCTGGGAGTGTAATGCCTCCATTCTTTTTTTGCTCAGGAGAGCTTTGAGAAGACATCAATTTTAAAGGTGCATCCTAAATCAGAGATGTTACAATGGGGCGGGGAGAGTGTCTTGGGATCAATAAAAAATAGCGTATGTGTATATATAGCCTTAAAAGTGCAATATAAAAGGACATATTTGAGTATGTATATTCATTTGGGAAAGAATCTTACTACTAATCTTACTACTAATCTTACTACTTAATGTCTTACATTATTTTCACAATTAATATGGCAAAACACCAACGTCAGACACTTGAAATTTCTTGATTAAATTTTTTATTTTTTTTTACAGAAAAGTAATAATTTGAAGATGTCTTCAAACAAACTACCTATGAACAGAAAACCTGTTAAATAAGTTATGCTCTATTTTTCTAATAGATCAAAATACTGTTGTCGGTGAAAATAAATAGGTAACAAAACAACATATTTTACTTCCATGTTTGCTATCAGACCCCACAAATGTTTGTCCTTATAATACATTATAACTGAAGGCATGCACAATTATGCCAATGCTAAGGAATTCAGATTATATGCTCGAGTTTTTCTTAATAGAAATGGAAACCACACATCTCTAGGTACACAAGAACATGATTTTCCCTAAAGAAAACAAATTGTTGCAGAGGTAAGTGCTTCCTAACAGGCCTCTAGTATAACAATGCTTTCTAAGTATATAGTGTATTATACTATGTAATTTCAGACTTAGAGAAATGTCTGAAATTTCTGTTATTTTTATTGACAGTTAAAACATAGTCTGTTTAAGTCAAAAAACAAAACATTAAGATATACTCTTATTCCCATGTATAACAGCAGGTTACTAATATACTTCATTTCTCTATTTACTAGAACACTTCTGAGGTGGGTTTTCTTTTTTTTTTTTTGGCATTTTATATTCAGTGTCCATTGGCTCCTTCTGAGAGTATCCGTGAAGGTTCAGTAAATTTTGCAGTGAACAAGTAAAAAAGTGCTGGTGTGGGTACCAAAGCCAAAAGTGGTAAATCTTGCTCGAGTTTATCCACTCTGGTAATGGAGATTATTCCATAGGCATGGAGTAGCCAGTGGCTAAAGAGAACAATAAGTCTTTTCTTTCTGACCAGAAGATCATAGCAGTTCTATACCATTTTAGGAAAGAAAGAAAAGATAAACATAGATTATTGTAATGAATCAGAGTATTTGTTACATTTTAATTTAAAGTAGTCTGTTTTCACACAGAATTACAACCTCAGAATCACAGCTAAAAAGAACCTAATATTCACTCATTTTGGCCACTATACAGCTAAGCCAGGTTTCCTCCAGTCACCGGAGCACTCAGCAGCAGCTGAGTCTATAGGAAGTACAGACACCCACTTCCTTAATCCATTATTACTGGAGCCTCGATAATTACAAGGAAGCAGAAGTCACAGGTGATTACTGAATTCCTTTTAATCTGTTCTCCAATATGCAGAAATTGAAAGGACCAAATTATAAAAAGTAGTATCTAAATGTGTAATAAAAAACCAAGTGTAATTTGCAATAGGTTAACTACCCACTACCTCTTGTAAATGCCTCATCAATTCAATTAGAGCTAGACTGTCTCTTCCTGATTCAGGTCACCATTCTGATTCATGTGTAGCATCCTAACTGACATACAGAACATTTTACATGGGAGAAATTCACAAGAGCAGAGCAACAAGTAATTTGAAGTTATTTTATGTATCCAGAGTAGTTATCGATAATTTAAAAAACTTTATTTTATTCAATTTCACCCCTCAACTCTTTCTTCAAAACTGAAAAAAATAGCAAAATCCAATTTGCTCGTCTTCTTTGAAGTATGTTACATTGTTGATAAATGATTACAGAGAAAAATGGGGATAGTACAAAAATTAAAAAACATTGGAAAAAATACTGTAAAAATAGTCTGGGTTTTTCCTCTGCTAAAAGTCATTAGGATTTTTGTCCTCTCACTCTTTCACTAATATAATAGAAAAGGACCGTTAATAGTAAGCACTCCAAAATAGTTAACAACTTACTTTCTTTGAGTTGAACTTTTTATGTTAAAAATATTGAGAAAGCATTTAACTGTCGTGAGCAGTAAAAGTCAACATAGACACTAGATTAGCAAACATAGGAGGAAAAAAAAAATCCTAAGGCACTTTACACTTTTCTTTGGAGTTTAGCCTCAAACGAAAGTTCTTTCTAACACTAGCCTTCCATTGAAGTACTAAAATGTTAGAGGCACAGAAAGAGTATTTCTACCCCCTAAAACATACAGTATTAAAAACCAGCATTACCTCAATAAAGTTTTTTTAAAGTATATTTCAAAATGAACATATCACAACTAATATAACTTAATGTTATTTCTAAATCACCAAAATATTCTAGATATTAGAGGGCAAAATAAGTATCTACAACTGTGAAAATAAAATTGGGGACAAAATAGATGGACATGGAATACAGATAAAATTACAAAGGACAGTGTTGATACTGTAAAAGTACAAGCTTAATTCTCTCAAAATAGTGTTAATCTGAATATTTTAATAATTACTTCCTATGTGGGTAAAAAATGTAAGACGACTTTTCTCCAACACGCTGGACAGTTGAGCCCAACTAATTCATTAATTTCCTAAGAAAATAGTCCTGTATCTAACCTTTCATAAATTTAATGTCACTAAAAGCTAAGTGACTTCATTTAGCCACGGGTTACTAAAACAATCACTAGTACCATATTATAACACTACTATTCAATTCTCAAAATTATTATAAAAAATCTTTAACAAAGGAAAAAATATTTCCTACCTCTATTTCAGAAGCCGACATGTACACAGCCAGAGTAACCAAAGACAATACTAATATAATGTAGGGGAAGGCATAATCTGAAAAGCAAACATTGGTGTTATATTGAAAATTACACAAGTTTTCTGAATGAAACAAATTCAAACAGTAGAATTTCCCACAGTCAAAAACTTTCTCAGTCAGTTCTATGAGAGACTTTAGTTCTAATACCTTAAGGAAGGGCTGGCAAATTTTTCTGTAAAGGGCCCGACAGTCAATTGCTTAAAGGCTTTGTGGCACATACAGTCTCTGCCTCAGTCACCCAACTCCACAAATGAAGTGAGAATACTAGGCAAACACATAAATAAAATGAGCACATCTATGTTCCAATAAAACTTTAGGGACAATAAAAAGTGAATTTTATATAATTTTCATATGTCAAAAAATACTATTTTCTGATTTTCTCCCCAACCATTTGAAAATGTGAACCCATACTTGACCCAGCTTTAATAGACCCCCTGCTTATGACATTCATTGAATATAAAGAATTAACCTTTTTCCTGCAGCTAGAATATCCATGTACCAAACTTGGGAGAAATGAGAAAAACACTCAAATAATTTTCTGATCCAAATGGGGAACTTTGGTTAAGAAAAGTAATCAGCTTTAAGTATTATTTAGGAAAGTTCATACATCATAGGATAAATGGATCATTCAGCTCTTACTTTCTAGAAATGTCTACTTCAAAGAGTGTAGTAATATTTTTTTTTTTAAGATTGATTTATTTATACAAGCACTGGGATATAGGCCAGAGGCTAGAGAGGGTAAAAGAATTCACCAGAGACAGAGCAGGGAGCAGAACAGGCAGAAGCACCGAAATACACTGCTGAGGGGAGCAGCGGATGAGGCAGGAGAAGTCTGTGGCACCATTTGGGATTCTCGCTGGCCAGGATCAAACCCGTGGACAACCTCACAGTGCTGCACTCAACCTGCTGTGCCACTGGGGAGGCCCAAGTATAGTAATATTTAAAACAAAAACTTTTTCTTACAGAGTACCCACACCTTTCTCTTAAAATGTTTTACATTCACACACTAAAACTGAGAACAAATATCTCAGACTTCCATACTCCCTTGCTATGAACTCAATGCTTGTGTTCTCCCATAACTTCATGTTAAAATCATAACCTCCAATGTGATGATATACGGAGGTGATTAGGTCATGAGGACAAAGTCCACATGAATAGCAGCAAGATCCTAGCAAGCTCTCTCACCTTCTGCTCTGGGAATACCATGTATCAACTAAGCAGGCCCTTGCTAGACCCCAAATCTGCTGGTGTCTTGTAAACCACCCAGTCTATGGTATTGTTACAGTAGACTAAACTAAGACACCCCTACAAATTTTTTTTCAGTATCATTAATGTGAGTTCATATGATGCCCTCTGTGATTAATTTCAGCAGACTGCGTAAGCTGACGTTTCGTGAGGATGAGTAATAACTCCTTGATCCTCTATGAATGTGTTCTGAGTGGAGTTAGTAACAAAATGATCTAAAGACCTTAAGGGTAGAAAGGCATTTTCCGGGCCTCCCTGGTGGCACAAGGGGTTAAGCACAGCACTATGAAGCTCTCGGCAGCCTCAGCAGCACCGAGTTAGATCCCCCACCCCAGGCAGGAAACTACGCACAAGGCGCACATGGCGCAGTAGACCTCTCCTGTCTTGCCCGCTGCTCCCCTCAGCAGTGTGTTTCAGTCAGTCTACCTGTTCTGTGTCTCTGGTGAATCCTCTCCCCTCACACCCTGCACTTCTGGCCTGTATCCCAGTTCTTGTATGCATCAATAAATAAGTCTTTAGAGGGAAAAAAAAAAGCATTTTTCAATTTCCTCTATTTCATAACCAAGACAATTGCATATAATAACACTACCTGCAGTCCAGACATAAGGATTGTTGAAAGCTGACAATTCTTAATCTTTCCAGCCTAGACAGCCCTCCCTAGTTTTAGACTAGCATAAATACCTGTACTCTTGGATATTCCGTGAATACCTAAAACTGAACTGACCAACCTATTTGCTGTTTCTAATATTCATTTCCTAGTTAATAAGTCAGTAAGTTACGTTATCATCTTATTCCTATTCCTCAATCCCTGTAATTTGTTACCTGGCTTATTAACCCTTTGCACTCCGCTGTCCCCTCTCAGGGGACATCGGAATTCTAGCATTATCACTCGGATGTCCCCTCTCAGGGGACATTGCAATTTATTAGTGATTACGGGGAATTGAGGTTATTTTGACGCAACTTTTTGAGACATGCATGTTTCCCTGAAGTTTTATCTTGAAATGGCACAAGAAATTAAATCAAAATATCATAAAATGGTTCGGAGTGTAAAGGGTTAATTAGCTACCTACATCTTCAAGATAGTCCATTTCCAGAGCTTCTCTGCTTTGGGTCAGTTAGGCTTGGTTTATTACTATAATAATTTCATAAGTGCTACTCCAGGTTCTCATCTTCAGGGCAATCCATCTACTACAGTGCTACCAAGTTATGTTCCTAAAACATAAAGCTGATTATGTCACTCCCTGCCTCAGATCCCTTTCAGTATAGGTCTCTTGCTCCCTAGAGCAAGAACAGCAATGTCAAACGCTTATAAAAACCAGCCAGGCAGGTAAAAAATGGGTTGACCAAATCCGAGAAAACAGGGGAATGACAGGAGATAGAAAAACTAGATTTTCAAGTACCATGCAAGACAAATGAAGCAATACACCTAAGATTACACCAGAACATAAGGGAATAACATACTAGTCTCCAATTACCTTTCCCTTGGCCTTACCCTCAACTTTGCCCTTACATTGAACCAAAGTTATTATCAAGCTACATTACTTGCAATGTGTTGCTGAATTTTGACAGTCTCTTTAGGCCAGAAGGCTTGCCCTCTGCAGCCTGGCAGGCTTCATTTAAAAGATGGTACAAATATCCTTGCATTGTTCAATGGCCCATATTCAAACAAACACCATACATACTATGTTCTCTCAACTATTTATAGCTTATTATATGTGTCTTAACGTCTTTTTAATTCTTTTGCCTTGCAGTTCAACCTAAATGGTTACTGATTAATGGATATATTAAAATAAAGAGTATATTGAGGGTTTTTTTTTAACTGTACCCAAAATGTTTTCATAAACGAATTTGGAAATTTAAGGCCTAACTTAATGGAAAACAGTACATAATATCATGAAAAATTTCTATATACTATATGCAAAAACTAGTTTTTGTTTTAAAATTTATGTTTAGGCTTTTAAAATCTTCCTATTTAGATTAAAAGCTGCAAATACAAGGTAGTCTATAAATAGAAATCAGTTCTCATTAGCTGCCACTGATTTCTTGAAAATTCCATTTCATTCCAAGAAAGCTGTAATTCATAAAAATAAGACTAGGGCCTCCCTGGTGGCCTAGGGATTAAGTCTCAGAGCTATTACCACTATGGCCTGAGTTTGATCCCTGGCCAGGAAGCTAACCCACATATGGTGCGGCAGACCTCTCCTGTCTCACCTGCTGCGCCCCTTACCAGTGTGTTTCAGTAAATCTGCCTGTTTTGCTCCCCACTTAGTCTCTGGTGAATCCTCTCACCCTCCCCCAACCCACACACACACACCTTTGGCTTACACCCCAGTTCTTCTATGCAAAAAAAAAAAAAAAAAAAAAAGACTTTTAGCAAATATATATACAAGGGCTTACTTTCAAGGACTGAAAAACTATTTTAAAAAGTTCTAAAATTATACTAAAAAAACACATGTAATGATAACTGTATTTTACCCACTTTATCCCATAAACTTACATAAAAGGCCTCCACCAACTGCCTGAAGTATGGTTAAAATTGGGAAGAAGTAAAGTGCAGCATAAATACTTTTAAATCGATCAGACTTCCCTAACCCACAGGCAATCTTCTTTACCAGAAGAGGTCGGAGCAGCATCATTAATACCAAGCAGAATGCATAGTAGATAAATACAATGGTGTACCTATAAAATAAGAAATTTGAACATTAAAAATATGCTTTAAAGTAACTATCATTGATCATCTTTAAATCAAAGCTACTAAAAGGTCTAAAAAGTATGTTAGGTTTATTGAGTATTCAGACTAGTGGAGGATTGGTCAAGACTCACACACACTAACAGGAAGGACATGCTGGTACTTTTCCAGGAGGAAGTTTGGAAACGGATATCAAAAATCCTAAAAATGTTCATGCCCTTTGATCAGCAAGTTTAGTTGCTGAAATTTATCAAAGCAAACCAATCTGGGATACACAATAAACTTTGTGCACAATAATAATATCATAATGATATCATCACATAATAAAATAGAAGTCAAAACAAACACTTACAGTGGGTAGACAGCTTCATGAGTACAGTGCACTGTGGTGATGTAATCTGGACTTGGGTTGTAAAGCATTGTGTACCAATCAGAAAGCATCAGTACGCGACATGAATGGATATAGAGAACACCAACTGGATCACTCACAAGTAAGGTGATAATAGCTGCCATACTGCATTCAAATAATGCTGTGATGTGCTGGAAAAGTGCACTGGAACTAGCAAAACAAAGGAAGCATAATTACCACAGATTTCAATAAATGGCTTTAAATAAAACCTGTATGCTTCAAGGTGCAAATTCTAAAAAGAAATTTTAACTGAAACTAAAAAAATCTTCTAAATTGACAAAAGCCAACTAGATACAAAGACAGAGAAGACTTCAACCTAGTTTACTAGAAAAGGACACTCATCCCAAGTAACAGTGGCACTTCTGCCAGGTAGTTTCAGAGATAACTGGTCTGCCTTTAGGTTCTCAGTTTCCTTCTGTGGTCCTTTTATCTCTCCCTGACACAACAGACCATGACAATAGTTCTGGATAGTTCATGCATTCTTCTACCTCTTCAGTGGTACTGGTTTCAGTGTGACCTTTCCAATGCCACATAAACTTTACAGTTACTTTGCCAAGTACCACAATATAAATCCACCACAGATTAGTTACTTTGGTGTTAGTTACCCCACACTATTTATGATGCTAGAAATGGAATACAGGAAGGCAAATGAGTTTGTATATTGATCTCACAGTCACCCTCTTTACTAAGCTCTTATTATTTCTAATGTCTAGTCTTCAAAGTTTCTGGGTTCTTTAGCAATGTTTCAGTCATCTATCACTGCACAGCAAACTATACCAAAACTTAGCAGCTTGACTATTTCTATTTTGTGGTTTGACGGGGCTCCACTACCGAGCCTATCCTGCACCTTAGTTGTTGATTTGGGAGGCACTTATCCAGGCGCTGCAGTATTCAACAGGACTAAGGCTCTGGGCTGTGAGCACAATGTGAGACTATTGAACACAGCACCATGTGGTTTCTGTGTTGTCTTCGGTGTTCCGCAGTTTAATTGTAATGAGTGTAAGTGGCAATCTCTTTTAATTTATTCTGCTTGGAATGTGTTTTACTTTGCAAAGAAACAATCTGGTACATCTGTTTATCGTACTTCTGTAAAATCTGAAGCCAGCAGGAATTATAAATTAACTATAAATACCTGATGGGGAAGCCATGGATTGGCTTTTCTTTCAGTGATTCTTGTAACTGGACTGTCCCTTGCAGGAACCTGGAAGCGATTCCTACGCAGCAGAAAATGGTTCCTTTTGCATAAAACTTTGGCCTGGATAACTCCCACACTCACTCAGTGTGGATCTCATATCCTTGTGCCTGAGCTGATATGCTTCAATAGCTACTCCTGAGAAGAAATGTTTTATGCTGCCCTGCTGGCAAGCTGTGTTCCTGAGTAGACTGGGGCTTAGGCTACAGAGCCTGAACATTTCATTGAATCTGGGAGGGCTCCCTGTAGATATTACAGAAACATATTGCAACTTCTCATGCCATGTTTCCTGTCTCATATTTCATGTTTTCTTTTCTTTGTGTTGTACTGTTCTTTCTTTACATTTTTTTCTAACTCATGAAATCTATTTTTAGTTGTTTATCTGATGACTTTTTTTTTATTTTAGCAAATATGAATTTTCACTTCTAGGAAGTTCCTTTTTTTTCCTGATCATATCTCTTATTCATTCATCTTAATCTCTTATTGAGTGGAGATTGTGTGAGTGCATCCTTTATATCTTTAAAATTTATATAAGTAGCAGTTATATATTCTATAGCTGAACACCCATTATCTTTGGTCCTTTGGGAACACATATAAACTGTTGTGTAATTGTTGTGTTTATCAACTCTCAGTCATGCTTATTTTTATTTGGTAATCAAGGATTATGAGCTCTTTAACAGATCATAATGTGCAAGTGTCTTGTGGGTCAGGAAATTGAGAACAGGAAAGCTTTTTAGGAAAGAGAATTTGCTTCTTTCACCAAAACTCATCAACCACCATTTTCCTGGGCTTCCACAGCAATCTGAGGTAGTGTTCAGCGCTGGGTGCCCAAGATTCAGAATCCAGACTGCAATGCTGCTACATCTCAAGCAACTCTCCATCCCTAATGCCTGCTTTGTTACTCTGGCCTACGGTGAAGGTAGAGTTGTTTGTTTTCTGAAAGAGAAGAAATCTAGATCTCCACTACCTCCAGAGAGATGAACAATATCTTAATTAGTGTGTCTTTTTCAGATATTGTTTCCTGCAGGAGGGTCAAATTAGAAGGACAAATTAGTCCATGCTGTTTGAAGCAGAACTCCTGTAGCATTTTATACAGATGAAAACACTGAATACATAAACATACATTCATATTATGTAATCTGATCTTTTGCCTCCTTTTAGAATTTGTATTTTGTAGATACAAAATGCCAACCTCATCATTTCTTGCCATTACTTTATTAAAACATATGTCACCTATCAGGTAAACTGCCTCTTCAGATACAGCTCTGAGGTTATCACCACATTTTATGAATATTCCCTCAGACTCTCCCAGCCCCCACTCTCTCCATATTCTAGCCTCATTTAATCCCTATTACCTCAGCCCTCATTTCTTTATTGTGTAATTTTCTGCCTTATACTTCTGCACATCTTATTCCTGATGTTTGACACTTTTTTAATTCTATCAAAAACTACTCGTTTTTCAAACTCCAACTTAGTTTTTTTCTTCTGTGAGAAGGCAAAATTAGCTTCTTCATGCCAGTATTAAAACTCTGTACATGCCTTCTATTTTTATTTGGTAATCATGGATTATGAAGTCTTTGCCTCATGCCTCTACTATAGAACCTCACACATAGTGTGAGGATTTGTCTACTCATCCATCAAATTGTGAGTATCCATATTTTAGTTCTCTCTGAATTACAGCACCTGGAACACTGCAAATATCCCTAAAGATGACTGAGTAAATATACTGAAAAGTATAAATTACATAAAAGTAAATTACATATGAAGAAAGCTATAAATTACATAAAAGTAAATTACATATGAAGTAAAGCCTCTGACCATATTGCATAAAATTATGCAATTTCTACCTGTTTCTGACCTGGCTTTAAAGAAAAACAAATTTAACAATAAGCTCTAGGGAAAGCAAAGATACCAGAAATGAAACTCATGACTAATATTAGTCTACCCCATACAATACTGGGTGATATCATGCCGAGGGAGACAGCATTGATTCTGTATATGTATCTGTATATATACAGAGTTGGGTCTGCATATACATCTATCAGTAGGTGTAAGTTAAACTAAAATCTGAAGGACAAACAGCAGCTAGGTAGAAAGTTCCACTCAGAGAAGAGAGGATTTAAGGTAGAGAAAAGAGTTTAGTGAAAGGACCTTACGCAAGAAATATTCTGAGTTAAAGAGGCCCTGTGAGACAGTATGATGACTGCATGTATAAAGGTAGAATGTGGCTCCTTGTTTCCCACAGAATAAAGTTCACATCCTTACGAAGGACCGTCATATTCTGGCCTCAGTCTACCTTTCCCGCACTCCTTTTGTTACCTTTCATTTATATGCAATCCATACCTGGACCACCCAGACTACTTCCATTCCCACTCAACAGACAACTCTCACCTGCATGCTGTTCTCTTTTGCGTAAAATTTTCTTTTTGTTTAAAAAGTCTCTTGGATCCCAACCAGCACAACTGATCTGTTTCATTCTTTGTAATCCCCGAGCACTGTGTTTATAACACTTCTATATACATATTGTTTATATACGTTTAAGACTGACTTATATTGTAATTAGTTGTGTATACATTTGTCATTTCTGCAAGATTATGACTATAAACCACATTGGTTATTTTTTTATGTCCTACCCTGAAGCATGCGCTACCATTAAGTTTTCTTGTCACACTCAAAATAAAAAGCAAAAATAAATTAACTACTTTTAACACAATAGAAGAAGTATACTTGTTGATAAGTTCTCAATGATAATTACGTCACCAACAGTCCAATGAGACACAGTCATAGAAAATGCTAACCTCTTTTTCCCCGAGTACCATTCAATGAAGAACCAATGTAAAACAAGAGGAAGCATAGCCATAAATCCGAGATAGAGCCAATCATAAAGTTCTGGATACTCTGTGCAAGGCTGACAATATTTCTGTGCATTTGTTCTCTGTCCTCTTGGACACACCTAAATATAAAATAAACAGTATTTCCATTGCTTATGTGCACATATTATTTGAGAACATTAACACCACCCAATTATTCTATAAGACACCAGTTCAAATGTCTGTTTACAGGTGCATCTTTTAGAAATAAAAAAGGAAACCTAAGTAAAACAAAAAGAAATCTACAACATATTTTTCTATAACTGTAGAATGCTCTTAAAGAATTCCTTTTACTAAACTACTAAAATAATTAACATTAAATGAAAAACCTACTTATTAACACTATAAAAATAAATGCAGAGAAACATTCAAGTTATAATGTCAATTTTCTTGGATGTCCAAGTCATTGTAATATAGCAATAAAAACTAATTATGAACTTGTAAGATGTTTTTAAAAAATAACAATCAAAAAAAGATTACAATCAATACAACAAACTATTAATGCCTCCCTATTTTCTTATACATTAATGAGAGTGAGGAAAAAAAGTATTATACATGTGAAATGATCTCAAAAGCAAAAAGATTTTGCAAATGAAATAACAAAGAAACTTAAAGACTTACCCCACACTCTCCATATATTTCAGTTGAGCCATTTTTAGATAACAGGGTCTTCCCACAATAAAGTCCAAGGCATGCTGGTTGAATATCGACCGCTTTTTAAAAACAAATGTCAGTATGGTCACATCTTTTATGGTATTAAATAATACAATAGCTGAAGCACTAGCATAAACATTTTAACACAGTTCAATGAAAAAGGTTACATATTAGACAAAAGGCTTGATACATTTAGTTTAAAATTTAAGTTTCTCCTTTTACACTGTGACAACTGCAGATTTACACTGGAATCTTGTTAATATGCTTCTTAAGATTAAGATCCTCAACTAGTAGAGCGGGACTAGCCCCAGAACTCAGCCTGTCCTGGTAGACACCAACGGCTCTAGCTACTCACTCTTGATCAGCTAATCTCAACCTCTGAGTTTCCATTTTCTAAAATTAAAGACTAATAGAGAATGGCCACCTTTTATTTTGCCCAATCAGGACAGTACGTGAATACACACACACAATCTATTATCACTTACAATCTATTACCACTTTCATTCATAACAGAATACATTATAATGACAGAAAAGTAGAAAGGACATAATTTTAAAAGGGGCAGTTTTAACTTTAAGTTCACCCCTATGAAAAGCTTGCCACATTTCATGAAGCTGTCATAGCTGTGACCAGTAATTAGGAAACCCTCTCTTAGAATGAACCCCCTAATCTCAAGGCTTGGCGAAAATTTAAATGCAGCTGTTCTTTACCAAGACTGCCTTTAACTTCACCAACAGAACAAGTCATTAAAGGAGCCTTTTTTGTTTTGTTTTGTTTTCAGTGGCATCTAGTTGATCAATTCATTCAAAAAACATACTGAGCATTGGATTCCACTGGTTAGGAACCGCTATAGGGCAATCATTTCCCAAATTCTTCATGATTCACAATCTAGACCGCCTGGCCCACAAAGCCCTTTCACTTTTCAGTGAGCAGATATTTTTTATTTCTTTCCCTTTGTGCTGCTGAGGAAAAACAAACAGCCCTGTATGGTAGGTGATATCAGGCCTTTCTGCCCTCCTGCCATTAGGATTGATGATGGATCTGCGGTCCTGAATACATGCCTGATGGGGGGCACCTGGAGTAGAGTGTGGGCCTATGTAGATATGGGATTCAGCTGGGCTGAGAGACAGAGCTTATAAGGGTGGCGACACGGGACGCCAGCAGTACCACGAGAGCAGCAGAGAACACGACCACCAGAGGACGCTGGAGAGCCCAGACAGAGTGAAGACTTGCTGGGAGGCCTCCCAGCCTCCCGGCCCCCCAGCACCCCTGCCTGCTGTGTACCTGGTAAATCCCAATAAAAGCCTGCAAAAGCCACTGAGGGCTCCAGGACTCCTCCTCTACTCCATCTGCTCGGATCACAGAGATCCTGCCCTGTGACCATTCCCGCCCAGTCTCAAATATGCTCCCTCTACCTGATTTCTGGCCTATTTGTAAATCCATGGGCGTCTTTCCTTAAACCAGCTGTATTCACAGTGTACTACCTCAGTAAGTGAAAAAGAATTGTTTCAGATTTTTCTGAGAAGGCAGAAGTTAAAAGAATTGAGAGCTACCCCACGGGCTCTGCATCCAGCAGAGGCTTAATAAGAACACAGGCGAATGCAAGTGAAGTTTCTCAAAACCCAAGGCCTGAAAACCACTGTGGGGAACGGAAGGCAAAAGCCAAGTAACCCTAACAACAGCCTGACCCCCAGTCACTCTCCCTCTCACCGCCTCCGGTGCCCGCGAGCCCCGGTCGCAAGCGCGCTCTGGGGCGGGGCCTCGCCCGCCCGCGGGCCCCGCACCCCGGGAGGCCGGCGCCCCCGACCGCAGGTGGGCCGCGACGAGCCCCCGCGTCCCGACCGGCTTTCCGCGCTTCCCAACGCGCACGTCCAGCAAAGCCGCGGAGGCGACATCTGGAAGACGACAAAGGCCTCCCCGTTCCCGGGGCGCACGAGCGCGCCCCCCGCAGGGCGTCCGGAGCCGGGACCCCCGCCGCGCCCCGCCCGACGGTAAGCGGGGCAGGGCCCAGGACGCGGCGCTAGCCGCAGGGCCGAGCCCGGAGCCCGCAGCGTGGGGCGGAGGCGGAGGCAGGGACCGAGACCAGCGCCGCCCGGGGTCCCGGCGACACTCACCCATCGGCCGCGGCAGGCGCGCCCGGAGGCGCTCGGGCTCGGGCTCGGGCTCCGGCCGACGCCGCCTCCGCGCCCGGACATCCGGGCCCCCGCCGCGCCGGCGGCCCCGCCTCCTGGTAACCCGGCAACCGCCAGAAACCCCGCCCCCGAGCTTCCCGGTGACGCCTCCGAAGCGCCGCCCGCCCCGGTGCCGCGCGTCCCGCCTCCCGCGCGCGGCGCGTGTGTGGGCGCCGGGACGGAAGCTCGCCCGGGGCCGGGGGGACCCGCGTCAACATCCACTGCCCGTGCGGGCTGGTGGCCGCCTTCGTGGAGTGCGAGGGCGGCCACAGTCGCGGCCCGGTGCGTTTGTTTCGCGCTGGTCACAGGTAACGCGGACCCTCCCCGCCCCGGCGGGGCCTCAGACCGGGACTCAACTAACTGCACTGCTGGTCTCGGGGCTGGAATCCGTACACCGCAATAACTCGCCCCCCGATCTTTTGCAATTAATTAAAAGCTAATTCTAAATCACTGCAACTACCAGCATTTATGATGGTAAATTTGAATCAAAGTATTTATTTTACATGTGGTTGATATTTTTTTTTTGTAATTTACAGTTTAAAGTCCATCATCCTGAAAGCGAAGATCTTGCCTTTTTGTATGGAATTTTATTTAAACAGATGGAAAAAATGCCTATAGTGAGGAACCAACCACCAATATTTGTGTTTTTGCTTATGAACAGGTATTGACATTGTAATGTTTGCCACAACAGCCAGCCATTATGAACCTAGAGCACCGTGAACACTCTTCATTTATTCTGAGACAGGTGGACATGGTGCCGCAGACCTCTCCTGCCTCAACCGCTGCTCCCCTCAGCAGTGTATTTCCATGCGTCTGCCTGTTCTGTACCCTGCTTTCTCTCTGGAGAATCCTCTCACCCTCCTGCACATCTCGTCTGTACCCCAGTTCTTGTGTAAGTAAATGAATCTTTTTTAAAAAGTGTAAAAGCCATTCTTATAAAGTTCACAGCTGTATAGAAACAGGGAGTGGGCAGAGCTGATTTGAGGGGCTGAGGTTGCCAGCGCCTGTTCTCGCTGTCATGGTTGGTGCATCAGAAAAATCACCAACTCTGGCTTCACACAATCTGGGTTCCAACCCACACTGCAGGCTTCGGCCTGGAGTCTCCTCCTGTGCAGGGCAGGCCGTGGGGGGCCAGGCTTCTACTCTGCCTGGGTCTCAGTCCCCCTTCACACTCCAGAGGGGTCTTCAAGCAGCTCAGCAGCATCCTGAGCCCCAGTTTCCTCAACCATGATGCCCTACAGGACTGTGAACTGGCACACAAAGGCAAACGGACTGTGTCCCAGGGGTGCTTGCTTTCCTGGGTCTCAAGGCTGTGGTGCTGGGGTGGGACCTGGCTGTGCTCTTCTGCCCACTGTACTTGTTCTGGGATCTGAGGTTTGGCCACTTAAAATCAAAGAGTAGCCTTGGCCTGGGCCCCTCAGTCCATGTAGGACAGCCAAATAGTCGCTGAACACCAACTCCTCTCAGAAAAGGAGGCTTTAATAGCATGAACATAGAGAAAACTGGAGAAATCTTACCGATGCTGTGAAAAACCAATGTTGAGCACCATATGATGGGGTTTTTGGAGTTGCAGGATCCTTGGGTTCACTCTGGGAAAGCTTTCCTCAGAGCTCCCCTTAAGCGGCACGCAGCGAGTTCCCCAGGCAAGTTTCTCCATGAGACGGAGATGTTAGTTATATTTAAAGAACAGGTTTATTAGGGAAAGGAAAAGGGACAGGTTTGCTGAGAGAGGCCTGCATGGTTGCAGGCAGGCGGCCTTGAGGAGATCTGCTTCTGCTGAGGGAGGTCAGTGAAGAGAAGTTTCGGCATGGTTCAGGTCCCTGGCAGGCAGCAGGCTGCTGCCTTGCAGAGGGAGAACATTGGAGAGAAGAGGCACCTGCATAGGCACATGTGGGCAGTGGGAGTACTGCCCCGAACCAGTGCAGAGACCGCCCTGATATAGTCCTTTTCTCTTTGGGACCCTGCCCTGAGCTAGGTCTCTCCATGATTCCAATGACAGCACCATCTCTCATAAAGCTCAGGTGGTGCTCAGCATCATCATGAGACCTGGGGATCATTTCAGATCATGTTCATGGGCCTCCCAGAGGCCCTGGGGGGGGAGGGTGGTACAAATGGAGATCTCCACCTCTGGCCAGTCCCTGCAGGATGAGTTCCACCCATGCCGGCCAGGAGCAGCCCACAGGGCGCAGCAGACCTACTGGGTGTTCCATGTGCTCCCCTCAGCCATGGATTTCAGTCCATCCACCAGTTCTGCTCCCTAATCTGTCTCTGGGGAATCCTCTCACAGCCCCACACCTCTGACCTGTACCCCAGTTCTTGTGTGCATAAAGAAATAAATCTAAAAAAATAAAGGAGGAAACATGTAGCTAACAAAGTGTTTTATTATGAATATGAGGTTTTGGGTTGAGCTGCTGGAGCGGATCTGATGCAGTTACAAGTCACCGGTATCTTCAGGGAGGAATGAACAAGTCGGTCTCCCCCATCTCCTGCAGTTCCCCCTTTGTTTGACAGGTGTGTCTTCTCCCATTCCAAGGAGCTGAGAAAAAGTCAGTGTCTGTTTTTGCATAACTTCCGTAGGGATTTAGTCTGCTTAAAACAAAAACAACGGGAGATGAGTGTCATTGTGTGGCTTTGAGAGGCGTTCTTCCAAGAAACTGATCAGCAGCCATGAGGGAAATAAAGAAAGAAATAAATGCACAGACATGAAATCCAAAGCATAAGAGTCAAGCAGAAAAGACCCCCACGGGGCCTCCCTGGGGGCGCAGGAGTTAAAGAAAGCGCCATCAAGCTCTTGCCAGCTGCTGCAGTAAGAGGTGGATCCCCCACCGGCCAGGAGCAGCGCATAAGGGCATAAGGGGGCAGCACACCTCTCTGGTCTCACTCGCTGCTCCCCTCACCAGGGTATTTCAGTAGATCCACCTGTTCTGACCGCCACTCTTTCTGGTGCATCCTCTACTGCTGGAGACCAGCTCCAGCTAGGAGTCGTGTCAGGGATCTCAGAAAGGAGAGGACGGCGTCAGTGACAGTTTTTTCAGAGGGCTAAGGGGAAGTGGAGCGAGGTAGGAGTGAAGCAGACACAGAACACCTTCTTTGGTGCAAGTATCTCCTACTGAGGGTCTCAGTGGTTCTTTATTTATACCTTAAGGTGAGCAGTGGGATTACATCAGTGTAAGCATTGAGGCAGAATGGAGACAATCAATACATATTTTCTCGTGAACATGTAAAGACTCCCTAGGTCTCACACCTAAAGGGCATTTCTCTGGTAACCTTAAGAACAATTAGTTTCCTAGGTACAGCTCATTTGCTAACATGATCAATCATATAAGACAGCACAACATTTGGCAACAATTAAGCATTCAATTAAACTTTCCCAGTTTCGGAGTGGGCGTAAAATTCCTATTTTATATTCTATTACTAAAATCAACCTATCTCCTTAGCACTCAATTAACTTGGCTAATTTATTGATTACTTCAAAGTGGTCTAAAACAACTCATCAAATCTATGTAAGTTCTACTGAAGTCTAACTCTTAACTAGAAATTCCTAACTTCCCCACAGCCTGCGAACTATTGAGCTCTTGCACACACCAGGAAATGTACTGCTGCGGCAAGCATGCACCCCCTGTGTTAGGCTATGGCTTCCAAGCACAGCTGGTTCAGGGCAGCTTGTTCTCCATAGTTCTCAGGGCCAGAACATTTCTTTCCTAGCTATACCTTTAGCATTTTGTACTTTCTTTGATACTGATTCAAGTGTAAGAATAATAAATCAATTAATGTCTAGGTCCGAACTGGGTTTTCACTTGCCAATTAATAACTAACTTCTGCATTAACCAAGAACAAAGAGAGCATTAGCAGGCGTTGCCATGGAGACTCCCTAGGTCAGATCTTCTTGGGAAGTGCAATAACTCCCCTCTTCTGGGAAGTACAACTTTCCCTCTTCGAGGGAGCACAGGAACTCCCCGCTTCTCGGGAGTCTCCCCCAATGCCCGGACCATGTCAAGAGGCAGCATGGGAGGCGCAGCCTGCCGCACTTTACACCACCACCCCTCCTCTGGTCTATACACCAGTGCTTGTATACACAATTAATAACTCTTGGGGGAAAAAAAAGAAAAGCCCCCGCCCCCCCCCACACACACACCCCACAGTGCAGGCAGGGGCACACACTAAACCCATCATGGCTGTGAAAAGGAGGAGCCTTGTCAGGAACAGTTGCCAGAGAAAAGTCGATCAGAGGGAAGCAGATGCTCTCACCCAGGGGGAGCGGGCGTTGACGGTTGAAATGGGCGGGGGGGGGGGCGGGGGTTGGATTCCACATGGGAACCGAGATGATTTATTTTGGGGGGCGACGTGCTGGGCCCCTGGAATATTTTGGTGAAATGCAAAATGGAGGGCTGTGCTGAGAACCCGCGGAGTGCTGGCGTGAGGTTAACTCGGCGGCGAGGCGGGTTCCGAGAGTGACATGGGAGCCCCTGAGCTGCTGGGAAAGTCTCCCGCGCGTTTGCAGCCACCGGAGGGTCATTTAGTTTTCCAGGGTCTCTCCCGAAACACACAAGGCGCTGCGATCCTTTGCTGGGCGGCCCGGATCCAGGGAGGGGCCCCATCCAGGGCGGCCCAGATCCGGGGCGCGCACGGTGGGGGCGCTCAGGGCCAGAGCGGGGGTCTGTGGCGTCCAGGCAGCCGCTCGGGCTCGGGCTCCGGGGCCTGTGCGGCATCACCCCGGCCCTGGGCGCGGGAGGCGCGGGGGCGGGCGAGGGCACACCTGGGCGCGGGATCGCAGCATATAAGGGGGCGTCTCCGCGGCCGGGCGGGCTCGGCCCCCAGCGAGAGCCGCAGCGAGAGAGGACGCGCCGCGGCCGGGACAGGAGGAGACCCCGCGGGAACGCCGGGGAGAGCCCAGAGAGAGTCCAGATCCCCCGGGCGCTGGGGGGCCCGCCCGCCCTTCAGCCCCCCCATCTCAGCCCCGCACCCCCGGCCCCTCGGCCCCCGGCCCGGCCGCGCCGCGCCCGCCCAGAGAGCGCGGAGAGTCTGGGGTCACCGCGGACGGGAGCCTCCCCCGGGCTGGGCCTCCTGCCCGCCCTGCCCCGGGCGCCCGGCTGCGCTGTCGGGGAGAACGCGAAAGGCCCACGCCAGCCCCCGGAGCCCCGGGACCCTCTGCCCGTGTGGCCGGAGCCCTCCGGAGCCGACGGGAACGCGGCCCCCGAAGTCCTGGGGCGGGAGCGGGGCGGAGGGTGGGGTGCGGGGCGCGCTCCTCTCTGCGGCCTCCCGACCCGGCGCCGCGGGGGGACTGTGGCTCGGCGGGGGCCGCCCGCGGACTTGGGCCCCGCTCAGAGCAGGTCTGGGGTGAGCGTCCCTCGAAGCTCTGCCTTGGAGGGAGGACGAGCCTGGAGGCGCCGCGGACCCCCTGGAGGCAGACGCGGCCCGGGAGCTGCTACAGAGGACCTGGAGGGGCGGGGGGCGAGCTGCCGGCGGGGACCGCCCTGAACCCCGAGCCGAGGCGCAGACGCAGCGGTGGGGGAGCAGGAGCCCGACGCCCCATCCGCTCGCCCGGCGCTGACCCGGCCCCCGCCACGGACGGCGCGGACTCCCGAGCACGCCAGAGGCTGGGGGCCGGGGCGGGGGCGCCTTCTCCGTGGTGCCCTGGGAGGGGGAGCGCGGGGAGCCTCTGTGCGCCCCCGGAGAGGAGAGTCGGGGTGGCCTTACGCGGCCTGGGGGGAGGTTCTCCGCAGCAGGCGGGAGAGTTTCACAAAGCCGCCCAGACGCGCCAAAAACCGGCGCCGAGGTCAGGAGCCCCGAACGCGTGGGACGCAGCTGCGGGTGCTCTCGGAGCCGCGGAGCCTCCTCACGGCACCCATGGGCGAGGCCCGGCGGCTGGAGAGTGAGGTGAGGGCCCGAGCACCTCAGGGGCGGCTGGGGCCCTGGCCCGTGGGGGAGCCCACGGCGGGGAGGGGACCAGAGCGGCCCCGCGGGGAGCGGGGTCTCCCTAGACGGGCCGTGCCCACCCGCAAGGGGCTGGCCTGAGCGCGGGCCCGCCTGGCAGGGGCTGAGGAGGTCACCGGCAGTCCGACCTTGTCCAAGCTGGGGGAGAAGGAGGTCGAACTTCAGGCAGCCTCAGCCCAGCCTGGGGGCTGAGGAGGTCGACCTGAGGCCAGCTCAACCCGGCCTGGGGGTTGAGGAGGTGGACCTGCAGGAGGGCACCAGCCAGCCTTGGGGCTGAGGAGGACTACCTGCAGGTGGCCCCAGCTCAGCCTGGGGTCGGAGGAGGTGGAACTGCAGGACAGCCCCAGCCCAGCCTGGGGGCTGAGGAGATCGACCTGCAGGCGGGCCCTGCCCAAGCTTGGGGAAAAGGAGGTCGACCAGCAGGCCGACCCCAGCACAGCCTGGGTGCTAAGGAAGTCATCTGCAGTCTGGCCCAAGACAGCCTGGGGGTTGAGGAGGTTGACCTGCAGGTCGGCACCAGACAGCCTGGGGGCTGAGGAGGTCAACTGACACAAATCTCCTGAACCCCCAGGCTGGGTTGAGCAGGCCTGAAGGTGGTCCTCCTCAGCATCCAGGTGGGCTAGGGCAGCCTGCAGGTCAACCTCATAAGCCCCCAGGATGGGCTCTGGCCGGACTGCAGGTCGACCTCATCAGGCCCCCAGGCTGTCTGGGGCCAGCCTGCAGGTCAACCTCAGCCTTCAGGTGGGCTGGGGCCGGCCTGCAGGTCGACCTCGTAAGCCCCAA